TTCTTCTAGAAAATATATTTTTTTTAAATATCAAGAAAAGAATGACGAATGAATCAAACATTTATCAAATATTTTCGAGTTATTTTTGGAAATGCAAATGCGCTTTATATTTTATGAAATACCCAGTTTAATCATCTTCTGTAACAACAAGAAAGAACTTTCTCTTTGTTACGCAAGTAAATCAAATAATCATCAACCATTTGCCAGAACTTTCTCCTTCAGTTTAAAAGGAAGAATGATTCACTTGAGACTTTCCACAAAATTTGCTGAGAACTTCCGCATACCACACATGGCTAATAAGCCACTAACCAAAATTGGTAATTAACAGCAGGGGGCAGGGGACCTGGCATTCGAATCGAATCGAATCGTTCGATCTTTAGATCGACACCTGATTGACATTCAAAAAACAAACAGAGAAACTTGATCGAATTGTCAGCCCCAAAATGGCAATCTTTTTGTTAGAGAACTACTATATAAAGAACATACAGATTGGGAGCTTAAAGCCATATCTTAATGCAATGCATAGCACATAATTATTTCCCGAAAAACCGTACAAAGTATGTGCCTCAAGATGTGCCGCTAATTAGTCACCTGTTTGTACCGTTCATCACATCGGCTGTTGCCTAATTAAAACGAGGCTACACATCGGAGAGACTTTCAGACATCCGATCCGCGCTGAAATGTGACCAAATTGGTAATCGCCTCGTCGCATCATGACACTCGCGACAAATCGCCTTAAATGTAATTTTTTGTTGTAATGTTATGTTCCCCCCTCCCCGTTTCGTTTGGTTCCGTTGTGTTGTGTTGTGTTGTTTCGTGTTTATCGTCGTCTTGTGTGGGCGTTTTGTGTGTTAACTGTAAAATGTATCTCTGTTTTTGGGGGTTTGAGAGTTATTCAGGTCTCTCCTGTATGGATCTCATGTTGTAATCTTGAGACGGACAACGTGGACGGACCTTGTTGTGGAGTACATACATATGTACATTCCTTTGTTCTGTCATCTTGAGGTTTTTTCGTTGGGGTTTCGGTTCTTTAAAATTAAATATTCATCAATAAATGTCAATGTCAAGTGGAAGTCAAGGGGTTGAGATTTCGATGGAAGAGATTGCACTTTGCTGAAAGCTTTAACGGCTTGAGGGATCAATGGGAATATTGAAATATGAGAGATTGTACAGGTAATCCGCATGAGGGGTTTATATATTTATATAAATTTATATATTTAAACTTTAATAATTACTCACATTTAGCTATAGGTTTTTTTTTAGTCATTTCTGCATTATTTTGAATTAATTTTTCCTTCCAGTATTGACTTTTATCTAAAAGCTGAGAAAGAGATTTTGAGAATAGATAAGAAAATTAGCTTTAATTGCTTAATTCTATTTAGATCACCCTCTAGCTTCCTTTACTAAAATATAAGTCAATAAATTCCATCTTGTCTAGAGCTTCCTTCCTCTATCCACATCCGATTTACAACCAACCACCCATTTCCCATTCCGTTCTACTGACCAAAACTTGGCATAGATTTTGCAAAATAAAAAACTCGTTTCGATTCTTAGATTCTGATTCTGATTCTTATTCCGATTCCGCAGCGCGGATTCCAATTCTGATTCGAGTGCGAAGTGCGACGCAGTTTGCTGGATACTCGATTGTGTACTCGAAAAACTATTCATACTTTTGCAGCGCAACTTGTAGTATATTTTCCCCCCTGCCCAGCTACCCAACGCTTAGCTTCCATCGCTTAGCTTCAAGGTTATAATGAGCAACATATGCTGCGGGTCCGCTGCGGGTCTGTCGGTCTGCAATCAGCTGCGAAAATGCACAACTAAAAATGCACTTCAACGACGATTTGTTCAGCAGCAGCAGCAACAGCAGCCACAACTAAAGCGAAACATTTTTCACGTTTTTCCGCTGCCTATGTTCTCCTCAGAGTTGTTCTTGAGCTGTTTTGAGGCGTTCTGCTTGCTGTGTTGCCTGATTGATGTTTGTCAGCTGTGGCTGCTGTCAGGCTTTGTGGCTGTTTGGCTATATGGCTGCTGCCCAGCGGCCTTAGAAATTGTTGCAACAGAACAACATAGAACTCTGAACAGAAATTAAAGTAAATTATACACATAATTGCAGTTTTTTTGTGTCCAAGGCGTTGCACAGATGCTACACTCAATAGACCCCTACCCCTCCCTCCTTCTCCTTGTACCTCTCATCGATTCCAAACAACACTCGTAATTCAATTAAACATTTTGCACATATTGTCGCCCATAAAAACTATAAACGAATGCAGAAAAAACAATGCACAGGCACCCAACAATTGGTCACGTTTCGAGAACGCCACAACGATTGCAACAACCACAGCAGCAAACAATCGACAAATGCATCGCCCGCATAGAGTTGGGATCATAAAAATACATACTCGGTGCTTGGGTGCCGTAAACGATTGCAGAAATGATCAGCAGGCAATCGAGACCCCTTCAATAGAGGAGGGAATGTGTCCGAAAAGGTGACTTGGCTGTGAAACAGTGACTAGGAGAAGAAGATTTAGGAAAAAGCAAGAAAAACTCTTTTTGAAAAAGAATTGAAGGAAGGGAACAAATATATGGCAGAGTTGCAGCAGCTAAACCAACTTATTCAACTGAGAAACCTATTAAATATATCAATATAAGCAGAGAAGAGCTATTCCTTGATTATCAATTCTTTAAAGTGGCGTTTAAGAAACAGAAAACTATTAAATATTCGAGCCTAATAGTTACACAGGTTTTAGCAATAACATTTTTGATAAAAGCGTAGTCTTTAATATTAATTACATTACATAATTTGTTAGCAGTCACTTTTGAAGCCTTCGAAACATGTTTTGTGCAAATGCTCACTCAATCGGTGATTAAATCACAGCGAGAGTGGGATTAAATCACAGTTTAGTAAGCCATTAAGCGATTTATATCTGGCAAAAAGATTTATATGGTTAGAGGAGCACTTGATCAGCACTACAATGTGGAATATGTACGATTAGATGCGAGTATCTCTCATATGCAAATTGGCAACAAAACGAAATGTGTGGTGTGGTGTGGTCTGGTCTGGTGTGTTGGTAAATAATTTTCCACACAATTTGCAATTAGTAATAACATTTTTATCGGTCTCTCTCTCTGGGCCTGACTTGGGCTTTAGCTGTAGCTCGTCGTCGTCGTCGTAGTCGTCGTTATTCAGTTTCATCATAAAGGCACCAGCAGAATCATTGCACTGACATGGTATGGTATGGTATGGTATCGTATGGTGTGTGCTATGGCATGGCTAGTTATATAAACTCCGGCCAGCAGCAGCACTGCCAGCACTCGGTGCGCGGCAGGTAATGATGCCTGCCGCTGCCTTTGCCTTTGGCTTTGGCTTCAGTGTTGGAGCTGTAGCTGGCAGATTTTCAAGGTTAAATGCAACGATGGCGCGCGGTGGAGCGCACGTGAGCGCTGGCCCCAGGCCTCAGCTGCTCGCCTGCCAGCAAACTAGTTTCAAATGGCATAAAGTATCTGTAAGATATACACAAACAGACTGCATGTAAGGCTGCTGCTGCTGTTGCTGCTCCAAGGAGTGGCCTGGCCCGCAATTAACTACAGATTTTTGTTTCGCTCTTGCTGCAACTGCAACTGCCGCAACAGTCGACTGCAGTCGCAACGAACAGCTGTTGGGCTCGTTTCGATTCGTTTCGAGTTCAAGGCTATTGGGTCAAATTGCAAATTAGTCGCCCGCAGGTTGAATGACGTTGAATGACATTATTCTGTGTCGTATCTGCATCTTGAGCACATTTTAAGTGGACAAACGAGCAGTGACCACCGCTGCTAAACCACCGCTAGCCTACAGATACTCGTAGATGGAATAGGTATTTATTATTATTAGATTTCTGTGCTCGGATTTCTGCCGCGGGGGCCACTCGAGTGATTTGTATAAACTTTGCATTACAATCAATCATTTGTCGCCTGGGCAATAGCTTTTTAAGTAAATAAACATTAAGAAGTCATATCCATAGTCGTCGTCGCCTCGTACATGTATGAAAATGGAGAACCATCTAATGCCCTGGCAAAAGTATGAAAGGGGGGGAGAATGGGGCACAATTTATGCGCATATCAAGTGGCAGTGGCAGCAGCAGCAGCGGCAGCAGCGGCGCACTTACCTATCAACGCTTTTGTTGTCGATTTGCATGAAATTCTAACAAAAACAACAAAAAAGAAGAAAAATCCCCAGAGATAAAGCGAAAAAGATTGAAATACAACTGAGAGAGTCGGGCATAAGATACATGCATAAATGATGTTAAGCTGAGAAGATACAGATACTTTTCAAGTACATTTGATATGATATGTTTGCTAAAGTTACTCAGATACCTCGATAAATAGCCAATGAGCCAATGCTTGCTTCAGGGTTAGTTTTTAGTTTCCACCTAAAGTATTTTGTTTAGTAACTACCCCTAAATATTTTTCACATTAAAGAAAGGTGCTCTTTCAGAAAAGTATCTCCCATTAATACGTAATATTCCCTAATTGAGATACATGCTGTAATTATAACCAATCTAAAAGGTTTAACTATCTTTAAGCTTCCTTTAAGTGCCTCCATGCACCCCTTACCGTATCTTAAATGCAGCATTTTGTGGTTGCTTGAGATACTTTTGCTGAATTTATTCGAGTTTTATGTGCACTGCAAGGCGGACAGGCGGGCTACCTGATCATTTTATGGGCGGTTTTTACGATCAGCAAAACGAGAAAAAAAATAAAAGACGAGAAGAGGACTTGCCATAATTATAGCTGATTTTACAGTCTGTCGGCTAAGTGGCAGTTGGGTAAACAATAAGACAGACAATGCCCCGACCTTAGACACTTCCCTACATTGTCACTGCACTCGAATCGAATCGAATCGACTCGTCTCGACTCGGCCAATGCCGCCTTTGTCTGCCCCTTGCATTGTGTTGCATGATGATGATGATGATGATCCGTATTTTAATGCCAGTTTTTCCATTCTCTACCGCCCATTGCAGCCCCGCAAATCTTCCAGTATCCACCGCCACCGAGTCCCTCCTGCAACTTCCCCGTCGGCGATGTCTTCTTCCCACACGGCCCACCGCCCGTGCCGCCGCGGACACCGCGCACCAGCGTCAGCTTTGCCGCCGGCGAGGAGTACAACTTCTTCCGGCAGCAGACACAGCCGCCATATCCGGCGCCGTCCACGCCGCAGCCAATGCCACCGCAGCCGCCGCAGTCGGCGCCACCGATGCACTACAGCCACAGCTTTCCGCAGCAGTCGCCGCACTTGCTGCAGCACCACCATCCCGCCTCCGTTTACGGCATGGGCCAGCACCAGCCGGGTCCCGGGTCCTACTATGCCACCTACACGCCACCCCCCACACCGAACACGGCCAATGCCGGCACCTCGACCTCATCGGCGGCCTTTGGGTGGCACAACCATGGCCCCCAGCTGGCATCGACGCCGCTGACGGCGCCAATGGGCTCCAAGATGCGGCTGCAGCGCAGCCAGTCGGATGCAGCCAGACGGTGAGTGAAAGTCAAATGATTTCATCCTGGAATATCAAATCAATAGTTCTACAAGTGGAGGGAATACAAACAAGGAAGAGGAGAGTTCTAATTGCCGATAAAATATAAAATTATAGATTTATTCCTTTATTTTTATCATTTCCCCATCCATGGGAAAAAGCAAAATTAAGTTTAGACCCCGGGGATCTGTCATTGAAAGCAATCAATCGAAACTGTCACTGTGAATTGTTCCTTACCTAACGCCAAGCGAAAAGCCAAGCTTACTGATAGTACAGCTTCGATTGGCATTATCTCTATGAGTAGTGAACGTAAGCCTCTAGAACCCCCACCATACCACACATGAATATCAATTCCCATGACACAACGCAATTTTTTTAATTAATGAAAAGGCAAAGTTGTCGCTGATAATTGCCCATGACGTTGCCCCCCACGTCTCCCCAACTACATATAACCATCTAAATATTTATGTGTGTTCTACTATAATGTGTTCCTATCTCTTTCTCTCTCTCTCTCTCTCTCTTCCCCACAGCAAGCGACTGACCTCGACGGGCGAGGATGAGCGCGAGTATCAGAGCGATCATGAGACCAGCTGGGATGATGAGTACGATGATCGTTATGACAATTTTACGGCCGGACGCGAGCGTCTGCAGGAGTTCAACGGACGGATACCACCACGGAAGAAGAAGAACAGTCACAGCAGCAGCAACAACAACAACAATCCAATCAGCCAAAATAATTTCCAACTCCATTCATCGAATGCAGAGTGCAGCAGCAGCAGCGGCGGCGGCGGCAGTGCCAGTCACAGCCACAGCCACAGCCACAGCAACAGCAGCAACAGTCAGAGAGAGCGATCGGAAGCTGAGAAGAAGGTAAGCAACGGCACCTACAATGGATCACTAATCTCTTAGTCTCTAGCAGACTATGTCATACCCTGTTATTTGGAGTTTTTAGAACTTTTGTTTTTCCTACTTTTTCATTTGGTTTCCTTACTCACTTCATCCCAACGAATAAAACACAGCCCGGGGTACGGCAAGTGCCATAAAATTGCACATATATTGTACATATGTATGTAAGTTGGGGAGTTCATTAACTTGAAGGCCCAACATCTGTTAGCTACCCCACCGCGCTTGTGGTGTGTGGCACGTGGCAAACATTTTTCAAAGGCTCAACTAGTTGAAAATGCTGCAGAAATGCTAAAAATACAACCAGAAGGAATGACAAATTGCCGCTAGAGCGGGAGGAGTACCAGAGTGTGAGCATGCACATGCAAGCTCATGCATGTCGGTGCCTGCAAATGTATAACACATTCACATATAACACTTTTTTTGCACATGCTAAAAGTGTGATAAAAATTAATTGCGCAGTTCCTGGCCCAGGGGCCTGTTGGAGAGTCTTGTCTTTCTGTCTTTCTGTGTCTCTGTCTCTGCTCTGGTGCTGCTCGTCTCTTGCATTATGTTAATCGTAGCAGGCGCCCGCTCTCCCTCTGCCCGCTCCTCCCTCTGCCCGCTCTCCCTCTCCGTCTCACTGCCACGTTCCAATAGTCTCTCTGTACATATCTGGCTCTCGATTAAAGTCGTGTAAGTCGAGCCTTTGTGTCAGCTGCTGCTGCTGTTTCTACTGTTTCTACTGTATGCCGTATGGCCTCATTAAGCCTCACTTCTTACGCTTTTTCTTAGTTTTAGTTTTTGCGTATTTTGCCTGCGCAATTAAAAGAAATGTAAACTTGAAGAAATTCAATCGAAATCGCATGACACACACACACTGACTCACCCATCCCTGATACCATTCCCATTTCATTTGAATACCCATTAATCGTCGTGTGGAAGGGTACACTAAATCCCAGGGTTAAATTTAACTGGCAAAAAAAAAATAATCACAATTGAGAGCTAAAGGAAGAGCCCAAAAGACAAATTGAGCCTCAATTTCTATGGACAGACAACTGCATGTTTCATGTTTATTTGTGGACCTGTTTTAAGTTGAAATAGTGGATATCACATAGTCGGTAGATAAACTTTAGCATTCCCTCTTGCTTCTTTCCATTTGCCTTTGTTTTAATTCATGCTCGTCGCTCTGGGACGCTTATCGCTCTCTGAAGCCAGCCCCTTATGGGTGCCCATCCTTGGGGGACGCTGCGAACTGATCTGGAAGCTGTGGAAGCTCCTCTGACCTTATCCGAGCACTCTTTTAGCTGCTAAACGAGAGCGTGTGAAATTCCATAATCTACAAAGTATTATTCATATGAGTACGAGTACGAGTATATGCATTCAAATATATGTGCCACAGATATGGATCCTCGATTGTGATTTGAGGCATTAAATTGCGTGTATTTTTCCAATGGTTGATAAATGTGAAGAATGGAATAGATGGACAAGAATTGTATGAATTTTTTATGGCGTACTGCTGTTAAAGAAAACACTCATCAGAATCGAAATACCTCTAGATTCTACCCATTCTTCCCAACCAAATTGAATCGAAATTCGAGCACATGTTCGATGGCCTTTTCATACCATTAACCGCAAAAACAATGCCACAAATGTCCTAACCAAATAGGGCCCGAAAAATTCGGGGCTAAAATAAGCGAAAAAGTGAATTTGCATAATAAATTTGAGGTCAGTTTCAGTTGGGTTGGTGGTTGCCACCATCCAATCCACCACCAACACCACCACCACTTGCCACCACAAACAGTCATGGCCATGCCATCCACACGTGCCACACTGCAACCATTGAAGCGTGGAATGTTGAACAAATAAATGGTGTAAATTATATAACCATTGATGCGGGTGTGGTGCTGTTGCTGGGGTGGAGGTGGAGGGAGAGTCAAGTGTTCTGTATAGAAAAATAATTGCACTATTGACCAGACAAAAATTGACTGACCATTCGGGTCGCTTTTGCCAGTCAATAGTTTCGCTTGATTTACGGTTCGAGAGTTCTAGAGAGGGTGGATGTATAGTAGAGGGTCACGTGTGTGGTTTCGGATATTTTATGCCACACAGGGGAGCTATAGGTTAGAGGGACTGCTGGGGAATAGATTTTGGGGATGCTGAAAGGTCACTTTATTGATTTAAATACACACATGTATAAATACAATAAACATAAACTATATCTAATCTCTTAAATTTCCCTACATTTTGTGAATCTTTCAGAAACCACAAAGCTTCACCTGGCCAACCGTTGTGACCGTGTTCGTGCTGGCCATGGGCTGTGGCTTCTTTGCGGCGCGATGAAACCCCTGGATACGTGGATATGTGTAACCGAATGATCTATAGTGAAATCAGCTAGTATATAGGATATATAAAACGATCTATACATAGATATAGCGAAACCGTAACATAAGTGCAACGAATTTATTGAAAGCAGAAAGTCATTAATTCGTAAAGCGATTGTTAAATATACATACATACATACATACATAAATACATACTTGCATACATATACCGATACCGATACGATTAAGAGGGTTGACGGGACACAAGAACAATATATTCGATCTGTCTAGGGTAACTTTTGCATTTGTACAAGTATCTCCAGAAACAGGAACACAATTTTCCTCCAAAACTGCTCAAAGTAAACGAAAACTCTCAGACTGGCAAAGTGACTAAGAATGAAAGCCTATTTTTTATTGCGGATACATGTATTTTTGTACAACTTTTTGAACACTTAAATATATAAACACAAATTATGCAAGTACAAACACAAAACACAAACGAAAGAAACAAACAAAGGAAAACTGCCAACTCTTGAGATACTTTTCGATATGATTTTCGTTTTTTGCATTTAATTATCTGATATTCCACCTGCATTTTCTTCCACCCCGAAACAATTTCAATGTCTTCGCTTTTGTGATTTCGAATCGCAAGCAAAATGAATTATATATATATTTTAAATATTTGTTTAATTAGTAGAAATTTTTAAGCATAAGCCCCACACAGCAAAAAGATCACACGCCTAGCTTTAATTGTTAAAAAACAAACGCAGAGAAAAATCATAAAAAAAAACCACAAACAAACAATGTTTAAGTTAGTTTTTATTTGTATATAGTTTTTATGCCATTTTTGTGATGTTTTGTGTCTACGGTTTATGTCATGTTATTTTAGTTAAATTTCGTATGATTTATGTTTTTTTTTTGTCATTGTTCATCATTGTCTTCAAATTGGTCTCACAATTTAGTCGTTTAAGCCCCAATGCCCGGGAAATGTCCAGCTGGGAAATGTCCTCTGAAATACGTTGCCATTCTCGAATCTTTTTTGGAACACGCACACAAATGATCTCTCCCAAATGGAAATTAATGGAAACGATAGCCAAAGTAAAAGAAAAAAAAGGAATTCAAATGAAAGAGAACCCGGGCCAACCCATTGTCAGAGGGGAGTCTTCCGTATTTGCTGGTATTTCCCGGGCGTTTCAATGCTAATTGAATACACAACGTGAACATGAAAGCGAAAATAGTGAAAAAAATCAAAAGAAAAGTAAAAACAATTCCCAAAAATCGCATTGATCTCATGGATTTATACAATACACACAGTTTTTACAATGAGAAAAAATACAATACAAAATAAGAGAAGAAGAAAATGAAAAGTGAAACAGAGAGCGAGAGAGAGAGAGAGAGCGAGAGAGAAACGAAAAACAAGAGTTAAGTGTAAGAAAAGTCTAAGCTTAAGTTCGCCAAGCGTTTTAGTTCTAAATTCTACAGCGTTTAAGGTAGATTTAGTGAGTTTTTCATGCGTTTATTTTGTACATACATACATACATACCTAAAGCAATATTATTCTGTGTAGCCATAAGCGATAGCCCAGACTCTAGATATATATACCCGGAGCCATACCAATTTTCAACCCCAGCCCTAGATATACATACATACACTTTCAAGAAAAATAGAACACTACACTTCTCAACTTATGAACTAATCATGAAACACACACACACACATACATACATATGTACACCACTTCCAAAACCCAATGAAAAATTATTTTTGTAAATTTGTTGCATCAAATGAACCGAAAAAGGCGGGAGCCTGTCTTCCCCTCCGGTTCATTGCCAATTAGTTTTCACAATGATCTCGGTAAAGTTTTGTGGCCTAGCATGGCCCAGAAGTCAAGATAGAAATATTGATTTTTGGCCTGCCATGAATACTGGAACAAAAAGTTAAAGGAAAGCAGAAGCAGAATCAGAAGCAAAAGCAAACTATATTTTTGACCCGATGCGACTTGATCCGTTTGTTAAATTTAAGTATCTTTACTCGACCCTGTACATAGCGCGCAGTTCGAATCATAGAATCAAATGCCATTTTTGTATAGAATTTTGTTTGGTGCCAAAACAGTGACAGATAATTGTCTGCGAACATATTATATACACACACACACACACACACATACATATTATACATACTAGAATTTATTTACGATAAGCTCTATCCTAAGTTCAACAATTCAGCAATTTTTCAATTCAATTCAATTCAATTTAGCAAATAATTTTCTGTTTTTGTTTCGTGTTCGGATGAAGCGGAAAACTTCGTTTAATTGTACATTTTACATATTATGCTGTAATATTTTAATATGCATAAATAATATCATTATTGATCTCATGAATATGTTCATAAGACAAAATAAGCAGCAAACATTATCTGTATAAATACGATTACTCTTACATTTGAGCCTCCATGTGTGTGCTTATGTGTAAATGAAATACAAGTGCATAAATTTAACATGTAAGATTTACAGAACAAACAAAATAAAATAAAATAAAAACGCAAGAAAATCATTTGAAAAAAAAAAAAAAAAACATTTTAAAATTAAATTGATTGCAATTTGCATATGGGAAAAGGTATTTGGGGATGCATTTACGTATTTTAAAATTATGGCACACTGTAGGGTCTCCTTGAGGGATATTTTTCCGATAACAGAAGCCCGGATCGGTCCACATATGTATGGCAGAAAAACTTGTACATATGGGCCACGCCTCCATGTGATCGGAGCCAACTGTAGAAACTGGAAAGAAAATCCTGGAAAAGTTGGCCCTGTGCCGATCGCAGCCCATTTTGCCAAGATATAGCGTAAGGGAGAAAATCCAGTAATTTTTGTGACTCGATTTCTCGGATTTCTCGCCAGTTTGGGGCAGGCCCAAAACTCCGCCATTTCGCATCCGATCCAGACATGATACATGTCCCCGTGTGCGGGAGTATCTTCTGTATAATTTAAATCCATCAAGAACCTCAAGAACGGCCAGGATTTGCCTTTTTTACGCTGTTTTATAATAGATATGACTGAATATACCAGCCTGAACGTATGCTATACTTTTTTAAAGTAAAGCCAACCCCAAAAGTAGGCCGTGGTATGGTGTCACTGATGCAAATCTGATTGGAATTGATCCTCGAACGATTAGGACGCAAATAGCCCAATGCCAATACCAATGAGAATACCAACCAATCATCAAGTACATATATTGACTCTGAATTGGAATAACAGACATTCGATTGCTAAAAAATACAGTCTACCACATCATGGACTGACTATTGGGCAACTGCAGGGGACTGCCAGTCACAACGGGACTCCATGTGGAACAGAGACGTACAAATAAACGAATAAAAAGTATTTATTTACTTGCCCTTGAAAATGAAAAACTCTGCATTTTATTTATTGCCACAGTCAAAAGTTCGTGGCGCTCTATCTCGGAAAAATACGGAAATATCCTTTCTATATTGGATAGAATCTTGCCATTGGATTGCAAACGATTGGTTTGATTCATCTGACGAAATAAACTGGAAAAAGTTTGCCTGGTAGAAACCACCCCTTCTGCTGTCATTTTCGGTGGAGAGTGAGTGAGCGGTGCGTGTGATTCAAATGGAAATTGCTGGCCACTTAGACGAAAAATACCCCCGGCAAATGCCTAAACCAATTTGTAGTTTCTATTCCCTTTTGTGGTTGCGGATTAAATGGCCATAATTGTTGCTCCTGCGGCCAGGGACACGCGACTTGGTAACGGGATACGGAACCACCACGTGGGTCGTGTCACAAAAATGATGTGTTATTAACGGCTTAGGGCAGGCAATGGCAATGGCAATGGCGATTATAATGATGACGGCCACTGCCACGGATGGGCAATTATGTTAACCTGCCAGTGCCCTGCCCCCTCTTTGGCAGTCATGACATCCGCTTCCGCTTACAATTCGGGGACGCATGCAAGTGTCAATCAAAGGTACATTTAATTTGAAACTGCGATTTCCATTCAATCTGTGTCCGAGCGTGTGTCCGCCTCGGATGAATGGATATCGAATAGCGCCCACTTCTATACCGAACCCTTTCTTTAAGCTCTAACATTGTGCCTTAGAGATTGCGCTAAATCCATCATGAACCTTGGAAATATATTCGTTTCTTCAAAATCTTTAAGTTTTGGGTAATTTCAGATAAACTTTACTCATTATTAACTTTCCTGTTCGCCGTGCACAAGTTATCAATTAAATTCGACAACAAAACAAAACAAAACCAGTAACCGCAATCGCAATTGCATTCCCATCTTCCCAGAGTTTATGATAATTACTTTTTGGCTCAACACCTGCCAACGGCCATAAACAAAGGAGAGCCACAATGGGGTATGGGGCCAGGACATTGTGTCACGCATTGCCAGATTTTATTATCGGGAGGGAGTCCCCAACCCTTCGATCAGGAATATTATTAAAATTATTGAAGGGGCCATTTGCCTTGCATTAAACTTAATTAACTGTGGCTTCTACAAATGAATGTCTGAAATATGATTTTCTATTGATTTATTTTTATTATACTCGTATTGATTGTTGAAAGTCTTAAAACTCTATAGATAATTCATGGCTTATAATTATAACGCGCGGAGAGACTGCATTTTAACTATGTTTTTAGAATTTTTTAAGTAAAATTAGTAAAATTAAAGTTAAAATAAAATATTTCTCTTACATCTACAAATATGAAAATCTTCAAAGGGAATTTTACAATAATAAACAGTATTTCTCGTACTCCTATTCAATTAACTTGTTCATCATCGCATCACCGTTGAGTAACTGTTTTCATAGTATACTTTAATTAAATTGTGTCCTGCCGTGCTTAACTATTCGCCACTAGAAAGCCACTTAAAAGTAATTCAATTACAAATAAAACGCATCTACTTATTTCAGTTTTTCGCCAAAGTGAAGGGAACAAAAAGTTAATCTCATTAAGCGGGAAATTTCTTCAGACCACCCCGAAAACCCAACATAACCCACACCACCCCACCCGTCCCAGATGATGGTTGTGTGTAATATTCAGGGGCAGCAGAAATGCATTAAAAATTCATTACAAAATGCACACAGAGGACAAATCTCTCGATGGGTGAACAGGGAGCTACAGGTACTCGCATGGATGTAAGTGGCTCTTGAAACATGCACACAAATGTAAGAAACTTGTCGGCGATGTCACTCACTCCCTGGAGCGATGGGGGGATACATGTGCTTGCAACACAAATTTGCCACAAATATTTTCACATGTTTGCTTAGAGTTGCTTGAGTTAGAGATGCGAACGCAATCACGCTGGTGAATAAGTCACCGACGAAAGTCTATGCAATAGTTTTGAAAATTAATGATTGGGAGTACTCAAAGACAAATCATTGTGGTTTTCTAATAGTTTTTCTGATTATGTAGGACTTAGTTTTGGAAATTTGTGAATATTAAGAAACTACAAGTGAAAGCATTCTTAGTCAACTCTCAATATTAATCGCTACTTGTTTCCGTACAAGTTTTCTTACATACTACATAATACATAAATAAAAGGATTTCTTACCACAAGAAATTTTAGACATTTCTCTTTGATTCTGGTTCTATTGGGAAGCTTATTCCGTAATATTTTTATTCGCTTTGTGCAAAGGTTTGCTAACATGAGAAGTATTTGCCCAAGGAGCTGTTTGCTCAGTGCCCAGGCCCAGCCCCCCCAACTTTTCTCATATCTAAAAGCTGATAAACTTGTGTCACTGCGCAGACTACAGAGGGGTGTACCGGGAGATAGAGGTGGGGGCAAATACACACACGAGGAAGAAGCCTGTGTCTTTGGTGCAAAAAGGTTAAGAAGGATGGCGAACGGAAGGACATGAGTAATCTCATATCTCTCCAATGATATGGGAACGGCAAGCTGGACAAACTCGTAAATATTCCTAGCCTGCAGGCCATCATCTGGAGAGCTCAGACGATGGCAATATATGGCGATCATAATCAAGGTCTTTTGGCACTTTATTGACAAACTAATAAAAGCCGAGAGAGCCGACAAGGAATGGGATGCCCCCGAAAGCAAACGAAAGATGGATGGACAGAGACGATTTATTAAAATCCCTCTACATGGCATACATAATAAAAAGCAAATGCTGAGAGGATGGAACAGGAACGGGGGGCTCTGACTGACCTGGCCGTTGATGTGATGAGTAATTTGCTTTTGGCTTTTAATGGTGGCTGCTGCTGGTGCTGCTGCTGCTGGGTAGCAGGAGCCGGACCAGAAGCCAGACAACGAATAGTTGCAGGACACGGAAATTAGTGCGGAAACGGTTACTACGCTTAGCAATCTGTCAAAAAGCCAAAATGTAATAAATGAGCTCCCAAACAGAACAGAACAGAACCGAACCGAACAGACGACTGGGTGGACAGTCTGGGGCCCATCAACATAATTCATACGAGATGCCAAAGCACGACAAAAGCTTGACCGGAACCAGTACCAGTACCAGAAGCCGAACACGGACAGGACTTGGGGACAAAGGCGCCAACTACAGGACTCTACACAGGATGGCTGTCTTTTATGGTAGCAGATGCACCATATTTCATTACACGTTGATAAGTGGTCATTTGTCCCTGGACCTGAAGTTGCTGCTGGAATGGAAACGGTCTGAAACGGTTGGTCTCCTGCATGCCAACAGGCATTTCATAATAATTTTAACAACCATTTTTACGCAAACTTGCAGCCAGTGGCAGCGCTATGTCTATGCCCCCGGTATCATATATTAAATGCACGGATAAATGGCAGTCGGATAAATGACTATTCAAATCGTGAGCAGTATGGAATGAGCAACACATTCATATGTTTATTAATTTTTGCACAATTTACCGCAGGCTTTCATTTAAAGAGAGAGAGAGAGAGAGACAGACAGAGTGCAGAAGGAAAAAGAATGTAAAGCGGTGGTTCTGGGAGAGTTTTCAAACGTAATGTGTGTTCAGTTTTGTAAAGATAGAATATTAGTGTGAGCATTATAATGGGTTAGTGCTTTAGAAAATGATTTAGGAAATAGGAAATATTTACTCAGTCTGCTCGGCGTCATCATCATCGCTCAAAAACTCGAAAAATTTCTTCTTAGTGACATGATCAACTTTCTTGGCGCTAGGCGCCACAGCCTTAGGCCGTGCCGATGGGCCCGGCCCCAGAGTATTGGACTTCTGCGGCAAGTAGGACGCCTTGAAGCATTGCAGATACTCCGGAGCCGGGGGGACATTGCCCGTTGAGTGGTGTGGTACGATGCCCTGGATATGCTCGGGTTGGACCAAACTGCAGAGTTGTATGAGGTTTATCCGCGTGGGCACCGGCGACCATTTCAGGGAGTCGAGTGCAAAGATATCAAAGCGCTCGGTCTGACTGGTCAGGACGGTAAAATCGTTGTCGGCGAAAACATGCACCTTGACCATGTAGTCGGGCTCCTCGAAGCGCTGCAAGTCGCTGGTGAGGGACGCATAGCTCTCGGCATATTTCCCCATCAGTCGAATGTGGCCGTAGAGCGCAGTGTACCCCAGTCGCCTCACCAGAGGCTCGTATCCAAAGAGGGGTAGCTTCAGGCGTACCACGTTATTATTTTTCTTTCGCAGCGTTTCGATGGCAGCTTTCAGTTCATCGTAGTCCACATGGACAAAGGGCCGGTCGGCACCGGTGAGGTTAAGGAACAACCGGTCCGTGCCCTGGGCGATCCATGAGATGAATACGGGGTTCTCTCTCACCTGGCACAGGTCGTCTTGCTGCACCGCCGAGTAGAAGTACAGCAGTTTGCCGCCCTGCAGCTTCCGGATGAGCAGCATCAGACTGCTTCCCAGCGCAGTCCCAGCACAGAGCATGGCCTCCAGACGCCTGCCATCGCTGAGGCGTAGCTGAAAGGGCTCGCAATCCTCCGCAATGTGGAAGTCCTTCTCGGAAATGTTGACCTGTTCCGATTGCAGATATCGCAAGAGCTGATTGGCCAGTGGCCGAGTTGTGTACATCCGACAAAACCTCTGCGGCGGCGGCTTCAGCTGCTTCTCCATCTGGTGGAGGTGCGTCACAAACACCTTGGTGGTGCTCGCGTAGAGCTTGGGTATTACATTGAATACCAGGTCGGGATGCTCCTTTGGACGCATGGCGAGTCTGCAAATAAACGTGCACTTTGATTACTATCGTATAATGAAGAGTATATACGAACTTAGTTTAAACGGTTTCTCGATTATACTCTCTCTTTTCTTGCTAAAATATTTCCAGGGCCTTTAGCTCGAAATATCCTAAAAAACACTTGGAACATTTCCAACTAAATTAATTTGTAAACAAAAACCAGCTGACTGACCAGTGTAACCGTTCAATCGTTCTCTGTTGTCTGGTCACACTTTTGAGTTTGCAGAATAATCGATTGCTAATTAATAAATGGAATTTTGTGCCTGTTTTCGTTTCTATCGGACTAATTAATTAAAAACAAATGTAGATTACTTTAGAAATTGTTTATATTAAAGGCAATATTTATCTACTAAGTGGGTGGATTTTAATGTATATTTGTTTGAATTGTTTTACGAAACGAAGATCTTGCAAAAATATCTGCAAACCTCGAACGAATCTGCTGCCTGCCTTTGGCAACCCCACGCGACCTTTCATGGTCACACAACACACCTCAGCACGCCCACAACACAAGCGGATATAAATGCTCATATCAATGTGTTGCCATTCATCAATCATCAATCATGAATCATGACCCAAAGACGGCATTTCGCGCTTTGCATAACTCAGCCGAATGTAAACAAATTGCAAGACCACAAGCTACGAAAAAACTACAAAATAAATGGGTTGAATGACAGACATTGGCACAGATTCAGTCGTGGGCTGCGTTTGAGGAACTGCGGAACAGCCCACAGTCTTCGCGCGGCCTGGCTGTGGTTTCCCTTTCGTTTGACCGCCAAAGCGTGTCTCTGCTCTGAGCATCTGAGCAGAGCATCTGCCATCCAGGCTAGGTTACCTCATGCTCGTACACCCCATCCTCAGGGGCAGAGGCACCCCCCGAGTTAATAAAACGTGTAAATTATTATTACGTCCGCCTCTACGTAGCCACAGCTGGAAAAGAAAGCGGCGTGGGGGGGCTACTGACCGACTAGAGCAGAAAATTACTCAACTACAGTCGGTTGAAGTTGAGGTTTCAGTTTCGGATGAGGTCTGAGGTCTGAGCGGGGTCTGTGGCTTGTTAGTCGCGCTGTTAGCCCGATGTTTTGGGCTACAACTTTCACTCGGCGACTCAGACGACTAATTTGCAGCCGCTCGGCTGCCGCTAGTTGGCTCATTATAATTAAGCCATTTTGCTGGACAAGTGACTTGCAGCAGACGGGCGCAGATTGTAAGCGATCATTGTACTTAGCATTTCTCACACGAAAAGTGTAACAAATACGCCCCATTAGTCTGTATAATGCCACTGTGATTGTAATTAATTAAATCATATGGACAAAGGTTGAATGAACACGAACACGAGTCGAGAGAGAAGAGCGAAACAAGGGAATTTTAACCCAAAAAATGAGAAAACCTGATGAAGAACGAAACACTTCAGAGCTCACACAATAAACAAAAAATGGTCCATGCTAAGAGTCGGCTCAGTACAAGATCTTGGACCCATCTTACGAACTTTTTGGACGGAGCAAACCATAACAGGACCCATAGTTCAGCCTTTTTGGTAGTCTCTTAAATATCTTGGAAGTAACTTCATTTTTTCTTATGTTCTCTTCTTTACAACCGAGACCTGCTAAGACTTCATCCTATTGACCTTCAATATCAATATTTTCTGGGGTCACAGATCTCACTCTCTTTCTCTTGCCTCTTGAGCAAACTTCTCCACTTTATTGGCTTTCATCGAACTCAGCTTGCAGCTCTCTTTCACCGTTAATCCCTGATCAAGCACTAGTTTCTCTGTGCCGCTCTAACAAAAGCACATGCCTAGCCTCTGCTGGCGGCAACTTCCACTCGAGCCATGGCTTGGCGCATGCTCATCGGCGGAGTCGCGTGTCAAACGAGCGCCGCACTCAAAGCCGGAAAGACGTCGTTGGCGCATGCGCATTCCCGTTTCGTATTCGTATTCGAGTTCGACATCGTTTGTGTGTTTTTTTTTATATCTTTTGGTTAACCAGTAGACCATAGCCGAGCCGAGCAGATCAAAGCCGAGACAAGCCGAGCCGAGGCGAACTTTTTGTAGTAGTTTCGATTTCATTCCCGCTTTCGGTTTCGTTTTGTTTCGAACATCAACAGAGTACCGCGCACGGAAGACCCGCCCAGAGGGCAAGCTGAAGAGAGTGCTCAAAGTGCAGTGAGTAAGTGGCAGTCGAGAGAGTGCGGGGAAAAGCCGGAGGCGTAGAAACCGAAAGTGTGCAAAAGCCCATCCGTAGATGTCGCAATTGAAAAGCCGAACAATGCGTCGCAATTGTGTCTCGACAATTTCCGAGCTCAGCGAGCCAGGAAGAAAGAAAAGAAAGTTGTGTCGCCAGAAGAGAATTGCGCAAAAACAGAGTTACAGCAATAATAAAATAAATGACTCATTATACCCGGTACTCGTACCGCACAGAGGGTATACTTGTATTCGTGCAGACTGTGCGTACCAATAGCTTTATGCAAATGTGGTCAAATCTCGTCGGAGACTCCTGCTAGTGGGAGAGTCTTAAATTCCCGAGTATTGAAGGTTTTTCTGATGAAACCAAGACACTCAAATCGAACCTCAGCACGCCTTGGACATTAAGGCTAATTGGAGGAGTAGTGGTAGCGCCTGGTGGAAGGAAGTGTCCCCCAGTGTTGAGTGGATTATGTAATTTGACAAGCTGGATGCTCGTGTGCGCCACCCTAAAGAATTCCCAACACGTCCCAGTCGTATCCGTGCCCGTCTTTGCCCGCAAATTTTGGAGAACGCATCTCGAGCGTAAAGTGTCCTTTCGTGTTGCCACCGCCTCCTCTTCGCTCATCAGGCGTCCCGTCCCATCCCGTCCCCTGTGTTCCCTTGTGCGTGGCATGTGCCCCAGCTATACCGGAGCAGTTTTGTGATCCTTGCACCTGCTGCATTTGCACTGCACTGGAATTAGCTGCCATTTCTTGCTGTAAACTTCCACTGCCGTCTGTCGACTGCCGTCTGTCGACTGACGTCTGTCGTCTGCCGTCGATTCCCGATGCTGCCGCTGCTGCTTTCCTTGCCTTTTAGTGCGGCACCCTCTGTTGCCTCTCTGCTAGCGGCAAATGCAATTTTCTAGTACTTGCTCGAATGTTCACTCCCCTCCTATCTATTCCTGGCATCCGTACGGATGGGGCTATAAAATTTTGGGTGCAATTACATCTGGCTGTGGGAAAGTCTGTTACCAGTCTGTACTCAGTCCTTAGAACTGCAGTGGCAAAGCATGGAATTTAAATTTTATATGCAACAAGACATTTGGCATAGTCGTTTTTATATTACACAAAACATAAATAATAAATTTCGTAGCCCTCACCGCCCAGATGCTGCCAACCGACATCGGGAGTGTGTGTGTGGCTTTAGACCCGTCTCCGACTGTCGGATGTCGCACCGTTTCGAAATTTCTCGTGCGTCATCGCTATGGAGTATTCCGTTGGTAAAAATAACACAATAACCTTGACTTCGTTTAAATGTAAATGCAGATCGAACAGCGCTAAATGAGACACTGAACAAAGCTTGAGGAGCTGTGCATAATTTATGGTGAAATTTTAAGGCGAAATGCGTGCGTGCCCAATCCCCAAAGAAATCAATAAACCGATGATCGAGTGAGGCTTGGACAAAGAACATAAGACACACTTTCACTGAAGAAGAGAGAACGGATATACACAAGGGGTATATTACGGGGCAATTCCACTTGTAGAGATATCCCCGGATAGAGGAAACCCTCAACTCATTCTAGATAGTCCTACCCTAGTCACATGAGTCACTTAAAGCCAGCTATACCCCGAAACAAAGAGCAGCCATCATCTCAGACTGATGAGAGCTCAAACATAATGCTAGACACTTGCTATAACCAAACTGTGGTGCATTCAAATAAACCCAGAAGCTGTGTGCAGTCTACGCGCATTAAACTTTTAAGGCCTGTCAACGCCCCAACCAAATAAAACTTGACAATAATACGAATAATTTTTGCACGGAGACAGAGCCAGAGCCAGAGACTGAGACTGGGACAGAGACAGAGCAGATGATGGGATATGATTATATATTATGTCGCAGTCGTGCGGCTGCATAAACACGGCGCAATCATAAAAAGCGGAATTAAACAAATGTTGCCAAGAACGGGAATGGGAATAGGGAATGGGAATACGGTTGTGGGGAGAGCACCACCTCCACTCCCATAGAGCACGTGAGAATTGCATTAATATGAATGCAAATGTGCATCCCTCGGGGGTATGGCGGAGACAAATCTATAAATTTATGTGCAAATGTAGCAAGAAATTGTCGAGCAGAAGTCGCGCGAAATTCTTTTTCTTTCTCTGCCGTTTCGAGTTGACAGCAAGTTTTTACGAGTATTATGATTTTCCTTGCAGTCGGCGAAGACGTGCAAAGACTTTGCTTGGCTTAAGCTTATGAATTGCTGACGTGAGTTTGGGGACTTCCAAGTGACAGACGCGAACGACCCCGTCCCATCCCCGAAATGCAGCGGCAAATTGCAATTCTAATTATCGTATTAGCCGGCAACGTGTCGTGCATAAGAAACGCAAACGGCAACGACGGAGGCAACGATGACGGGTGAGTTATGCAAATTTTCCAAGAACAATAAGTACATGCCACCTTCTTCAACCCAACCCTCCCCATTCTGTCGTTTTGCAGAGAGGAGCAGCACATTTCCGTGAAGCTGAAAAACTTCTTTCCCTCGGAGCCGCTCAACGAGGGACCAACTAACGAGCCGCCGCCACAAATATCCGCCCGTGTCACCTCCAACTCGGGCTTTCGACCCTCACAAATGGTGGACTTTACGCCGTCGGATGTGATGCCCAGTGGCGGTCTCAATCGCTATCCCCCCAGCTATCTGGCGCCCAACTATCAGCACCAGTTCCCGAGCTCCCAGCATCAGTCTCCACCGGTCATCAGTCATCAGGCGGCGATGGACAAGCAGTTCTCGTTCCCCGAAGAGTCTTCGGGGGTCTACCACAGCCTGGGCAGCACTCCGATACCTACTACGCCGGTGGTTAGCTACCTGGATCCGTACACCCAGCAGAACTATGGATATGTGCCTACGGCGACGCCACCCACCCTTATACAGTATCAGAGGGAACAGCCCGAAGACGATCAGGCCTACACAGTGCAGTCCTCGCTGCTTGTAGGCAGCCACCAGCAGCAGCCTCAGCGACCACGTCCAGGGTTTGTGGACGATGTCTATCTTAAGCGGCCCGGCTATGTCTTCGATGAGAGCCCCTCGTCGGCGGTGTATCGCAGACCCACGAAAGCTCCGCCAGCCCTGCCAGCGCCACCCACCACAGCGTCGCATAAAATTTCATACGATTCGCATGATTACCCGCCGCCGAGCTATGCAGCCGAGCAGACATCCAATTTCGTGCCCCAAGCCGTGCCCGAGCGGCCGCTCTACAACCGCCAAGACATCAATGACAATCGACCAGCGGTGCAGGAGGCCCATCGACCCCAGCTTCAGCCCCAGCCCCATCACAGGCCTCCTTCCTCGTCTAATTATGCAAACAACTTTGATAATTATTTGCAGCGGCCGCCACCCAGCTACCAGAGCCAGTCCTATGCCCAACCCCAAACGCAGTCTCAGTCTCAGTTGGGGTCCAGTCCTACGCACTATCAATACGAGCCGCTGGCAAGACCCCAGCCAGGAGTGGGATATGGACAGGGACATGGACAGGGACAGGGACCGGGACCAAGACCAGGACACAATTACTACGAGTATCAAATTGGTGAGATACCGCCACCGCAATCCCACCCCGGACAGCGACCGAGCCAGTACCCCAGTCAACATCAGCAGCAACAGCAGTTTAACTATCGTCCTGGAGCAGGGCCAACGACATATCGACCCAGTCAGTCGTCGTCGTCGTCGGGCGGCGGCGGCGGCGGTCTGGCCACACTGGCATCGCTGTTCAGCTCAACGCAGCAGTACGCACCGCAATTTACGAACCTCCTCCTGGCCGGAGTTGGCGGTGGCGGAGGTGGCACAGCCTCCTCCACCCAATCGCAATCCAGCCCATTAGGCAGTCTCCTCGGCGCGTTCGCTGGCAATGGATACCAGCAGCAGCAGTATCAGAAGCCTCAGCAGGGACGACCACCCAACACACAACTCATTAGAGCCCTGGAGAACATCGCACGCAACGACGATTTGGAGTGTGTGCCCAAGGTGCTCTGCCAGATGATTGCCGGTCAAACGTTACGTGGCCAATTGCCAGGCTTCATTACGTCCCCGGCCATAGCCAAGTGAGTTTCACGAGGGGTATAATGAATGGGGGAATATGGTATGGGGAATGCAAAATGCGGAATGAGAGTTGGGGGCTGGGCGGTTGGGCGGTTGGGAGTTGCGGCTCAGTTTGCAGGGGCTTTAGTTGTAAGTAAATATTATTAAATTTGCATTTTAAGTCTGAGGGGGGAACTGAAGGCATCGTGTTGCCATACCGAAGCGTTAACTGGGATTAGACTTCATTAGTCCGAAACCATATTGATTGTTCCATTAAATGAGCTACGTTCAGGGGTTGCGTTGCACTGCAGTACGGGTTTGGCAGACGTAGACGTAAACGTAAACCATCTCCTCCTTCGATGGTAAATTGAAATTGTTTTGGCTTTGGCCAAATTCTTGGCTTCGAGTCAATTAAGTTTTATAAGCAGCTCAAAATGAGGTTCACAGGCAGATGGCAGATGGAGTCACATTAGTTAGATAATGAGATGAAAGGCTTGTTTCCCTTGATACCCAATACACGTTACAGATGGGATACCACCCCAAAGAAGGAGTTGGTGGTGAGGTTTAGATTAGAGACAGCCATAATGAGGTATATTTATGGGTCTTCAAGCTATGAATCATGATATTATATAGCAGATCCCATATTCTGGTTGGGATCGTGGTATTATTGTAGCCAGAGTGAAGTAAATAAGTTTGCCAGCGTGTCTAATTATTATCTCTCCCTCTCTCCCAGTGTGACTTAGCACTAAAAAGGTGTGTTGAGAAACGTTTGCCTCATACCGATTGGTTTTAGATATTATCGCTAGAGTTTCTGCATCGATATATATACCATGAACTCAACCTTTGCTATCCTTTCCATACAGTTTCCTCGCTGGTTTTCCCGTGGCCTCACCCGCCCTCATCTATGGAAGGGCTGCCCTGCTGGGACTCAGCGGTGGAGAGCGCAGCTGCCTCCAGAGCTATGAAAAGTGTCCGAAGAATGAGGTAAGCTCCGCACTGCACTCTCAGACGTGAAGCAGGCTTAATGATTATTAAAAATAAACCCACTCTCATCGGCAGATGGAAATCATTCACTATCTGAACAATCATCGCGGGGGCTTTTTCAAGTTCTTCAGCGAGCCGGAGGAGCAGCCGGTGGCAGCGCAACAGAGCGAAGGTGGCGCGAGTTCATTCTTTAGCATTCTCTCAGCCCTGACAGGAGGAGGTGGAGGCGGCGGAGGTGGCCAGAGCCAGGTATACACCACACCGCGACCTGTGGCACGACCACGACCCACCCAGCGGCCCAGCACGGACATTGCCAGCGGCATCGGCAGCTTCTTTAGCCAGGTACTGTCCGAGTACCTGAATGGGGTGGAGTATCAGCGCAGGAGGAGGCGACGGAGCCTGTTGCCAACGGAAATTAAACGCGCTATTCAGACGGATGATGCCCGCCTGATGCCAGTCGACTTCCACGACGAGGAGGACAGCCTGGACACGCAGTCGGGGCGGGTAGTCAAGTTCCAAGACGACGACGAGGCCGAGGAGGCCCAGGCCCACACTGAGCTGATTGGAGTGCTGCAATTTCCCGAGGACGAGGGTCGCGTTCTCAACTTCAAGGGTATTGAGAGTGAGGAGCATCAGGACGGTGCTATCCGCTTTCCGGACGCCACTCCGTCGGAAGCACAACGCGACGACCAGAGTAAAATTATCCGCGAGTTCAATCGCGATGCGGCCCAGCGCAAATTGAGATTTCCCCAGGAAAGGAAAAGGGAGGAGGAGGATGATGGAGCTGTCAGACAGGCTAAGCACTTGGCTCTCATCGAGGGTTGGCGGGCTGTGCTGCCCAATGGCCTGGGCGAGGGGGACTACGGTGTGGACAAGCGTCGAGGCAAGAGGATTGTCTTCAAGGATACCAACGAGGAGCTGGACGAACAGGCAACTAATGAGGAGAGGTACAGGGAAGAGCAGCAAAGGGAGGTAGAACTGAGGGAGGAACAGCTAAGAGAGGAACAAATCAGAGAGGACCACATCAGAGTCCAACTGAGAGAGGAAATGATCAGAGAGCAACAGCTGCGAGAGGAACGAACCAGAGAAGACGAGCTCAGAGTCGAACGCATCCGAGAGATACAGCAACTTCGCGACGCACCCGAGCGCTATCCACTGAATGCAGTCTACGAGGAGGCAGCCCCACCCCAGCGAGGCGCACGGGTCATCTTCCCCGATCACTATGAGCGCTATATCCGTAAAGGAAAGATCCTGAATCGACCCACCTATGCGCCCAGCTACGAGTACAGCGACAGGAGGGAGGAGAAGGAAGATCGCCTGGTCCTAAGCAATGACCACAGGCCTGGTGCTCACTACCGCCTGGAGACAGGCGACTATCAGAGCCAAAACACCCTAAACTACGGCGAGTACATGCCAAGCATGTCCAGTACGGTTCGCTTTGGGGAACCATCCGATGAGCGACCTGCCCCACAGTATAACTATCCCAATGCGAACTACATCAGCGACAATCGGTATGGCAGCAGGCCAAGTCAGAAGCCCCGACACGAGGACGACAAGAACATCTACGTGACGAACTCGCAGGGCGTCAATGAGTACTACATCCGACCCGATGGCAGCAAGGTCTACCTGAGGGCGGGCTAGGCTTAGAGTTAGAATAAGCGGTGCTTGCACCAAAACCCACTTAGAGGCAGGACACATATAGTCATAAGTCTGTAAATATTTAATACTTTAAGGGAGTGCATACGTACATATATATTTATTAATAAAACCCAATTCAATCAAAGACCAACAAGTGAAATACGCTCTGAGCGCAATTGTCGCATAAATCTAGCGACAAACGGCAACATCCAGGGAATATGTTTGAAAAATTAAATGTGATAAACCCCAAACGAAAGTGAACAAGAAAAAGAAAAACCCCTGCGGTGTGTACTCCGACTGAAAGATACCCATTATTCAGATGTAACATTTGCAAGGGCACTAACATACATATATTTTCCGATGAATTTAGTGGAACGATAAACAATAGTTATTTGCAAGTAAGAGAGCGATGTCTTACTGAGTGTTCCCAGATATTCCTTCGTTTCCTTCTTGCACTAGACGAGTACAGGGTATAAAAATAAAAAAAGCAAAATACTGCGGAAAGCCCTGAACCCCAACCGAACAGACAACAATTTTCTATTGCTTCTGTTCTTTTTTCCGTCAGCGTTTTCCCAAATGGTCGAGCGTTTGTCAGTGGGAAAATCACACAGCTATGCCAAAGTGCACGAAAAAAGTGCAGCATACTCTTGTGCGACGGCCGCTACCCGCTGCCCGGTTGCCAGGGTTGTCATTGCCAACCGAAAGCTCAAAGCAACATTTGCTGCTGTTGCTGCTGTCGTTTCATTTTATTTACAGCACTCGGGACACTGGCAGCGACACAGACGACAGCAACGACAGCGACGACAGTTTGTATGCAAAACCATATGCAGCTGGGTTAATAAATGGGGAAACAGTGGTGGTGTAGTGGGTGCCTGGGAGGGGCATGCTGTAGCGGGGTTTCGGAGTCTGAAACTGAGACCTGAGTGTAGGTTTTGTGTATTTTGGCATGTTGCAGCTCTGTTGTTGGCCATTCAACAGTGGAGTTGTGGGAGGTAAAAACAAGAAAAAATAGAATTTAGAGGAAAACCACAAATTGAAACGACTAAAGACTGACGTTTGATTTGGGAATAATTTGAAATTTATGCTAAGAGATTATTTTTAAAGGGGTTTCCATATCATAATTATTATTTGACACAGAATAATCGTAATCTTCGTAGAGCACTCTGACTGGAAACCCTAGAGCTTATCAGCCCTGTAGAAAGGCACAACCACTTGTAGACTTGTATCAAACTCTTCAGTCACATACCCTCGAGCACAATCAGTGCGGGGTATCAGCTCGCTGGAGCTTAATGCTTTGCGTCAACAATTTGCAGACGGCACTGCATGCAACCGAATTTTTTGTTGCATGCTCTTTGGAGTATCAATTTTTTTTTTGCTGTTGGCATGTGGAAAGTAGTGTGCATTGTCCGATGCGGAGTCCCCAGACATGTCCGAGCATGTGTAGCCACAATTTGGCGATGATTTTTACTGGTTTTTGTTGATTTATTTGCTTACTCGTAAATCTAAGCGCCTACACATGCCGCCTGTTGGCGGACGTTCATTTAAATTAAAACCCTTAAAAGCGACTAAGGTACAACGGAATGATGAAATGAAGTAAGGACAAAGAGCATAGAGCATAGATACATATGTGGATGGAGTATAACAAAGATGTCCAGAGTGACTGACTACGGGCGCACACTCAGCCTCCAGCCTCCAGTCTCCAGCCTCCTCGAGTCCCCAGAGGAGTCAGCTCCGCCCCAGAGCTTCATGCGGAGCCGGATGGATGGTTGGATGGGCTCTTCATCGCGGCTGTGGTGGCGGCAGGGGTCCAACGCCCGGACAGGGCATCCGCTTGGCCAGGTGCTTGCACAGCGGCACATCCCGTACCGCATCCCCGATGAACAGCGACAGTAGATACCATTGTTTCATTCCGCCGTCGTTGCTCGATTGCACTTTGTAGTTGCTGTTGGTTCAGTGGTTGGGTTGGTACACACAGTTGCAGTCGAGAAACAAAAAGCGGATTACAAAAATAATTACTCATAAGTAAGCGGGTAATATGGAGGTATACAAAACAACAGAGTAGCCATACCCATCCATCTTCCATCTTCCCCCCAACTGAAAAGCAAAAGCAATTTGCAGGAGCAGACACAATGCCGGAGGAATGCTGTGAATGGTGTGGGTTTTACTTGGCTTATTTGTGTAATGGTTGCATGCTACTTATGCGGGGGGGTAATGGCAATGCCTTTCTGTAGACTTCACCCAAACCCATGAAGGTTGTGGTATGGTTGGGATAGCAGGAATTCTGAGATTCGTTAGTGGCCAATGTTGTAGGTTGTAGTAGAAGCAATTCTTAAGCAGTAGCTGATTAGTAAGCATTCATTTATCGCTAATTAATATTATTATCGATTATTAATTGACAAGCAAACATTCCTATTTATCGTTAAAGGATTGCAATGAAATAATATTTTCGTTTAATATTTATATTAAATTTTATCCCAAAGCCCAACTCTGTGAACATAAAATATATTTAATAAAAAAATGCATGTACATTGTACATATATAAATTCCCATATTTATTTCCTGAAAGTTATCCTCCCTGGGGAGTGGACCCTGCTGATTACTTTGTGATATGCGCTGCTCTCTCTCTCTTTATTTCATTTTTGGTTGCTGTCCACACTTTGACGCTTTGGTCACACCTATATACGGACAGATGGACTCTTCAAATTTCACACGTCTGCAATGGCATAATTTAATCAACTCAGTAACAAACACATCTGCATTCGCCCTGCGGCGTGGGAAACGAAACGGTAGAAACAAGGAACAACAAGGGCAAACTGGAAACAGGACAGAACTGACCGAAGCCCAGACCAAACCAGAACCAAACTGAACCGAACTGTACGGTTGGCACTCCCCACTGTGCACTTGCATAAATTTAATCAAAAACTTTAATCATATTTTATTATTACAAAACACGTTGTTGTCGTTGTCGTGGCCCAAACGTGGCAAAGGTAGAAAACTTCTCCTAATGCCAATTACATTTGCAGCGCAACGAAAACTAAACAAAACCATCAGAGAGAGAGACTCAGACCCAGACTCAAACCCAGACTCAGACTCAGACCCCACACAGACTCGCATCTGAGCTGTGGTGTGGCTAAAGGTGAAGGAGGTAGGTGTCTTGGCAGCCACAGACAGACGAACATTTCAAAAATAATTTTGAATATTTGCTCTTGACACGTTGGCCAAACAACTTTTGGCCATTTGTTTGAGGGGGGGGGGAGAGGGCTAAACATTAAGTGTGAAAATGTCAGATGCATGTGGAAACCTTTTTGCGATATGACAAAATATTAAAATGGAAAATCCCCTTTCAGCAGTAACAAGTAACCCGAACAGGAAAATATTACTTATACGACACGTCTGACCAGGTCCTGACCAGGGCCTGCCCTAAGAAGCTTTTCTTTAATCTCGCCTTTGTTTGCTCTACTCTGCTCTGTTTCCTCCTCCTCTGCTGTTTCGAAATATTTCCAAATGGAATCAACAGTAAAAATGTTTTACTATCACTGACCAGTCAGACATGCCAAGAATCCGCCCTTTTATTGCATAAACTCGAATAAAAACTGCATGAAAGCCATGGAACTTCGATGCACCGAAAGTGTTTGTACCCTTTCGCTTCCTTGTGTACATCAGAATGGTTTATATTTGCAACAGTAACAAGATGGAGCATAGAAACAGAGTGTTACCCTGTCTAAAATTAATCCCCATATTAAGTGCATGTACCAAATGACAATATACCCCCCGAAAGAGTAATGGAAGTAGATATTCACCAGAAAAAGAAGAAGTAGCAAGAGACAAGCGCATTAATTATGAATCACAGCAGCCCCTTAGCTTTAGGGGGCGCTGCTTTTGATGGTTTGGCAGAATAATTTCCTTCCTCGTAACATTACCATGACAATGGAGGGGACGGATGGACCCAGAGGGCAACTAACTCATCAGGAACTGGGAAAAGTTAAGAACAAATTTATGTAAACTTACAAATTGAAATCCAAAACTAAACTCAACGCCAATGCCAAAGTTAAAGCAATGACATGCACATTTAACTTCAAACAGAAAGCAGGGAGAATAGTAGCAAGGAAATGCATTAAATTATGCACAGATGAGTTAGCAATGCCAATGACAATGGGCAATCGGTAAAGAAGAAGGATCTGGAGAGGAGGCAGCGTCAGCGACAACAAGGAGAAATAAAAATTGATTGGAAAACATTTTTACCCTGGCTAAAAACAAGCCATTCATTTGCCAAATGACAACAACAGCAGCGCCAAATCGCAAGCGTAGCAATAAGCAATGCAATCGGAGATACTCTCAGTCGGAGATGTGGTTGTTGGGAGAAGAGATGCTGCGGGACCCAGAACCAACAAAAGTTCAAGTTGTTACTGCCAGTTTGGGGAGTAGCCATAAAGTCAGCGCTGCACTTGAGCGGCAAATGAGCCAAGACACTCGTGGGTAATGGAGGAAGCCGCACTGGAAACACCCTAAAATGAGATTGTGAATGAGAGAGATCCAAACTATATTCAAGAAATCTTTCTGCTTTATGCAAAACTATAGACGAAACCCAACCTTTTATGTACAAATAGTTTGAAGAAGTTTGTCCATTCGATGGATAGATAATATTAAAATATATATTTACATAGTTCAGTTTGTTAGTTCCTTGCCACCATAAACCTATAAAACCCCTGCAGGGTATACCACATCCATGGGGACCCGCACCGACCTACCTCAAGACCTCCGACCAGGCGGCATGCGGCTTGGCTCTGCCGTCGCCCGAGGCACGTGACGCATGCACACGGCACGGCTCCTCCAGGATGCAGGCCCGTGGCCCGAATGCGCTCAAGATCTGCTTCTGGGCCAACTCAGCATCCAGGGCCAGCGGGTGGGCGGTGTCGCGTCTGCTGCGCGACCTGTAGGTGCCTGTCGCAACGAGAATGAACAAACTCAGAGAATGACAAATGCAGCCATCACAAGGGGTGTAGCGAATGCGGGAGTAAGTTTCGTTTTGTCTTTGCTGGGTGCTCAAGCACCCTCTCCCTTTTCCTCTCTCACTCTCCCTCTACCTCAACGCGTGGCTTTAAAGTTCAGCGAAGAAGTTCAAAGCAGTGCGGAATTTTACAGTATTTCACTTGCTTACTCATCTTCAAAGCTCATCACCATCGTAATCTTTATCTCGCTCGCGCTCTTTGTCGCCGAAAGCTTTGTTAAGTGACTCAAGCTAACGGTTCCGCCTCTGTTGTGGTCTGGTCTCTTCCATCCACAGCTTTACGCAGTAGTTGGGGTTTTTGATAGCCGGCAGACAGCCTTGACCCGATTTTTCATTTGTCGCCTAAGTGGACGTGCACGATTCGGATCGAGTTTCTTTAACGGGCGAATGCCCCTCATTGGAATGATGTTATTGTCGGGGGTTTGTAAACCAAATATTGCAATATGTAGGTACATCCGTGGTTTTCCCCGAGACAAGTTTGTGCTCTGAATTTAACTTCATATGGTAAGTTTTTGTCTTGAATGAAGAAGGGCATCCTATTTTTGTTTTTGAATTTATTTCAGTACGGCACGGATGGGGAATTTGTTTGGAAAAGTATTTGCACACGGAAAAAATAAATTTGCACTGAATAATTAATTACGTATAATTCATATAAAAAAATCATATAATCAGAAAATGGACTGAATGCACCTTCCAATGCAACAGTAACTCAAATCATTTTCCAACTTTCGACGTGTTCAATTTTTAAGTTAAATTCAACAATGCAAAACAGTTAATTTATGCACAACATAACCACAGTAACTTTCACTTGTAACCAAAGCCGAAATGTAATAAAAATATTGAATTCCAAGAGGGCCAGGACTTTCACGCACAGAGTAGAAGGGTGAGCCCGACCAGACCGACGACTTACTTGGACTCAGGGAGTAGGCCAGCTTCCTGGCGAACTGCGAGAGGCGTACCGAGAGCACTATGACCGGGAAGCCGACTAGTTGGACGGGCAGATCGAAGAGCGGGTCCCCATTCTGGGCCAGACCCTCCTCGACGAACTCAAGCAGCAGCACAAGGAGCACGCACAGCGTGGGCACCAGCGAAAGAGTGCAAATATAACGGAGATTCATGGTCGTCCAAGTGTCTCTGGCTGCTCTGACTGACTAGTTAAACAGTTGTGTAATAGTCTCCAATACGAGATCTACGAGCAAACGATTCGATTCGGCCAAGCGGCAGGCAACTTGGTGCGCTTAAAGTCTTTGACTGACTGAAGCGACTGGGGTCCGCTTGGGCCCGCCAAAGCGCAGCATAAAAGACAAAACTTTAACTCAAACAAAATATAGAGAGGAGACAGAGAGACACAAGAGAGAGAGAGGTTGGCCAAACCCCAGCTGTAAGTCCACCTGTTGTGTAAAGCGTGTGTACCCACGGTACTCGTCGAGCAAGGGGTATATTTTATTCGTGTAAATGGACATGCAATGGGGAGAGAGAGCAGAAATGGAGGAACCAAAGAAGATCTACTTTGCTTGCATTATTTGACAGATAAATGATATAGTTTCTAATAAAATGAGCACTGGGTATCCCATAGTCGGTATAAAGACCACAGCGTTCTTTCCTTCTTTTTTGCAGGCCAAGTTTATTTTGCATTTTGACCAAGTTTGGTGCGGAAGCCAAATACAAGTGAAAGTGCGGTGCGGCACGGCACAGAGCAGAGGGCGCACTCCTAACTAGCCAAACAAGCTTCCACTGCCAGGCAGTGCTCACTGTACCACAGAGCGCTCTCTCACACTCTCTGGCCGCTCTCAGGGTCTGTATAATTATTTAAAGTTATGAAATTTCCCACCTTAAGACTCTCATTAAACGTCTTAGCATTGGGACTTGGCTCATTTCGGTTTCCTTTCGGAATTTCTGTTTGATTTTTTCGCTACTTTTACTGTTTGTTGCCTTGCATATCAATTACTTCATTTATTGCTGCGTCGGTCACTCCATTTCCGTCTTTGTGGGACGAGGTGCGAAGTTTCCTATATAGAAAAGCAGTTTACGGGGGCTAATATTGAAGCAATTTGTTTTTTATTGTATTGTATTGGTTTAGGGTCAAAAGTTTGCGCCGCCCGACTGGCAACAGATGGAGTTCCCAAGTGGAACCAAACGAAAAGGAATTTGCATAGTTGAGTTAGTAGGAGGAGTATGAATCTCTGACCCTACATATGTATATAGTACCTTATATACATACATATATATTCTTGATCAGAATGAATATTATTACCGCTAGAAAATAAACATTTTTATAATCAGAATGAAGAAAAAATATTTCCCAGCATGGCTGATCTATGTAAATAAATAAATTTCTCTCCCAGTGTGGCTTATGGTTTTTATGTCCAGCAATTACTCGAATACCCTCTATTTGTCACCCGTAAAAATCCCCTGCTCATTCTATCATCACACTTTTTTATAATTTTTTATATCGGTATGTTTATATAGGCATACATATATTCAAAGTAAGGGACGGTTAGCATGATATCGACAAACGTGTGGCTCGATAGAAAATATTCGCAAACGTTATCTATTTAAAAAAAAAAATGAGTGCACAGAAATAATTATTGTTGTTAATAAACTTTTCTGCTTGTACCATTGTGATGTTTATTTACTTATTGCATAAAACTAGATTTCTTTCATTGAAAAATATGTATTTAAGCAGATCCCATATATTGTTTCGATTTTTACAAAGTATTCCCTTACCATAGTTTCAAATTGAAACTTGTTGCTGCGAAAGCTTATCGATCGATAATTCTTATCGAACATATATTCCACTTTTTTAAAAAGATTTCCCAAGATGATTTGGTCTTTATACATAAGTCCTGTGCAACTTTTCTTTCACAGTTCCAAGTATCCGTTTCGTATTTCTCGAGCCTTTACGAGTGAGGGGAAATCGGCAGTGGTGAAAATAAAATCTAAAAACGACTCGTCTTTCCGTTTGTTCACTATTACAAACGATTCACCAGAAGTCCTGCGGAACATTATATTCAAGCAACCATGGTTTGAAAATTTGAGCCCGCACCCAATATTTCTCGAATGTTATTTTTCGAGGTATGAAAAAGGAGCTGCCGAGCCACCAGGTGAGTAATATAATTATGCAGTGAGACTTTTAAGACCTAAACTTTTTCCTTTGCAGATGAGGGTGAATCAGATGAAGTTTAATAAATCGAAACTTAAAAACCCACCAATCAAAACCTCATCACAAAATGTGCATAAACAAAAGTAAAAATATAATATAGCATTTTCATAGTTTTAAATCCAATCTTGCGACTAGGCCACTCGATAAAACGGTTTACAGACCTCTCAACGATTATATCGTTCTTTCTTTTTGTAAAGAACCGTCGTCGACAGCACGCTGTTAATTTTTTCATAGTTCAATTGATAAATAAAAAAAAACTCAAAATGAGTAGTTTGATTATTTTGCTATTTCCTGGCATGCCAACTCGCATTCCAAAAAGCCATCCGTCGTTCTGAAAGCTTTTTCAAGGACTCATAAAGCGAATAAATTGAAAATTAAATGTGGACAGACAAGCCGCATGGTCACAGTTTCAAATGATTGTCCAGCAATGAGGGGAAAGATTCTCGACAATCAAATATCATTTAAGAATTTAAGCAATGACACTATATTCATCTGTTGTCGCCATTTGACTGAGGAACAAATCGCTAAACGGGCGCAAAAGAAAGTGAATAAATCCCGCAATGAGGTGTGCGATTGCACCTAAAACATTTTTCTTTTCACAAACAAAGCAGAGGAGGACGTTGCAACATCAAATAACTAATTACATACATATGAACATCCATATTTGGGTATATACAGAATGTACCAATACGAATTGCAATTCCAACATTCCAACATTAAACATTTTGCATACAAAACAACATACTAAAAATATCAAAGTAATAAACATTAAAAGGTAACAATATTCACATATTTATTAGACACATATGACCAGATATACAGTTGGCCAATCCTACGTACGACTTGAATTTGTTTGCCCAGCTGTTTAGCACCATTTAGAGCTAATTTATCTGTAATTCGGGATGTGCCAAGTCAATTATCAGGGTGGAGCAGGCTGTACAAACGCCCCGAAGCATGTGCCGTTGGATGTGGCTAATGAAAAGTAAGGAAATCAATTGGGAAAAGTAAAGTAAACCCATACCATACAGAGAATTCAATTGAAAGAATAATTTACTCTATATATAACTGCATCAGAGAGTGGTTCATTCAGTCAGTTGGCCAAGCCATAGGCCGACAGACAGACAGAAAGAGAGAGAGACTTGTCTGACGACTCGACTCACGTAGGCACCGCCATCAGAGTTATGCAATCGAATGGAGGAGAGACTCCACCAAAGAGGCACTCCACTCCAACTACCGCTATAGCAAAATTGCTCTTTCAGTGAATCAAAATTGTGCCTTACATTTTATGCAGACTATTTTTCGCTTTACCGTTGCCGTTTCGCCTCTGTTATGATTGGATTTAATTGATGCACACTGGGAAATGGGGCTTTGCCAGCTGCTGTGGGGGGATACCCGGTTTTGGTGAGGGTTTTTTCATTTTTGCCTCGCCAAAATATGCGGAAGTTATTAGTGAAAAGAAACACCGACACAGGAGACAGAAGTCTGGGACAATGCAACTGCAACAGAGACTGGCACTGGATCCGTCCCCTCTTCGGCCATTGCATAAGCCAAACAACTTGTCAAGAGTCGGGCCAAAAAACAGCTACCAGCCGGCCCCAGTGCGAGTCCGAGTTTGAGCCAAACATGGGATGGATTTGGGCCAGGCCAAACAATGAAAGTTGCGCACAGTAAAGGCACGCAAGCAGCGTAACAACTACAACTACGAATGGAATGAGTACATATGTACAGTGCAAAGCAAATCTGACCCAATTCCCGATTTCATATTACATACAATTTGTTTGCATTTATTGTTCAATTTTTGTGCAGGTCTGTTGCCAAATTGGACGTGTTTTTGGCCGGCAGGGCACTCATGGAATTTCAATTAAAATTCAATTATCTTTTATTTTCCCCTCAATTAATATGCCCCTCCCTCCCACACAAACACTTTGACTGATTTCTGAATTAGCCAGTCAGAAAGTCTAACAATAATAATTCCACAGTGATTTTTAATTCCACCATCAATATGTTTTGTCATATTTCGACCATTTCGCTCACATTCCCATGGCATGCATTTTTTTTCTTCTTCCAGATGTGCCCGGCATACCCAAACGATCGTTGGATCGTTGAGGCGTTTGTAAACAAAAGCGAAATTCTAATTTCGTTTACGCAATGTCATTGGATCCATTGAATTTGCATATAAAGTGTTCAATTCTCGATTTAATCAGTAAAAAAAATTTGCGTGTTTTTGTTTATCGCATTCAAGGTGTGTGGCGTGGCCAGTATTTTCGTGATACGCCTGAAAGTATGTGGATGGAATCGTCGTAGGCAAATGAGGGTTAAACTAAAGAGTGGATAAGTCGTGGAGGGTTTTACAGAAAGTGGTCAAGAAAGTCATTGAAGGTTTACAGGAGAAAGCGCTCAGTCTTTACTTAGGTATATTAGTATGCGAACAGATATCCCAAAATCCGTTGCGGGATAGCCCCCACAAAATAATTTCACAGATATGGTTAGATTCACCCCAATATATTTCTATGAAGAACATAATAAAGAGTTTTCTTTACTATAATCAGAACTGGAGATTCATTTTAGCTTCTTTGATGTTCTGCATAGTTTTCTCATATAATTTAGCTTCTCCATTAATCGATACTGCTTTTAACTCTTCCAAAGATTGTGTTACGTTCTCTTAAAATTGTTTTGTACATTTATTCGACTTCCCCTTCCTATGTGTGCATTTCGACTATTGCATGTTAGCTATCAATTTAAAACCGAACAAAAATTATAGAAGCACGATCAAATTTCGCCCCGACACGCGGCAAAATCGAATGATTCATCTCAATGCGCGCTCAAGCAAATGATTTGATGGCGGAGACGACCTTCCATTACATACAAATTTCTATAAATAATATAATTTCAGTGCCAGCAGCAGGTTGATTTGATCGCTTCCTAGGCATTCAGAGAGATGCACTTGAGGTAGCGATTAGCAAAGCGTTTCACACAAATCACCGAAGGGTGACAGGACACATATGAGGACCGATGACCGAACCCCACCCCCCAAGATCATTAGCACAAAACCCAGCACAAGCATACACACCCAGAAAGTAAGTGGAGGCAATGAACAATAAGTGTAATTTATTAACAATTAGAGGAGCGTCGAACTTACGCCTAGACTGTGACTAGAGTCACACTTAACTACTGACTACACCTAGGACTCGCAGCTAACAGCAGCTACAGGGTTGCTCCACAGTTCTATTGTCACATCAGTCATGCCTTGGAGTGTTTACTTAACTTAAGGTCTAAGGGTCTAAGGGAATTGTACAAGGTAAGCGGCGACAGTGAAAACATATGGTACAAAAGCTGAGGTCACTATCTCTAATACTTAGGATATAGACAGATGACAAATGATTGTAGATCAGATCACATCGGCTGGCCCTAAGGCCTAGACCCTGACTTTGTAGCTCAGCTTCATGAGCTTCTTGGAGCTGATCGGGCAATTGGGCCACAGATTGGCACAGCCCATGGGTCCGCTCAGATTGTCCCCAGTATGGCGCATCAGTTCACCCATGTGGGCTGCAAAATACCATTTGCTCGGCGGCATATTCATCATCCAGGGCATTGTCGGTGATCTGTGAATAAACACAACAAATTTTAGACGGAAGTTTCAACTGAACAACTGAACAAATGTTAGATATTATAATAAGGTATCGTTTCACGCTCTGCCTGGCTTTGCCGCTGGAGTCTCGTTTCTAGTTTCGCTTTCAGTAGTCAGTCTATATCTGGCATGTCTCTATGCCATTCACCTTGTTTTCTGATGCTGTTGTTTTAGTGTATATGTTGCTAAGCTTTTACATCGGCCTCGGCTCACCTTTGTCTCAAGTGCGAGGTTACATCTGAAGTTGACTGGGTTTCTGTGCTGCCTGCCTGTCTGTTTGTCTATTTGTCTGTCTGTGAGGTAGGTTATGACTTTTGATCTCTCTCTCTCTGTCGTTTGTATGTTTATCTTTAGTAAACTTAGTGCTAGTGCTGCACTTTAATCAGTGATTTTGTTAAATGAAAACCTAATGGCTTTCAATCAGTCAAACCCTTTGGGAACCTGTTTTCCAAACAGTTTCGCAGCTGTTGGGTATGTAAATAGTTAGTAGATCACTTAGGAACCCAACCGGTTTCATTAGCTGCAATTTTCCTGGCAAACACTCATCTAGTTCTGTTAGCAAATGTGAGTCAGATGGGAAACACTCCACTAAGAAGGGTTCAGATTTACCCATTTAAAATACAATTTTCCCCCATTTTACGTTTGGGAATCAATATTCTCTATATTCCCCACGACAGTATACTTTTATCAGGAATTCTTGTTCTGCAGCATATTTATCTTTAACTAGTTGGATTCAAAACTATTCAAATGTTTCTGCAAGTCACTGACAACTGGTTTTTTTTTTTTTGTAGCTATAAATTTGTATGTTGTTAGTCTCCGCTGACATTTATATGCCATGAATTTACTCTGCTAAATATATGTCATAGAACTCTAAACATCTGAAGCTCTCTTCCAAAAACTTACCGGATCAGCCTGAGCAGCTCTCTCTCCTTCTCGCTGAGCTGGTACTCTGGCTTGGAGGCCAGCTCGCAAAGCATTTTGGGCAGACACGACTCCTTGATGGTGTCCGTCAGCTGGGATTTGGTCTTCAGGCTTGCCCCAGTCACCACGGCCATGCCTGGCTTGAGGGCAGCCGCCGCTGAAAACTCATTGAAGTCGTGCTCTAAAATAAAGTACAACAAAAGTTAGTTGTTCCAATCCATCTATCAATTACCCCCTGATTTTGGCATTTGCATGGCTAATTCTGCTTTCTAATTAAGATTTCGGGAACTGCGCAAAACAGAAAGATTAAATAGGAGGGGTAAGGTGAATCCGGACAACTTAATAATGATTATAATCTACAGACAAAACAATACTTTGGCATTCCAACACTGACTAATATATGGCTAGAACTTTGCTGTCAATCGCTTAAACAAGTTTAAAAAGTCGGCAACAATTGGGCAAATACTCGTAAAAATACAAATATATATAGAAATTGAGAGTGTTGGCATCACTAGTATTCGTATTCCTGTTTATTTTTGGTCGAGTGGTCACCAAATATTTGCCTGCCTTTTCGCCTAATCAGCTGTTGCAAATTTTTCAACGTTTTCTTAACGACTCCTCCGCTCCGCCCCGGACAAGGCCAAGCCAAAGCGTTGAACTTTACTTTTGAATATTTGTTCAGTCATCCAAACACTGGCTTTATTATTAATTATGGTCTGTGGTGTGGTGTGGTGAGGTATCCGTCCGTCCGTCCGTTCAATGGAATATTCATATTCATTCCCATTATGTTTTAGCCGGCAAGGCGGTACGGCCCGTTTTTGGTCGGAAACTCTTTGGGATTTTGAACTTTGAATGCGGAACCAACAATGCAAAAACCCCACATATCTTTGTGTGAAAATCCAAGTCTTAACCTCTCCGCTTGGTGATAACACGTTTTGAATTTATGGGGCTCTTCGGCTCCTAATTATCCAGTTTACTTATTGAGAAGTGCAGTCGAGGACATGACTCGACTGGATTTGCCGTTGGTTGGTTACAAAAATGGTTCTTACCAATAGTTCCTATGCCTATTAAATGTTATGTGAAACAAACGTCGGGTGAAAATTCTAACAATAGGAACTCAAACAAAATGATAAACATTCTTGCATTCTGGAGAATATTCAGCCCAGAGCTTTAGAGTTTCTAATTGGACAAACCTGTCACTTAGCTAAACAAGTATTATCTTTATCTTTTCAGGTTTTCGGAGATAATAAATTGTTTTATAATTGAGCGAATGGAATTCCTTTAATTAAATTTCTGTTCAAGTTAAACTATAATTATTTTTATTATTTTTAAGAGGATCTAAAACAGAATATACCTAACCGAAATGGTTAAGACTAAAGGGTACTCCCTAAGGGCAAAAGCCTGAAAGGTGTCAGCTATGAAAAGATTTCTTCTTCAGTTGTGGAGGTCTCATTTAACAACAGATTTGTCTGAAGTGGATTGACTCCATCCCAGAGCTCTTTTCCAACAATCTGTTTCGATGACTCTTTCTTGTTGGTTCCAAGTGCACGTAATTGAATGGAAATACATACAAATTGAAGTACATTTAAATCACGTAGTGCATTCATCAGCGAAATGTTGTTGCTCGGTACTTTGTTGGCCAAAAATCGAATACGCCCATAGTGTGGGGAGTGGGGAACGTGCTCTATTCGATGCAGAGTGAACGGACGGGCATTTACCACCGATTAACACCAATATCCGAAACATAATTACCATGAGGGAACCTAAACACTCACTCTCGATTTCCGTTGAACTCGTTTCCATCCGAGAGACCGATTACGTGTGGATCGGGGAACCGGTTCTGGTCCGTCTGAATATTTCCCAAACCCCAAGCCCAAGCGGACGGAGTAGTGCTTGCCTTAGTTCTGTTCGATAAATTAAATGTCACAAATCAAGTCAAGTTTTCTTCACTTCCTGGTTGCGTTGGTCAGTTAGAAAAATTAAATGAACTTTGGAATACATCTAGACCGGGTGTATATGAATACCAGATCTATCCGTCTAGACGCAGCAGCGTACGAAACTGAAATAAAAAGAGACAAAATGGAAAAAAAAAAAAAAAAGTTGCTCCCCCGTCTTTCCTAATGAACTGCGTTACTCTCCATGAAAGTTGAGATGCAATTTAAGAGACCCTACCTCCCGCTACCCTTCTTCTCGCTCCATCTATCAGTACTTTGGCATCTCATGCAAAGCGAAAACTTGTTGTTTGCGACGGGTTTTATTGCGTCAAGTTTATTTGCCTGGGGTTTTTCCACTTTCACCTCAACAGACAGACGAGCACAAAAGAAATACCAAACCAACCTTCATTAACTAGCAGATGGTTCATCTAACCAAGGAACTGACGAATGGTCGAGGGGTTGAGCGTACCCTTGACTGGGACACAGTCAAAGATCTACTCATGTATTACAGCTTCTGTTTCTACAAAAGAAACCTCAGAGAAACTGTCGGGGGTTTAGGCGTTCTTTCTACTCTGCTAGCTACCGCTTTGGATAACCCAACCCATTTAGAAATCAGGGTACCCCTCTTGGGATGACTTCTCAGGGGTTTTAGGCGTTGGGTTAGGCTAGGACATAAATCCACGCTTCTACGCCTTAGTCGCTCTCTTCAGTGAAGGCAGAATACCCTAGCTAGACCTCACAGCGCCCAAAGGATGACTTCGAAATCAGTTGCAACCAAAAAAAAAACCCAGACTGAAAGCAAAAACTGCCCAATAGTTCTAGATTAAGACGGATTACCTCCTACAGATCTAAGCAACTGACTTGCGACCTTTTCAGACCTGCAAATGCATTCAACCCGAAAAGATTATCAACTAATTTATATTCTTGCTTGCATAAAGAGCGCGCGACTTTAAGCACTGAACTCTCGACTTTCCATCGATTCGATTTGTGTTTTATTGTCTCTACACTACATTCGTAAAAGTATCTTTTCCGGTTTGCCCTATACTCGTGACATTCGTTACGTAATACCTTAACATGTGTTTTCGTCGATACTCTTATGTCATTCGGTTTGGTTTTATATATGCAAATGCAAATCATCGAGAAAGTGGTGGCACAGAAGTGTCTTCGAGCCTTCATCAACGAAAGCCATTCAAACCATAGCGATGGACATGAACTTCGATTGTGTTGAATAATAATTTGCTTCAGATTTGCATAGGCAGTACATCAGATTTGCGAGGAACTGAAAAGCACGGGGCAAATGAAAGTTAGCGAGATGGAAACAGGGCTTTAGAATATTACTTTCCACGATTCTCAGATAGCAAGGCATCGGATTATGCCGGCTATAAAAATGTATATATGTACGGGATGATTTCGGTGTGTACATTGTACCAGTATATTCCCATACAGAACACTATCCCAAGTAATGAAGTCATAGGCAGCAGACACATAACATGGCTTAGTCATAAAATAAAAAAACTTAATGACCCCGTAATAGCTAATGGAAACTTTTTGAACAAACTGTTTAATATGCCAAACAACATTTGAACTTGTGCTAATGTTTTTGGGTACTTAATTCTCGAAACATTGCCCACATGGATCATTAGAACAGCTAAGGAAATGTTTCAGAACACACTGAGGCAGTCACTTTGGTATTTTTAGCTTAAAACGATAAAGGAAAGTACTACGAAGGGATCGAAGTAAGATATTTTTATCTTGAAGTATTTAAATTTCAAATTACTAAAAGAAAACAAAGTCATGACCCCAATGTAAACAAAAGGCATGCCCCTAATGTACTTGTGGAATTCTCAACGTATATTTTAATGACTGAGGGCAACTACACTTGCGCAATAATCTCTCACGTACATTGATCTCCCTCGACTGTGGTTCCGGTGTTCCGGTTCCTTCCAACCAAATTATATTTTTTTAAAAATTTTAATTAAGTATAAGAACGAGCTGTGGCTTACACGTGCCTACAGGCCCATAAGAGTAAGACTCAATTTATAAAACAAAATTAACCTTGATACGACCAAATACGAAAGCGAATTGTATAACAAAAAAATGTATACAATATAACTGAATTTTGCAATGCAACAGCCATGTGAGTAAAACGGTTTGTCAATCAAAAAATTAAAAAAAAAAAAAAACATGACACGTAAGGAAATATCGATGCACCGAAGCCGATATACACTCAGTTATCATTTTATATACGATCATATGGTCTGAATCTTATCTTTTTTTTTAACTATTGACTTAAGTATTTTATTTCATGGAACTTAATTGTTTCTGTTTCATTTCCATGTTCCAAAAATTATCAATTTATTGGTTCAAGTAAATTAATTTTCCTTTGGTCACATTGTATTTAATATTAATTCACATTGAAAGAAATGTTCAAAACTGTATTCCCTAAGAACTGTATTAATTGTTTAGCTATACATATCCAAATATGTATTATGACACTGCGCGTTATATTTTTTATAAATCATGCTTGAACCACGATGGATAATAGATAATTTGTGAGCTTTAGAACTACTTCTGTATTCCTGTTACAACAACCTCAACAAAATTAGAAATACCTTTGCCTGTGTGTGCCAAAATAGTAGGGGAATTGCCAAATAAAATTTGATTTGCCACTTACCTTCGGTTATATCGATTTCGGCACTTTTCGACTGCTGAAACTTGCTGGCTGCCGCAGCCGCTGGACCTGTTGGGGCACCACCACCACCAGCTCTGGCCGCACCAGCGCCGCTGCGTACGCCCACAGAATGGGGATCGCTGTGGTCAGACTTCATGCCACCGCCGTAGCCAAAGAGGTCGCCCACCAGCAGCAGGGAAACGATACCAAAGATCATCAGGCGGCAGCGCCAGGCGGTGTCCATGAGGGCCATAATCCAAAAATTGACAACGAATTCACACACGCGTTTCACAATTTAACAAAATATATATTTCAGCTCGACTGACTGACTTATTTACTTTGGATCTGTTAGCACCTTTTTATTTTGACACTTTTTTCAATGGCAAGCAATCGAAACGCGAAACCCGAACGAAATGAAATGAAAGTCGATGGAAAAACGAAAGCCGTATTTTCCAATGTTTTTAGATTATGTTGAAGCTGAACATGCAAAGAGCGGCAATTAAATTTGGCATTCAAGCGCATATAGCATATGGCCTGTTAGTAACTGTAAACCCGAAATACTCGCCGCACACTATTATATATAATATATATGTATATCTATTTATATACACGTACAGAGAGAGAGAGGGGCACGCGATCGGTGAACGTAGTGATATATCTCCGGTTTGTATGGACACGTCCGACTCGACTCTCAGGCGGCTTGCCACTGAACTAAGCCGAGCTGCACAGAAGAAATACGGCTGTGGTTTACCAACCGATCAGCTGTTCGAGAGACAGAGTCGTTGTACCTGTGTAAGCGCCCGTCCAACAGCTGGTTTGCGCGAGACGGAGAGAACGGAGCTACCTGTGCGAGAGACGAATCTATCTCAGAGAGAACAACAGTGGTTACCTGTTGCTGTTGCTGCGTACGCTCACTTATCGCACTCACTGTTTGATGCGAGTGAACGTATACTAGTTGGACTGGACGACTTGCAAGTTCGACCACCCGAACAGGCCAATGATCCACAACCATAGGGAACAACATATGGGGGCATTTCTTTTGACTTTACTCAATTATATTCCCCGCGTTTAAGACCCTTAAAGTATGTTCTTGAACAACTGTGTGTGTGTGTGGCTAACAAAAATATTCAACTCAAATATTATTCAGGTTTATCCTCCCTCAAGTTAATTTGTTTGTACAGTCACAACTCTTCCATTGTTTGGAGCCAGCACAGAGATGCAAATGTTTGGGTGGATCAAGGAGCAGCTACTGCTACTACATTTACCTGCCCAGAGAATAACCCGTAATTACCAAAATTCTATTCTAATAAATCATAAAAATCAGTCGCGTGCTGGTCACGTAGACCACTGACAGAAATGGCAAATGTTTGGGTGATTCTTCACAATTTTATTACAGGTATGTCCCAACAGCTGCCCGTTGCTCGCTTATCGTAGCAGGCAGAAAGGTCATCGATAAAGATTTATGATCTTTGCGATCTGACAAGCATCTGAGATGCGTAGAGCATCTCAACTGCAACCAGTCGGACTCTGGTTTCCAAGTCTGTGAGGTGCCCCGTGAACAACCATATGTTGCAATAACTAAAAAAAAGGAGCCACGACCAAGAAAAAAAAGAAGCGAAACCAAGTTAAGTAATCGGACGGGTTAAACGCGCAATCGGAACGTGACTTAGCAGTGGCCGGCAGACACCCAAAAAAATGCATGCTCAAATTAACGTCAGCGACAACTTTTTCTCTGCCTTTTCTGGCCAAATTGCAGTCAAGTGTGCAGTGCAGGCGAACGGCAATCTGGAGGCTGACCAAGCCAGGCAGGCCCAGCCTAATGGCCAAGTTTTGGGTGTTGGTTGGTCTGTCTGTGCCACTGGAAACTCCATTCGGAGCAGCTGCAATAAGTACTACATACACGACTCACCTCGCTCGACTCACGGCGTGCGGCATTCGTTTGCTTTGCTTGCCTTCAAATTGCCACCGTGGCTGTCCTTCAATTGCAGCTACGCCCTGGCCCCAAAATAAAACAACAGCGAGAGGAAGCTTAACAGCAGCTGGGAATACCCTACAAAAGCAGGTCGTCTCCTCGACCGCACGTGGAGAAACTAGAAAGCAAATTAAAGACCCTAATGAACAAAGCTACAAAACCTTTTTAACCCATACAAAATCATTTATTTTTGCCATTTAGTGTACAAGTAAATACTCTCATTGGGGTAGAGTATGGAGAGAGAAATAAGTACTCGGTTTTGTACAAAAAACATTTTGCGCCTCGAAGGTTAAGCAGCGCAAATGAACGCCCAAAGAAACGCAGAGGGAGAACAAAAAAAAAGACTCCGACTTCATTGCTGTTTGTCTGTGCAACGAAGCATGGTTCGGGGGGTCTTGAGAAGGTAATTTAAATGTATTATTTATACTTTATCAACACCGCCAGTAACCAGCGGTCCAGATGGTACAGATTTCGTAAGAGGCATAAGAATTAAACATAGGTGCACAAGATGCCATCAGAAAGTCGCAATTAAAACTTAATTAAGGCCAGATATGTTGTCAGTTACGTTACTCTTTGTGGATTTTCCCACACGTGAAACTAGTTTTCAAACCTGAAATTATTTCGGTCATCATTTCGTTTAAAGTGATGTTCTAAACTTTAATAAATAGGAACCCAGAAATTCAATGCAATGGTTGAAAAATGTCTTTAAAGTAGAAACGCAACTAAATCTTTCAGCATCATGCGGATAGCAATGAATTGTCATTCTGTTCTGATTCTATTCAATTGATCTAAGGTTTATTCTTTTCTATTGCTGTTCAACTTTCGTTACTTTTGTAGACAAAACCCAGTTGTCAATTCGATCAACAAAACCCAGAAAAAATTACCTATGATGTGACTTGTCATAAATGGGAAAACTGGTTACATTTGAAGAACTTAAGTTTGTATTTCCATTACAAATGTTTCATTTATTTATTTGGAATTATTTTTGGTATATGTCTATTGGTGCCTTTTGGTACAGCTCTTTGCAATTTGAGACGTCTACCCGGCGAACTCCCACACAAAGTGATCAACATCTCCACGTGTCCGGAGTCCACCTAATTAAATTCCACAATTCGGAGTCTCTGCTGTCATTCTTCTGCAATGAAAATGGTTTCCATTTTGTCAAGCTATCACTTCAACACTCTGGTCTGTATTAACGGCTTCAAATTCCTTCAGAATACAATGGTATAGAAAGCGGTTTCCGGATATTATTGTTGTGTGTTCGCCAAAGGAATGAGCCACACAAAGTTTTAAATGGGCAAGCTGTGTAGAAGCTATGTAACTATCTCACATAAAATGTATTACATTTGCAGGAGTATCACTATTAATTAAGAAATATTAATAGCTATATCTTTTGCTTACTGTAGACAATTTGAATCAACACTGCCAATAAAAAGTCCAAAAAGTCGCACAACATTTAAACGAAGAGCCATTGACTGAGTGAGAAGGAGAAGTCGAGTTCCGTCAAATGTCAATGGATATTATGTATGTGGATAAAAAAAGGGAAAAGAAAATCTACATTTTGCTTCTCAAAATATTATATCTAATTATGAAAGGAGGAGAAATTCAGTTCTAATGAAACTTCTATGATTTAGAACGTATCCTGAAGTTTGCATGTACATGAATCTATGGTTTTTCTTAAGCAAATGCTGAATTGTAATGAAATCTAATTGCATCAACGTTTAGTAATTAAAGACATTTAATTCCCAGATTAAGAAATGGTTAAATTGGTTTGTCAATTAAATTAAATTGAAGCAATAAATTGGCGCGAAATACGAAGCGATTGAACGAACACCCACATCCTGCCTGAGCGCAAAACGGAAACGGAAGCTTCCTGAACATTGGCTGTGGGCGTTTTTTTTTACACGGTATCCATAAGAATCAAGGGCATGACCTGTGTTTATGAAGTATGTAAGACAAAGTGATTCCTAATCATCACAATAGAAATAGAATAGAATGTCTTATGGTTAAATAATTTTTGTTTTGTATAACAGGTATCCTTTAGTCTGAAAATCGTCCAAGGCTTACATTTCTGAGGATGGGATGGGGTTAGACGCCGACACACCCACAGAGAAGGAACCTCAGAGCAGGAAAGACACCGCCCGCGGCGTCCCGTCCGTCCATTTACATCACATTTAATTTATGCTAAACGCGTCGCGTCTTCGCATTTAATTGTGAAATTAAATTTGATGCGATTAATGTTGACACAACATGCGATTAGTGTGTGCACGGGCTAGTGCTCGGCATCTTTGTGGTTTGCCTCTTGGGTACGTTTCGGTTAGGGGGAGAGAGGAAGCAATAGAGGCACTCCCAGCATCTCCCTCTATTAGCCAATCGACTTGCATTTGCCAAATTATCATTGTTGATAATATTGCAATACTCGATGGCAGGCGATGTCAGCGTGGACAGGCCCTACATAAACAATAATTAAATGTAGCCAAATTAAATTTTACACAAAAGCTGAAACCAAAGTGACAGCTGGGCGGGCCCGTCCAAAACCTCAGTCTCAGCCTCCCAGACTTTGAAATGTCTGCATAATTATGTGGTGCATGTGGGTGGTTGGGGCTGCCGCACCGAGTGGTGGGTTGGAGTTGCTTGTGGGTCTGTCGTGGCTGATAATATGCAGTTTAATTACAGAACACCAATGCCCACAAACAACAATAATACGAGGATATGTGAGGGTCCAAGGAGTCGTTGCTGCAACACCCTTTCTCAGAGATTGAGATCTTTCAAGCTTTTATGAATAGAATTTGAGGTATTTTGGTATAGCTTTGAGAGCAGTACCCTTTATTGCCAATCTACTCTGTGAGAGAGACATTTCTTTATCTCTGCTCAACGCAAGTCGAAGAGTATCTAATGAATTTGTAAACATTTTCGTGCATAAATTCAAATTAGATTGAACTACCTTACCCATCCATGGCCCAAAGGAAGGCAACCCAACACCCGCCCTAAGAACCAATTCAGGTTTCGCCAACCCAACCCCAGGAAAGGAGCCACGCATCACTTTTAATTTTCCATTCGAGACAATGTTCCTTCGTGGTCCTGTCAGGTGCATAACTGTATTATATCCACACATACGAGTGTGTACATGGGTATGTGTGCACATCACTGTTTATTGGCATCCATTAGATAATGGAATTTATGTGAAACATTTGTTCGGCTTCTCTTGGACTTCAAAGGGTTATTGTGGCACTTTGTCCAGTTAGTTGTGATTAGTTCCATCGAATGGCAAGTCAGATAAGGGAAGGGAATTACTTTGGGGTATAGCGATAGAGATACGTTTAAAATATAGTTGCATAAGAGAAAACCCCCTACGTACATGCAAGACTTCCATTTGCAGGATTACAGTTCTAAAATGCTGTTCACGAAGTTGTAAGAGTGGTATTGTTTCATTTCCACGTTCCACATACTTCGGGTATCACTCGAAACGTTTTTTTTTTCGATGAAAATGTGAGGAAATACTTTGAAACTTATGTTTAAAATATACTTGGATAATAATGTAGAATCAATAAACAACAATAAACAGTTAGGATATCCAGAAGTTCCTCTAAAATTTCCATCAGAAATTGATGGGCTACATTCAAATAGCGAGAATATTGTTCAGTTTCTATAATTTCAAATTAAATTGTACCATGGCAGAGACTTGCATAATTTTAATTAAACTCATATTTATGTCATTCATTTGCGCTTTTCATTTAAACAAAATTCGATGCTTCCCACAGAGAGACAGAGGGAATTGTTGACCGGCAGAAATATTATTTTTCAGTCGACTCCCATCCGTATTAATTACAATTGTTCATCGTTCTCTTATTGTATTTTTTTTTTACTGTCCGCTGTTGACTTTTTGTGTTAATTAGTGTAAATATATGAATGTTGTGTGGAGGGGAAGGGAAGGAGAATTTTCCGCTTTTTGCCAAAGTGCCTCTCTATTGAAGTGGCAGCGAATTGAATTGGCGGCTGGTCGAGAGGAAGACCAGAAACAAAAGACCCAAACAATTTTCCCCGGCTGGAGTATCATTTTTCTGAACGTGTGTGCTCTATGCGTAGTGAATGATAATTAAACAAAACTTTATAATTAACAAATATGAAAAATTGACAGCTGATTGGGGATTTCATCCTTTTGGTGCACTGAGTGTGTTTTTTTACAGTTGCAAGTTTCAATAGATGGGGTTTTTTTTTATTTATGAAACTGCTGACAGTCGATTAATTTATTAATTTTTAATAGTTTCACTTTGAGTAAACATCCATACGTTTCACAAATATATAGCGAAACCTTTAAACATGTAAGCCAAGCATATCCAGCCATGAAACAGTGGAAATAGAACCAAGAATAATAATTCCATAATTGTTCTGAGTATTCCCACAATCTGATCCGAATAATTCTAATCTCGATTTATCTTCCCGTATACCCGCAGCGAGCTGGGTGGTTGCTTTTATGAGCAACTTAAAGGAATTTGTATGCAAGATACGAAAAACTCGTTGAAATTATAATTTGGTAAATAAAATAAAAAGTGTTAGGGAATAAAATAGATTATTGCTTAGACGGAACCGAACTCTGTTCGGTGAGCACCGAAAGTAAGGCGTAGTAAAATGTAAATACAAAAAAAAAATAAAATTAAATTAAAAAAAAGACAAATAAGAAAGGTACTTAATACTCAATCAATCATAAAACAAAGATAAGTTCTACGAATAAGGCACGAACAGTGATCATTCGGAACTCTTAGTTCGAGTGTTAAAATGATGATGATTCTTAAATCTGTGTGGGTTTTCACTACTTCATTTTCCATTGGTTAGAGTATTCCCCGTTTCGACGGGGACCTCTGTGTATTACGATGCCTAACATTTTGTTTAAATCTTCGATCACTTCAATTTCGCAGCTGCGGTGATTTGAATATACTTGAATATACATATACACTTGCCACATGCAAATATATACGGGTAGGAGCTGTAGTCCGGACATATATATGCGCAGTGTTAATAACGTAGTCGACCCGACAGTTTGGGCTTAATCGGTGCACGGTTGCACAAAACACAATATACATAAGACAATACACAAAAAGCGGGATCATTGCTTAACGGCCCCCCCTGGTTTATGGCCGGATTATCTAGGGCCAGTCGCGCTGGGTGACCCCTGGGGCTGGTGACCCAGACCCATTGGTTGTCGCGCTTAAAACGGTTAGTGCGCGATCCGCTCGAGGTAGTGCAGTTAGGAACTCCAATCGCAATGGTTCTCTGGCTGGGGATCTGTCTTCTAGTCATCGCTCTGTCCCTCTATCTGCTGTACGCGTTCGAGCGCCATTCGAGGATCGATCGCCTCACCAATACTTGGCCGGCTCCGCCCTCCCTGCCCATAATCGGCCACCTGCACATTCTGGCTCAGCTTGTCGGGCCGCATCCCTTCCGCAAGGCCTCGGAGCTTGTGAACACCCATCTGAAGGATCATCGGGGCAAGCTATGGCTGGGCACAAAGCTCTATCTGGTCGACTGCAACCCTAAGGATATCCAGGCCCTGAGCAGTGCCCAGCAGATGCTGCAGAAGACCACCGACTACAAGGTGTTCGAGAACTGGCTCTGCGAGGGCATCTTCACCGCCGACTACGACAAGTGGGTGCACCGTCGCAAAACCGTCGCGCCTGCCTTCAACCACACGATGATCAAGCAATTCATGGAGGTCTTCGAGCGGCAGTCCCGCATCCTTTTGCCCCGCGTCGCCGAGTATGCAGAGTCCGGTAAGCCCCTGGACTTCCTGCATATGATCAGCTGCTATACCCTGGACGTGATCTGTGAGACGGCGCTGGGGGTATCTGTGGATGCTCAGTCGGGCAAGAGATCGTCATACCTTGAAGCGGTTAGGGAGTAAGTGCTAGGAAGAAGAACCCTTTCTGCTTTCTACCACTCTAACCAAATTTGGGCCATTCCTCTGCAGGATCCTGCACGTCATTGACTATCGCTTGAAGAACATCTTCTACCGCATCTCGTTCATCTATCGCAGGACCTCTCTGTTCAAGCGTGAGAAGGAGCTGCTGAAGACACTCCACGGCTTCACCGAGGGCATTGTCCGGGAGCGCCAGCACCAGTTCAATCTGGATGAGGTGAATCGGAATACAATGAGCAGTAAGGACGCCGAGATGGACCAGCGACCGGTTCTCTCGTTTCTGGACACGCTGCTGCAGGCCAAGACGCCCGAGGGTCTGTCGCTGACGGTAAAGGAACTTCGCGAAGAGGTGGACACAATTATCTTCGGGGGCTTCGATCTGACGGCTACTGTCCTGAAGTTCTTCATGTACAACATGACGCTGCACACGAACTACCAGCAGCAGTGCCGCGAAGAGATCTGGCAGATATGTGGCAAGGACACCAGTGAACCCATCACCATAGAGCAGGTCCGTCAAATGGAGTTCCTCGAGTGGTGCTTGAAGGAAACGTTGCGACTGTATCCCCCGGCTCCGCTGCTGACACGCAAGGCCACGGCCAATTGTCAGATCAGTGAGTAGAAAATCCCCTAGAAACCTTTATCTCGCTTAACTCTGATCCCTTCCAGATGATTTCTTCATACCCAAGGGCCACGACGTTGTCATTTCGCCCATGTACATGGGTCGCTGCAAGGATTTCTTTCCCGATCCTCTGGTCTTTAAGCCCGATCGCTGGGCCCGCGACGCCGAGCACAAGATCGAGGCCACCACTTACATACCCTTCTTGACGGGGGCCCGCAACTGTATAGGCCAGCGCTATGCCATGGTCATGATCAAGCTGGTAATGGCCCACCTGCTGAGAAGTTACCTGTTTGAGCCGCTTGGGGAGCGGCAGGTGAAGATGAAGCTCAGTTTTGTGGTCACCCTGCACACGGTGGAACCCTACTACTGCCGCGTAAGGGCCATTGAGTAAGGCTATCGAATCAACCGATTCTCCCTTGTTCTTCTTGGAATATAACTTAGTATATAGTTAACAAAATGGAGTCTTTCATCCTTTTCCAAGGGTCTGCTGCAAGTTGTAACCTCGATTGAGGTTTTCTATTGGTGTAAAGTATTATCCATAGTAATTCAATTCATTAAAGTAAATTGTTAAATGTTTATTTGGTAGAAAAATAGGGAAGCTATAGGGAAGAGTGGAAAACATCTTTACAACAAAGAAAACCTGTAGTGTGCGCTCTCTCTCTCTCTCTCTCTCCCAGTGTGGGATAGTAGTGAAGTCAAAGAGAGCGTACCGCCCTCTCTCCCTCATTCGATTTTGGAAACCCATTACCCCGCCACTCTTAAACCCATGAGATTGTCTAATAGGGCAAAGAAAATGTCAAGAAAACGATATCATATTCTGGAGTTAACTGGAGTTTAAGCTTCTCTGAGTCCCAAATAACCCTCCCCCATAAGTCTTGCTACAGGACCATATCAATCCGTTTCACTTGGTGCTATTCAAATTGGTTGCATACTTCGTGACGCAGGCAGAAACATTTCCGTTTTTAATGACGCTCATGTCGTGGATATCCACAAAAAAAATTCTGTACAATTTGGATATATTTTCTGCCTGGCTTTATATTTTATTTGTGAAAGGCGCGTTCGTCTAGAAAATAATTTCTGGCTGGCGTTGATTTTTATTGTGCCAGCGGAAAATCAGCAAACATTTCCTGGCGCTGTAATAAATAAAAATACATAAAGCGCGCCACCAAACCGTCGCCAGTCAGTCACTCAGTCAGACCTGCCCCATCCTGGGGCACACACACACACAACATACTCGCATTCTACCCGCATCATCATCCTCGTAGCCATATTCCGGTGAAAATTATGAGCGTTGCCTGCTTATTATTACCAAGTAGAGAGGAGAAGAAGGAGAGGAGCAGAGCATATAAAATGCAATTTATTTAAATAAAAATCAAGTTTAATTCGCAGTGTCGTAAATTTTTCTTTTTTTTTTTTTATATATTTTTCCCCGTTCTGTTGAGTTTTGTTCGTCCTGGGCATTGAATTTCACGCTTTTGTTAACAAGCGCATAAAAGTTCATTCTATCTGGGGAAACCGATATGATATGGCTCTGGGCTCGCGGAGTGGAACAGGACGTTGCCAATGCTCGGATGGGTGGCTCGGATGGGGGAGGGAGTTCGAAGATTGTTGAACTCTCTGGCTGATTGGTGAAGGGTAGTCGGATGGGTTCAATGATGGGTTGATTGAAGGCAAGGGCGGCAAGGGAGATTTCCGGACAGATTTGAGGCCAATTTTCTTTTAGGTTTGAAATGATTGTAAAGAAATAGATTTAAACCGCTTGAGAGACAGGCCTTACCGGAACCAGATTTAAACAGATTCATGTAGTAACTTTTTCAAGAAAAAAAAACCCAAAAAATTTAAAACGCTGCATCTTAATTAAAAAATCATAAAATATAAAAATGAATTTATATAAACAAATAATGGCGAGACCTTTTTAGTGTCCACTTGGACCTTTTATGACCCACCACCACCCCCCTGAGTAGAACCCTTTCCAAATCCATCTTGAAATTAAAATATGCGCCTTAGGAACATGTTTTCCGGGAGAATTTTTGAGTGCTTGGCCGAAAAGTTTTACGATCATTTTATTGGCAATGGCAGGGCATTTTGGCTGAGGGGCCGAGCTCCATCTGTGAACTTAAACCCTTCCTTGGGTTTGCACCAGCCCATAACTTAATTATCCATATGAATCCTGGAAGGTTTTACTGCCTTCGCCAAACTCCACTGCAGCCCGGCGGCATTAATTATGATGAGTACTTGCTGCGTCGTCGACGCTTCTTTTAGTGTCAGCTGTCATATTTTTATTTATCTTAATTTACAGATCTTCACGGTGGTGTGTCCCTCTAGAGAGGATTCGTGTGGGTGTCGTTGTTGCTCATTAAAATGATGTAAAATCCACGACCAGGTCCAGAGTTGATGTTAATATTTTATTGTTGCTGACTGGGCGCAACATTCATTTAGACAATTTTATGTCCACCATCCCGTACATCACGCCTTAGTTTATTGTATGGCATAATTCACGGTATGTACGCCTGGGGCAAGGCTCGGGTAACATAATTATAATGGAAATGCCTGGCAATGTTATGTTTTTGTATGTTTCGGCTTATAAATTCTTGTTTTTGAATGGTTTACATGTAAGTGGACTCGGGAGCATCAAAAGCATTTGTCAAAAACAGTTAGATTAGTAGTAAAGAGCTCTGGGAAGCCTGCACAATTCATGGAGAGAGGACACTCCCCTCTCACTAGCACTCAGCTACACAAAGGCTCTGATTGCCTCGTTCTTACGAGCATCTCTATAAGCGTATATCTCCCCAGCACAGGTACAGTAATATAATAGATAAATGGCAAGAATAACGGGGACGTCATTGCTTATGAGAGAGCAGAGTTTGTACTTTGGACTTTGCCAAATGTTTACACAACGCAATTCATGTAAAGAGCACATTTCCCTCTCACTCGCGCTCAGCAACCCACAAGGTTTCGATTTCGTCTCTCTTACGATCCTCTCTCTGAACGAGTCTTCTCAGTAAGCACAAGTACAGCAACAATAAGTAAAGTAAAATAAAGGAAACCAAAGCAAAGCAGAGAGCACTGATAATACTACACTGAGAATAATTTCGCTGTCAAAGATAAGTAGAACGTTAAAAAATATAAGGACAGCAAATCTTATCTGTAAGGTACGTACTCTAATGGATCGTATCCTGCTCACATGAATAGTGCAGTAAATTGCACCTTTTTAGGGCTGTTGTAATAACTTTAACTGGCAGACCGCAGCCTCCAGAGATGCTGCGACTAAATGTGGTGCTCCCCAACTCGCATTCCGGTCAATGCACATATCCCATTGTTGACTGTTTGGTCACTGTCCGTCCCTCCATCCTATCGAAAATAAATGCAAGTTTTCCCCCCTTCTACCCGTGTGGTTAGGTGCGGTGAGTCCTGGTGGGGTGTCCTCTGATGTGAGGTGTGTGGGGTGGCAGAGACTTTGAAGTAATCGTCGCCAGGGACATTGCCTTACGGCTAAGCCTCATTTGCGGTTGAATTGTGTCGCCGGACGGCAGCTGAAAGTCGATTATGTCAATATTGTCGTGCGGGACCCAACGGCTAATGGCTAATGGATGGGTCGGTAAGGGGGGCAGTCGCGCTCCCGGGATGAGGAATGTTTGCGATAAGCTGCGGACAATCGCTGGTTGCCGTTAGATAGCCGCAACTCATATGCTAATTAGGGTGACATACTTGGTACCTTTAAGGATACTTGGGCGCCCACCAAAAACTCTTATGATGGAGAGCTTTTCCCTCCCTGAGGCTCGACGTCCACCCACCCATATGGCAACGCAGACGAAATAACAATACGGCCATAAAACAACTGTAGAAACACACACATAAAAATCAGTTGGAATACATTTAGGAATCGAATTACATTAAAGGGGTGGCTGCGTGCTGGAACGGAACGCTATATAAAAAGGAGTAGCTGCTCAGCCATTTTACACATTAAAAACGCATAAAAATCGGCTAAAAAAAAACAGGAAGAACAAGCAACAAATAAAGTGGCCATGAACATAAAAACCAAGTTTGGATTTCGGTGCGATACGGGGGGTTCTGCACAACAAAACCAATTGAGGCAATCAATTAAAATTGACGAACGAAATTGAATCACGTGTTACAATTCTGTGGAGTTACATCGCGCTAGTATGTATATATGTGTGATTGGAAAGAGATTGAAGGAAGCAATAAAGTTCCCATTAAAATGGTTTCGTATAGGGTGTACAAAATGCTTAGATTCTCCACAATAAAGTACACTTAAACTTTAAATTAAGTGTAGCAAAGATTTTTAAAAATAATAAAAAAGACTTACCCTTTAAAATGTCAACTGCAAGATTCCGGAAAGGTTTCCAAATCGAAATGCAAAACAGAACCGTTTTGCTAATGTAATTAACCAGTCTGCAAAGAAAATGCACAACGAAAGGAAATTAGTAAGAAAAAACAGAGCAATGTAAAAAAATGCTAGAATATTAAGGAAAAAAAGGGGTAGAAGCAAAGCGAGGAAAGAAAATTACAAACTGTTGCTGCAAAATGTCAACCTAAACCTTTTATGCACCAAAAGACACAGGGGACCTCAGAGCAGCTGTCCTGCCCAGAAGAAGGTGGCTAATTACACTGCACAGCCAACAAAAACAAAAACAAACAAAAAATCAATCTGCGGGTGCCGAAACTTCAGATACTCTTTTTTTTTGTGCCATTAATATGATATAATATAGTAATACGATTTAAAGAAACAGAAATGCAGATAGAATGGAGTTTTGATATTTTTGCCTGCCACACGCGACGGCTGGCCAACTTCTGAGCAAAATTGCAATACCTCTTGCAAGAGTGTACAAGAGAAAAAATATAAAAAATTAAATGCAGTCCTGAGGGGGCGACTGCACGCTGGCCAAAATGGAGTTTGTTTTGCTGAAGACATTAAACAGAAGCCAACGCGGGGTATTCCAGGCACGTAACAGACACAAAAGAGTAATACGGAATTAATTAAACAAAAATTGCTTAAGAAATTGTATTTTATCTATATTATTGCAGCTCATGTAGATGGGGGGGCTTGGGCCCCCAGAGCACATCGAAGACTGTCAGCGACACATGAGGCAGAAGCGGCATCACCGGCAGCAGCCACAGAAAGACCAGTAAACATTTCCGCAAAGTTTCGTTTGCATAAAGTTTTGTTTTGTTCAAATAACATTAAACAAAACAAAAAAACAAAAATTGCTACATGGCAGCAGCCACTTAAATGTAACAGGCAAAAGTTCAAAACCCAAACTTTACCCCCCACACTTCACAGTACGGAATAGTGATGGGCGCGTGAAGGAATTTCACAGAATCCTTGCTTATACTTCATCTGCAAGGGATCTTTTTGCGTACGTAATAGCTTCCTTACTGGTAATTTCTTGTTTTAATTGAATTTTAAAAACCACTCATTTTAATCACACGTTTTATATTTTTAGGTTATGTAAATGGGCACCCATCCCGTGACACGTTGTTGTCCCTTGTTTCCAATAGCAACACTGTTGCGCTCTCATATCAAACATCTCCCATGTTCGTGTACTTCTGTGTGGGTCTGTGTATGTGTCTGTGGTCATGGTGGCGTAAGTCAAACAAACGAAAAGTTGTGCTCGCATAACTGCCTGAGGTGCCGCTCTCTCCCACACTCTCTCTCTCTCCCTCTCTATCTGGAAGTCCAGCAGTTATGCGTATGCTTAGGGTGACCCTGCCCTTTCTCCATTTGCTCAGTGCATTGTGTGGGAGAGCGCCCTGCTTGGGTGCATGCACTGTGATGTCATAGGGCTCTTCTTTGCGTCACCTTCCTGATATGAGCGAATTGCAATTCAAACTTTACAGTTAGTTGGAAAGAGCAAGACATTGTTGCTCTCTGCGGCTGCAGTGTGTGCAGGCGGAAAAAGCACCATACTCTGCGGTTAGAGGGAGATGGGAATGGCTTGAAAGAAGGCTTATCTGACTGAAAAATCTGCCTGTATCATATACCAAAGTTATCGCAGATAATTCATTGGTTTTCTCAAATGGATTTAAGCTTTACAAAGTAAAAGACTCGTTTCACCATAATAATACTATTACATTTGTAACGTAGCTAGCCATTTATTAATTCATAGAATTTAAGGAATTTAAGTGAAATATCATACCATCCACTTGAGGTGTATTCCACTGGAAATCATCGAATTAACCGCAAAGTGTTTCAGTTTTAAGCCTATTAGGCCGCTAAAGGACTTGCCTTTGAGGATGTACAAGATTAGGAACTTTGGCCATGCAATAATTGGGTATAAAACGAAAAAGAGTTGGCATTTTAATTACTCCAAAAGAGAAGACATTAAAAGGTAGAAATGAGTTAAAGTAACATCAAGTCAAACCCAAACCAAACCCATCTCCGGTATCAGAACAATGTGGTGGGGTAGAAGATAACAAATAAAGATACAAATAAAAATAAAAGAAATCCCAGAATCCGTCTGTCTGTCAGATTTCAAGCTCAACTAATGAGTGACCAAGCATAAACAGAAATGGGGGGAAAAAAAGAGAAGGAATTTCGACTTAAGTCCATTGCCATGGACGAGCACCTTGCCGAGGGGCCGCACCGTCGCCCACGGACAGACGGTTGAATGTCTCAAGTCAAGCGGGTCCCTCGGCCAACACTTATTTTAATGAGAAATTCTAATTTCACCAATAATACAAAAGCCCCACGACGACGACGACGACAGCAGCCAGAAAAAATGCGCACAGAAGAAAAACGAGAACAAATACTAGAGTGAAATGTGGCTAAAGATATTTTTGCTTTTCTTGGCAAAAGGAACTCTCGTCGAGCTCTGGGCTCTGATTGCTTTCTGCCACTCGTCCGTGACGAAAACAAAAGAGGCCAAAGTCACCCAAGTCTAAGTCTTTTCCCCTATCGAAAAATGGGGAAAACAGGAAAAAATACGAATTGCCTGCATAAAAATATCTTGAGTATTTGCTAGTAGTCTGCAATTAAATGGGGGGCTGGGGCTCCTGATGTGTCCTCTCTCTGTTTTTGGGGGGGAAATGGAGCTTAGCAATAATAATTACAGTAAGGTTGAGCCTGGGGGCCCATAACTGAAGTGTTGCCAGGGCAAAAGTTCTTGTGTTTCCAAAAGGATGGGCGAAGAAAAGGCGGAGATGAAGGTTTGTCAGTGTCAGTGCTGGGGATTGAAGGATGGAAAGCCGTAAGATTTTTGGAGAATTATATAAAATTGACAGTTGAGCTCTAAAAATATGTTGGAAAATGGTTTATTAAAGGTTTCAAAGAGTGGTGTCCACTCTGTGGAGAGAGAGCCCTTAACAGCTAAGCCACTCTGGGAGAGACAGAACCTCATGTGCCTTTTTGTACTCGTTAAGTGCCGGTTATAATCATTCCACACTTATTTTTAATACCCTTATTTCCATTTTCCAGAAACACATTCAAACCAAAATCGAAAATCAAATAAGACAAACCCAAAAGACAAAGCAAATACACCAATACCCATACCCAGGGGAATAATCGGACATAAATTTAACTAATATACAACACAAGAACAGAATTCGCATCGCAATGCATTACCCAACCTTAACGCATCCCTCCCCGTTTGGAATGTGTTCCGCAATAATCAAGCCAAGTCGAATTACAGTTACCAACAGAGCTACAGAGTTAAGGTAACGGTAACGCATGGCAATGTCCATAAAATGACACTGAGTGTCAGTTTCAATTAAACATGTTGACAGCTGTAAGGACAGGATAGGACAGAAGAGGGCAGGACCCGAACCCCAATCCCAACCAATCTCACAGAGAGAGAGATACTCGTACAATGAGCCAAGTCTTGGGGTCAGGCGGTGGTTGATTTTCCCGGCAACTCAAGGCAATTTCGATTTTAATACAGGAAATTCCTGGCATTGTCCTGCCTGCCCATAAAGAAAGTCAACGACGACAAGGAAGAATAAGTTAAAGGAGTCTGAAGGAACACTCTCATATGACAACTTTATCGGTCAGAAAGTAACACGAGTCTGCTCAGATTTTGAGCTCATGCTGTCCCCGTCTTAGGGAACATTTGGCATTTGCATTCCATGCATTCGACTTTGATTTTTGTGACAGAGAACCCAAGAAACTCATTGCAATTTTAAGTAATTTTATGTGTACGAGAAGTATTTGTTTTAATTTACATTCAAAATGAAAGATTCGATTCGATTTGATTTTCTTTTGGCAATTTTCTGCCCTGTCCGTCTATTGACAACTTGTCAAACATTCTAATATCCTGCATGCTGCTGCTGTACGCTGTACTCTGTACGGGATGGTGCTGTGTGCATCTGTGCGTGCGATGTCCTGGGCTGGGCTGGACGTGTGTGCACCTCCATGGGGGAATTTAGTTTAATTAAACTGCCCCGTGACGCACGCACAGGGACGGGCAAATACACAAAGATCTCACTGTTTGCATATTAATTTCCATGTAAATCTAATTGAAGTTGACATAAATTGGTAATATTTTTTGAATGCAAATATATCAGACAGCAAATTGAGGCAGGTGTAATGTAATAATGGAATGCATTGAATAAAAACTTTATATTTATTGATTACAAAAGTACGGTGGAGGGTATTTTGAGGGGAATGTCATGTTAACAGCCTCTGGGACTTATTCGCATTAGTACTTAGCATAAATCTATCTGTTAAGAATATTTAAAAGCCTTTGCCATGCACTTTTTGAAACATATGACTACTAAGACAGCTAATTTTTCACACTACAATCCAAGCAACATTACCAATCCATAGATATCATTGAATTTTAATTAATATTTTGATCAGATTTGCCTTGCCGGAAAGGCGGCCCTTCAACGGCGGCCCAACCTCACAAGCCTTGTGACACTTCATCAAGTCCAATCTCTCAGAGGCTTCCCTTTTTTTTTCCAAAGTTAAGAGGGTGGAAAATGGAAACCACTCGATGTCATTTTGACGCCATCGAGCGGTATTATTTGCCCAAAATATTAACGTAATGCCTTTGACAAATCAATCGAATCGGCAGAAGGCTGAGTGCCATTCGCATTCTTCGCACTCTCTCAATGGGCGATGGTCACACCTCGTGCCACAATTATTTGCACAAAAATGTGCGGGCCTCTGAAGAGAACAAAAACTTGTTGACGGTTCGGATCAAAGGCTTTAAAAAAATCATTCAGAAGTGGAATGTTTAAAGTCAACAAAAAAACACAATTTGAAATCAATTTTATGCAAAAATCACGCCATCAGATTTTAAACCACATTTCGTGTGTGCCACATGGCAACCCTTTTGGGTCCAGTACCATCCCGTCCCCCCATCCATTCATCCACCCACCGCATAATCAGGGCCAATTTATTGTGCATATTTTATTCCACGATGAAAGTTTTTTTCTTGAGTTTGGCAACACATGGTCTTGGCTCGACTTTCGAGAACAACCAGAAATTGACAAAAAGGTGAAGCAAATCAAGGCTGTTATGCTTTTTGAATCTGTTCTGTCAGAAGGCAGGCAAGATTGATTCAATTCTGTCACAGAACTCAAATCAACTACGGAGCTACAGTGAGAAGCAACAAAATAAATTCAGAATAAAAATGAATTCCGAACAGCAGCAATTGGTAGTGGTGCAGGAGGAGCACGAGGCGCCGCATTCCGCTTGTTGCAACCGCAACGGTTGCCTTGTGAGCGAGCTAAAGAAATTGGTCCTTTGGTGCGACTGGCGGCCCAGCCTTCTGGCTTTTGTTCTTCTACACATATTCATCGATTATGCAGCCATGAAATCAGTGATCTGTGCTGCGATCCTGTTGGCCTTGGCAGTGCTATCAATCAGCATGATCTATGGGCTATATTTGCGCAGCTGTGAAATTTACGAAGGAGGTCCCATTCAGGAATACCCAAACATTACGCTGTTTATTTGCCCTCAGTGGAGCGACAGGGTGACCAACTTCCTCAACAACTTTCTGGCCAAAATGCGATTGATTGCTAGTATGGAGCAGCCCTTAGAGGCCTTCAAATGGGTGAATATGTTCGTGACCGTATTTATTGTGGGATCTTCATTCGATGGCGTTACTCTGGCTAAAATCGGTGAGAGCTGTTGCTGCTGCATCTATGGTGCTGTATATCCTTTATCCTCATGGGTTTTTTGTGTCCTAGGTCTGTGCTTGCTTTTCGGCATACCCCCGATCTACGTGTGGAACCAGCAGCAAAAAGATCTTCAACTGGAAAAACTAAAACTGCTCGAAAAATTCCATAGATGTGGGAAAGCTGTGGGAGATTTGAACACCCAAGAGTCCTTTGTGCTGAACGATACCCTGGTGTCCCTTGAGCAGAACAACACCGAAGATTCGTTTGGGCTGAACGATAACCAAGAGACCATTTTGCTGAACGATACCCTAAATACCGAAGAGTCCTTTGGGCTGAACGATAACCAAGAGACCATTTTGCTGAACGATACCCTAAATACCGAAGAGTCCTTTGGGCTGAACGATAACCAAGAGACCATTGTGCTGAACGATACCCTAGAGACCGAAGAGTCCTTTGGTCTGAACGACAACCAAGAGACCTACGATATTCAAGAGTCCTTTGAGCCGAAGAACATCCAAGAGTCGACTGACCCGAAAAACACCACAGAGTCCTTGGACCCGAAGAACTGCCAAGAGTCCTTGGAGCCAAACGACACCAAAGAGTCCTTTGGGCTAAACCAGACCCAAGCGTCCATTGAACTAAACTCCACTGAGTTCTTTGATCCGAACACCACTGAGGAGTTCTTTGGGCCGAAGAACACCCACGAGTCCGTTGAGTCAAACAACGCCCAAGATTAGCTTGCGGAGACAGCCCAGAAAGACGACAAGGAGGCGACCAACCAATGAGTTTGACACAATTGCTTCATCGTGGGATGAAGCTTCCTATTTGTTAAGCCAGGACAAATCGGCTCTGGGGGCCACACAACATTTGATTAAACAATCATATTTCTGTAAAATGTAATCCAAATTAAATACAGATTTACTAGTCGATAATACCAAAGATCCAAATAATAATTATTTTATTACAAACGAGTAACGAGCAAAATCCAAAATCCAAAATTTTGCAATGAAGCCAAAATACTTGCAAGCATGAAATCTGCAAAATTTTAATCGGCTGTTTGTGTGCCGTAGCAAACAATTATGCTTCTTAAAAAATAATAGAAAAATGTATTTGTGATGCAAGGAACATACAAAAAAAAAACCTTCCTCCGAGTTCCCTAACCAACAAGGACCCCAAACTATCTTCATCCGCCATCGAAATACGAATAATAAAATTTCAAAAAATGTAACTTTCAGACGCCATAAATTCACTGCCTAAGTGTCGAAAACCTTTTCACACATCACTCAACTCCTTGGAGCACAGTATGCACTAGGAATAATATTTGGCGACACTGCGCTGTTACGGGCCAACAAATTTTCCGCCTCGTCTCCGACAGGACCCAAGGAAAGTCCCATAAAACTTTATTCAAGAGGGTGGGCCCACAATTTCATCGATTGCAGTATTCAAATCGTACGCAAAGATGACATTAAAAATTATATTGAAAGTGCCCGAAACGAAACCACACACCGACGACCATAAAAGCTGCTTGGTTTGAGGTAATTAGTTTTTTGGCTCATGTCTGTGCGGATCGTAAAAGATAACTATGGGTCGCCTGGTTACAGCCCCCTCCCCGAACCCACATCCACGTCCTCGAACACATCCATCCACTGCAGGGACATTAGCATTTAAGAGAATAAAAAAAAAAAAAATTGAGGATTTGTTTAGTTTTTATTGCTTCGCGTAAATGTCATAAAGAAAAGTGTTCTGTAACGAACGGAAAACGTTTTCAACAATCACATGAGGAATTTATCGGTTTTATGGCTAGAGGGAGAGCTGTTTAAGTAATTGCATTCGATTTGTTTGCCACGAAAATATAGGAAAGAGAGGAAACTTCTCTGCATAGAAGTTTATCCTTGCATTCCCATAAGCAATTCATGTATAAAATATGTCTTACATACATACATTTGAAGTTCTTATACATACATAATTAACTTAGGCACCTAAAATACAGATCACTTCTTCCTGAAGATCCAAAACATTGAAAGAAAAGCAAACCAAAACATATTACTCTTAAAAATTACAACGTATTAAAAACAAACAAAACAAAACAAATAATAATAATTCGAATCGTAAGATTATTCTCAGTGAATTATCGTTCACTAACTGCTTATTTTCTAGTTTTATTCTTATGTGTCTCAAGTTTTGGGACAGCGTGTATGGAGAGGAGAGAAACGGAGTAGGGAGAACCAATGCCCATCATGGTCCTTTGTATCTGAGAGTTATTGAGAGTCGAGTGACCAGAAAACAAACAGATGACATAGATGATAGACATGAAAGAAATACCTAGATTACATTTCAGTAATCATAGACCGTTGAAGTCCTCTTAGCTGTTTACATTGTATTGTCCTATGAACGCGTGTATACCCAAATTCAGAAGATAGGTGAACCCTCATCCGAAAAATGCCATCACCTGCATAATTCATGTAACCTGTCATTACATGGAGACGCTTCAAAGTAGTGGCATGTTTTAGTATGAAACCCAACAATCGCTCTTTAGTCGGATACATCGATCTTTCGATATGGAACGATAACAGTTTGGGAAAATATGGTTTCTTAAAGTTGAGATCGCATTGTATCAGTGTAAGCTCCTCCAGGAGTGGTTCCTGTAGTTTCCTGTTTAGGAACACAATCCTATTTATAACTGTCAGACGGCGCAGGTTTTTTAGCCTCAATAGCAGATCAGAAATATCGAAGCGCCACTTTGGCACTGAATCATATGGAAAGTAATCGCCGACAGTCAGTTCTTCCAAGTGCACAAAGCCCTTAATCTTGTTTTTAATCACTGAAAGGCAAAAGAATGAATGATTACTAGGAGTATTATGATTGGTAATGTTTGGAATACTCACGAGAATGGCCAGGGAAGTTGTGCAGCTGCAAACGCTTAATGTTTGGAATAGATTCGAGCATGGAGATGGCCTCATGAATACCCGATCTATGGTTACTACAATTCATCACCAATTCAACGGATTTCAGCGTTGCATTTCTTTCCAAAAATAATTTGATTGCCTTGCAATTATATTCGCTGGTCGTAAAGCTAATGGTTTCCAAATTGATACAATATCGTTCCACAGCGGGCAACAAATATTCAACATCAGCGGTGTTGTCAAATGTTATATGGATCATTGTGGAACCGCACAGCTTTACAAGAATTAATAGATTCACATATAGTTCACATTGGTTGAACACAAACGATGTGAATTTATGGCGATAATGCTCAGCCACGACATCGCAGAACCTCGGATGGAGACAGGCCAACTGCATTTGATCGCCAAATTTAAGCATTTTGAATATCCGATGTAGGATGTCGAAGGGCATGTCTTGCAGTTTCTTTGGTTCTTCCATTTTGAAATATCTTAAAGCAAATGTATAAAGAGATTTTAAAGCGGGCTGCATAAATCATAAAGTATTTATTCTTACCATCAGTTTTGGCCGATAACTAGCTCGATTCAAGCCATCTATAGTTTATTCGGATGTAAATTTCCTATATTTTCATTCTGCAGCGGTTTAAATTGGATAAATATTCTGAAAATCGTGTGGATAATGGTTGTAATTTGATGCTCTAGCCTTCCCATGACCATCCCTCAATCAATGTAAATGATGCCCAATAAATAATTTGACACAGACAATAGCGAACAAAAGGACATACTTTGTCGCAAGTCAAGTTGCCGTACAGAATTTACATATGAATACTGAGACTATCCGTAAGATTTAATCACGAATAGCACCCGCATTCCCACCCAGAAAGAAACGAACGGTGCACGGTGTCTGGGGGTGGGTGCACACACACACACACACACACACACACATGTATGTGATTAGGGTTTTGTGGGGTTGTGTGGCCAATGACTAATGATCCTTCCATTTATCCTCCAGATGATTTTTGCGAAAAGTGTTAATGTTTGAGGACCACGGACCGCACTGCTTCCACACTGGGCTGCCATGTGTGCATAATTACTTGGATTGCTTGGAAAAGCTTTTGTCATCATTTCTAAATTTATTTAAATTTCGTTCAGACACACAACAGATACACAACGTGTTGATAAATGAGCCGCACAGCACACCGCTGACGAGTGGCAGAAAAGCCTCGACTAAATGAAAAATTATCGCAATTTCAGTGTGTATTTTTGAGCTTTTCTTTTTCACAATTAATGGGGGATGCGTGGATGCAGATACTGGCTGATAATTATTAGGGATTTGCATATGTAATTTTCCACTTAAGCACCAGTGGAGAGCAGCCAGTCATTGAGCACAGAAAGTCATGCCATATGGGAGAAGGTTTACATGCTTCAGACCAGAGCTCTACCTTTAATTAGTTCTGTAGATAATGCCTGAGGTTGGTTTTTAAAACGATTGAGTATACTCGTTTGATGATGATTGAGCATCTCAAAAACGATTCATTTGGGATTTAAATGTCTTCAGAACTCGTGAAAAATATATTCTATATTTTATTTATACATTCGAAGAACTCTATCTATATTGGTTTATTTCTTGCTCTAACGATTCGCATCATCGAATTTCCACATTAAACTCAATCACAATTTGTCCCAAAACAATTGACCTAATCCCAGTAAATCCTTTTAATGTGTCTAATTGAAAAGGCCAACCATTAAGCTCAAATAAAACAGCAAAATAAGAGAAGCCTAACCAGGGAAGACTAAGGGGAGGGCAGGGAAAACCAAACCCCCCAGCAAGCAGCACAGATTTAGCCAAACGAAAGATTTATGGTGTGCCAAGAAAAACATTTGTGTTTATATATCGGTTTTAGTCGGCATTCCAGCAGCTGCTGGGGCGGAGATATGTGGAGTTTTGCGGCAAAGGATGTGCCGAAAGTTCATTAATTATGATTGGAGACAGTTGTACAATTAATAAACGAAGCAAGCCAAAGCAAGCCAAAGCAAGCCAAAGCAAGCCAAAGCAAACCGAAAGCGAAGCGACGACTCCTCCGGTCCGGATTATGGTGGAACTTTTGGCTGCAGAAATGGAGGAAGTTCTGTAGCGGAAGCAGAGTGTTTCGCTTTTGGGATTTTTCTCTCTATTTGCTTGGGGAGATTATGATCGGACTTTGATTTATGGTTGCATGTGTAAATTTATTGCTTTTAATTGTATGCCCCAGTGGCAGCGAGTGAACCCTCCATGGCTTCCAGTAGTTTCGCCGGCTAATTGATAAAAGTTCAAGCCAGAAATACTAGTGCTGGAATGGATATGGATAGATTTAATCGCAGCAGAGATCCTTCCCTCTGGGGGGGGGATTCCTTGAGCACCGAAAATCTTACAGATCAGGTGTTTGCTCAACGCAACCCCAAGGCGAAGACCAAGCCCAGCTCCTCCCAAGACACAATCCACACAAATCGTTTCAACTGTCGCTCAATTACCACTCCCAAACTCCCAGCCCGTTGGCCTATCCCATGGGTAATTGTAAACCTTAATTAACATTTGAAAACAAACACGAAACGGAGCAAAACCAAACAGAAACAGAAATCCATGCGATGGTGGGGCAGGTCAAAAGAAAACCCATAAATCAATTTTGAAATGCATTAAGGCAAACTCCCCAAATACCTGTCTCCCTGGAACTGGCACTGCATTTGTTTGCACTTTGAAAGAGAGAAGATGCGCAAGGAAAAGGAAATGGGGCTGCCAAGCAAAGTGAATGCAATGTTGCAATGTGTCTGAGGGTGCCGGTGCCGGTGGCCCCAACCCATACCCAGATCATCGTCACCTTCCAATTAATGCGTAGAGGCTGGCTTCTTGCTTTCATCTGGGGTTGCATTTACTTAACGCCTCGCCTCAGCACTTAACTTCCGTTTCCTGTTACATCCTGCCACTGTCTGTATCCGGAAAGAGGTTGGGCAGACTCCGATGCCGAGTCCGAGTCTCAGTCAACGTTTGAGGCATTTGCAACTAATTGAAAGTGCAATACGATGCTGCAGAATGCAATTAATGCCTTCAAGCAGTGCAGGCAGTAACCTCCCTCCACCCACTAGACCAAGTCTCAGTGCCAAAATGTCTGCCATTGCAATGTGAGGAACAAAAAACCCTTGTCCAAAAAGGAAGCAAACATTTCGGAGCTTAAAGGGAAGTCATTTTTGAGAGGAGGATCTGCAAAGAGTTCAAGGAAGGTATAAAAAATCCAAACTAAATCTCGGCTCATGGTTCAAATAAGGAATAAACGCATGATGGAAGCTTTCTATGGGATTGGATGGGACTGGATACTGCAGAGCAAAAACAATAAATTGCTTTCTAAACACTTGCAAGGAGTACAAGTTATCCCAAGTAGCATTGGCGTCAAATGCACTTTCTGGCTCCCACGCTCCGCTCCGCCTCGACTCGACTCGACGCTCCTCGATGCGCTTCGCCTGCGTTTTGGCATCGGCTTGGCTTACACTTGGCAGCTGACAAGTTTCTAAGAACAACTGCAAAGCGATTTGCATATTTAGTGGAGGCAGTCGGGGAACAGAGCTACAACTTTATCGCACTCAATGCAGCCATGCATTTTGCATCACACACGTAAATCTTGGCCCCTACCATCACCCCTCGAAACTTTTGGCAGACAACGAAATTTATTTCTAAACACAAGTAACACTTGAGTGGAGGCACAGGCAGCTAACTGGAGCTGAGGAAGCTGAAGGGAATGAGTACAGTGGAGTGGAGTGCCTGTCCCTAATGAATCGATAAAGGTAATAGTATTTCCATTTAAATATACATATATACGTATATGTATATACCTGTAGGAACCCCTAAATGATTTCATACTCGTCTACAATCAGTGGAAAATGTACATTAAAACGTGAAGAAACATTTAAGAACAGAATTACTCTAAAATACATTACAGAAACCTACAGAATACTATACGTAATCCATAATACATTTACAGCACCATTTTCTAGGGCATTTCCAGTATTCCCTGCTGCTCGAATGTCAGCAGTGCAGCCTTGACCGTCTGACGCACTCGCTCGCTGGCAAACAGCTGGCGACGCTTCATTTCCATGGCCTGTGGATTCGCAAAGGTGTGGACATTGAAGTCGGCACTGGCCTCGGCGGAGGCGCAACAGATGGGCAGCTCACAGGCAACGGCATAGTAGCCATAGTACAAGCAGCGCTGCATCTCGTCCATTAACTGGCCAAAGGTGGGCAGATAGCCGCAATAGCCGCCCAGGTTGAGGGTATCGGTGAGGCTGTGGTAATAGTGCTGCAGCAGTGCATCCTGCTGGTGGAGCAGCACCTCCAATTGCAGGCTGGTGTAGAAAAAGAACTGCAGATCGATGGCCGGGCTGCCCAGGAAACAGTTCTGAAAGTCCACCTATGGGAAATGGGAATTCTAGGGATTATTTTGTTGGCTCATTTAAGGGCCATTCTACTCACGAGTATTGCGTTGCCATTGCTTCGATCGAGCATCATGTTGTTCACCCACAGATCGCCATGAACAATCGCATTGAAGGCAGAGTTCTTGGGATCGACCACGGACATTATTCGCTCCGAGTATCCATCTGGTAGCTGAGCCTTCATTTTGTGAGCTATCTGCGGCAGCTCCTGGGCAAACACATCGGCCACGTATTCGGTTCCACCGAGCACAATGACCTGGGCAAAGGGATCCGACAGTCCACTGGCATAATGTGAGGGCGAAAGTCTAGCCACAAGGTCGGGTTGTTGCTGGCACAGGATCATCGAGGCGCCATGAAACTGGGCCATCTTTCGCAGACACATCTGCGCATCCTCCCGACACAGACCCCGAAAGCGATCCATTGAGGCATAGCCCAGGGCGCCAAGATCCTCCAGTACGTACACCTCCTTGCCGTTGGCTGCCTCGGCCAAGAGGCAACTGAAGCAAACAATCAAAAGTATACAGAGCATTCACAGCATAGGATATGGCAGTATTACTCACTCAGCGCTCAGCTTGTGCTCGCCCAGACTGGGTGGCGCTCTCTCCAGTATGGCACCCATGGCTGGCAGCAGCTCCTCGAACATGGTCTTCTCGTTGGTACCCAGCTCCGCCACGACGGGCAGCAAATCCTTGAGGATGTAGCGACCCGTCTCCAAGGGGGCGGCGGCTGACTTGCGAAATTCCACTACCACGCGGTAGATGACGCTGCAAAAGTTCTCCCCATTTTGGCTTAGAACCTCGATGCGAAAGTTTTCCACGCGCAGATCTGTGCTTTGGTAAGCTTTGGCCAGAGCTTTCTGGAAATATTCCGCGCTGTATTCTGGCTTCTGTTGAGGTTCCATGGCCCCATCCGTTTCTGGCAAACTGCTCCACTCGACTGACACACACTGGCACCACCACTCGCGTTACGAAAGTTACCGCGTAATTTTCCCCCTCCTACATATGTTTGCGGCCGCTTATCAACGATCCCCGATCCCCCACACCACTTAGTAAGCCTAATAAAAGCGACATTTTGAGTGAAAAATAGCCTATGAATGGGTGGAGAGCTTCCAAGACCAAGGGGCAACAAGTGGCAAGGGGAAAGAGCGGAATAATTGGGTCAAATCAGCCAAGGGTTGTGGGCATTCCATTTATTAGAGCACAGCACGTGAAATTGCCCATAAACTCAATTACTGGCCACGAAACAGGCCCCACGCAAACGAACAACTTGTTGATTTCAACTACAACCCAAAAGTGCTTGCTTTGCACGTTCCCTCAATGCCATGCATGACGCCCAGTAGAAACATTTGTTTGTTTACATCAACTAACCTTTTGTGGACGCCGCAACAGGGGAAGCGAAGCCACTCTCGGGCACTATCTTACGAGCTTACGAAAAGTACTTCTCTTGAATCACTTTTCACACACAATACGTCACGGGCAACGACCCGATAAGGAAAAGCACTATATACACTAATATAGTATGTTTATCAGCGTAATTTAATAATTATAAACACGTAGAGGCGTCAAACCAAAGAGGGCACTATCGATTGGAGATTGGATTGCGAAATTTACCGGCGTCCCGTCAGTGTGACCGCGTACTTATTCATGACGAAATATACCGAAATATACCTTCTCATATTCAAAATATACTGTAAATGGGCTGGTGCTAATCGTTGCCTGACCTGCATTTTGGGATTTTGATATTCGGATTAATATTACAAGATAGTTAGGACTCTCAGACCTGAAAATATAATTTTATACGATTGATTAATCAATTTTCCACAAGATTGGCTAGTTTTTAAGACTAGCTTTAAATGGATTTCTTAAAAAATAAGGTTCAAGCTAAAAAGGTCAAATCGATTGAGGGACTGGCTTCCGCGTCAGCACAGATCTGTAAATATATCGGAACGAGCTTATCGATAGTTAAGCGCCAAGATTTGAAATATTCAAAAACATTTATAGAATTCGGAGTTTCACGCCGCCTGAGCCTGATCAAAAGAGAGTTACTGCTGGAGCTAGTACAGCTCTAATTGATATATTAGGACTATCCATTACAATACAATAACTTACAAACTAAATAAATACAGACTATTCAAATGTGTAATCCACTCGCTTGAGGCCGCCAAAGAAGTCGGTTTCGAGGAGTTTAGACGCATCAAGAGCATTCGGAGCGACGTTTTCGGTACGGGCATCCGCATCGTTGATAATGCGTGTCCACTCGGCCAGATCGTTGCTCGGATTGCTGTGATTCGCCTCCTGGTGCAGCGGCTTGAGCATGAAATGGGATTTCTCCAGCTGACTTAGCAAGCGCACTGCAATCGAACAGCAACAAATAATGGAATCAACCGCAAGAGCGACTTCTGCAGCGTAGTACTTACAATGTATGGGCTGGAATCCGAGCAGCGTCGAATGCTCGCTCCACCAGTTGCAGATGAGGCTGAGATAGTGTTTCGTTGTCTCCTCGGAGTCACGGAACAGGCAGGTCAGGTAGTACTCATGAAAGATCAGTGTCAGCAGGTGCACCGCTATACGAGACATTGCCCCCACTTGCTCGGTACCTGTAGAACACACACACACACACAGGAAATTCAATCTAATCTGAATCTCTAGCAACAGCAGAGTGCATTTACCTGCTTTCCTCTGATGCAGCATCCACTGATGCATCATCTGGAAGACAAGCGTGACCACGCTGAGGCAGAGCTTCACATAGCACTCGCAATTGGTGCGGGAGGAGCCAGAGTTGGAGTTGGAGTTTGAGTTTGAGTCTGAGGCAGTCAGCGTGCAGGATCCATTTGAGGCCGAGCCATGCACCGCTGCTGTGGAGCTGCTGCTCAGCTTGTTGGCCAGTGTTTCCTCGTTGGCTTCCGCCTCCTCGTCTTCGGCAAAGTACGGCAGCATTTCCAGTATAAAGTGGGGCGGATTCTTGAAGCACTCGAAGGCGAAGCGCACATGGTTGCCGCCAATGGATAGCAGCAGCTGGAAATGGGACGCCTGCAGCGCGGTCTCGCTGAAGAAGCACAGCTCCAGAAGGCCCGCGTAGACCTGCAGCAGGCAGGAGCTGGGTCCGAACCGATAGACGGAGCGCACACGGTCCGAGATGAAGCAGCTCCTTGGACTGTTAACGCACAGACGCGCCAGCAGCGGCGGCCGCTGGAGGCAGGCCAGCAGGCAGGCGCTCAGTTCGCCAAAGACCCAGGGACTGGGCCGGGTGAAGACCAGCTGCTTGAGCAGCTCAACCAAAAGCTCTTCCACGCGCTCCTCCTCGTGCTGCTGCTCCCGCAGGAGGCTGTGCAGCAGCGAGGCTGTGGCCTCGAGCAGACCAAAGTGCTCGCTGACCTCGTAGGAGAAGCCCAGCTTGACAATCGCATCGATGGCCAGCTCCAGCAGCCAGAGATCGTTGTGCCGCTGCCTGAGCAGGGCCCGTGCAATCTTGCCCTGCTGCCTGCAGATCAGCGCCAATGTGGCCATGTAGCGACGCAGGATCATTGCCCGCTCCTTGGCGTACAGAGCCCCAGGCTGGGAGAGGGAGTGGACGCTGGCGCTGTGATGCGAGTGCAGCATATAGGGATTGTGGGGATACAACATGCAGTTGTGGGGGAACTGCAGGCTCTGGGCATACGAGGCGAACTCCGAGAACACCTTGCACACAGAGGAGACGATGCGCTGGACGAGGCTGTCCACAGATTCCGGCTGCGATTGCAGCTGCGCGTAGCTGAGAAGCAGCTGCTTGAGCTCCACCTCGAACAGAGTACCCTGCTTCTTGCCCTGCTGCTCGTTGTACTCGTAGACGCTGGCATTGTTCGCCCGCAGCCTGGGCACGGCCTGGTGGATATTCAGTTTGTGGAGGCGCAGCAGAGTGCGCTGCACCGCGGGATTGGGGGCGGCCGGCAGCGTACTGATGCTCATGTTCATGTTCATGGTCCTATCGTGTGCATTGCGGGCCTGCTGCTGGATCCTCAGCTTGGTGTTCTCGGCGTTTTTTATCTTTAGCTCGATATCCTTTGCCGCGATCTGCTTGACCGCCTCGGCCACCTTCTTGTTGCAGTCCCTGTTGGTCTCGTCGGCCAGCGCCATCTTCTCCATTTTGCTGGCCTGCAGCTGCTGGCGCACATACCTCAGCTCGTCCCGCAGCAGACTGACCTGCCAATACGCCATGATGCTTGATGATGTGGATGCCCAGGATTACGTACGCGCCTGTACTCACCTCTCCCGACTTGAGCTCCGTGCGCTCGTTGCTGTCGCCCAGATCGTGTTGCAGCTTGGAATTGTCCTTCTTCAGGGCTTCGATGCGATCCAGTAGGAACTTTATCTGGTGCTCTTGCTGACGCGATTGGGTCGCCGTAGTCTGTGTCATCGTCTGCTGTATGGTGATGCTTTTCGTCGTCGTTTTTTGGGTCGTGCCAACTGTTGGCAGTGGCGGGGGCTCGGGCCGTGGCACATCATCTGTGAGGGCCACGGCCAGGAATTCGAACTCATCATCGTCCCCGAATATGGCATCCATGTCGATGCTCGAAGTCTTCTGCTTCGGCGGCGCTGCGGGTGGAAACATCTGCTGGGTGCTGGTGGTGCCTCGCAGCGGCGCAAACTCGCTGAATGTGACGTCGCCAGCCGCCACGTTCGTTGCGTCCGCCTTGCGCTTGGCCTCCGCCTCAATCTCGGCTTCCGCCAGCTGGGTGGCCATCAGGATGACATCGTCGTCGTCGTCCCAATGGTCCCAGTCGATTATGCTGCGTGGTGGACTGGGCCGGGACGATGACCGGGCAACGCTCACATCGAGACGCGGCTTTTTGGCTCTCGCGATATCCTTCATGGCCCCGAAGCGCTTAGAAGCCATGTTCTCGTTTATTGTTTAATATGTCCCGCTTTTTGGTTACATTTCGTTTTTGTTTTGAAAAACTACGACAACGTTCTAGAGTTAACACCCACATGACCCATCATTAAAACCGCTCTATTTAGGTAGATGAAAAACTTAAGGAAACCACGGAAATACATTTATTTTGTAAATTCTCCTTGTAGATGCATAGATATAATCCATTATCTTTGCCTACAAAATTGTCAAGAAAATATGCACCTGAACTGGGCTGAAATTCTTCAAGTTCTATCACTTTCGTGGACGGGTGCAAAATGGGTTAATCGCTCGTTTTTGTTCCTGATATTTTCTCGATTTTGATGTTCACTTTTGAATTATTGGCTAGCTAGGACTCTCAGCACCGAATATTTCATTTCATCCAATAAATGAATAAATTTCCTCCAAGATTGTCTACTTTTAACTACTCCCTTGTTTGTTTATAAAGGAATAGCATTTTATCAAACATTTCTACAGAATACATTTTTTTACATGTTACGGTAACTACTCTACATGATTTCTACATGCTGTCGGTTAGCAAGGTGTGTGACCCAGAGAGGGACCAAATCGAACATAACAATCTGGTTCAGGCGGAATAAAACTTTGATTGATAACAATCAAACTGAATATCAAAATCAATATCTAAAAGGATCATTTACACACAGTATTATTTTCCGCGTTTCTAGGTGGTTCAACTGTTCAAATAGAGCGGCGTTGAGTGGGTTAAGTTCGTTTTTTCCGCATTATATTTACGGTATATTTTGACAATGAGAAGGTATATTTTGGTATATTGCCAAGAGTCTGCAAAAACGTGGTACGCATCGCTGTAATTATTATTAATATAAAATACACAGACGACGCCGACAAAGGTTTTAAGAGGGTCCATTGTTGCATTGCGAAAGGGTCGCGGGCGCACATGGGACGCCATGCCAGCTAAGCGAATGACCGCCACAACAGCAGCAACAACGAGGCCACCCCCACCGCCAGTCGCTGGTGTCAGCAGCCACAACAGCACCAGTGGAGGAGGCGCGGCACGTCCCCTAGAGATGCTCAACGGCATGACCCGCCTGACCCCGGCCAGAGACCTCACCCTGGGCGGACGTGGGGCGGGCAACAAAAAGGTCTTTGCCCCCAACTTGAACGCAGTGCGGAACAAGAACGTGTGAGTAGACTGCTTTGCTGCCTTGGATATCCCCCCAGTGACTATATTGTCTTCTTGTGCATCTCAGAAATGTGAAAACATCCAAGGACTTCACGCAGGCGCGCGGCGGTAAGCGCGGTGGCCGCGGCACTGCGTCGGGAGCAACACGTGGTCGTGGCGGCAATTCCACGCTTATCCAGACCACGGGCCTGTTCTCGGAGGGCGCTGGAGTTGCACAGCTGCGAAGGTCCACGGGCAATGGCACGGCATATGCGCGGGCGAGTGAGGAGCAGGCGGTGGCCCGGAAACGCACCGACCGCAAGGACGACAAGGCCCAGGCGCTTCGGGTGAGGGCACTGCTGGGCGAATCCGATGCCAGCGAGTGCGACGCATCCGACGCCAGTGATACCGAGGCTGATAAGACTGAGCTGGCCCTCAAGCCGATCCTGCTGAGGGAAGGTAAGTCTGGGCTGTCCCTGCTTCGTCCATGACTTCATGCTAATCCCCTCCTCGTCATGTCCAACACACGACATTCCATTCCCCAGGCCTGTGGCTCACCCAGAAACCCATTGTGAAGCAAGAAGATGCTAGCCTAGGCTCGAATCAGCAAGGTAACCGGCCGTACTCAAGAACTTTTAGTGGCTAATGCCGTTCGCTTGCCTTGCAGACCCGCTCGCCGTGGCACAGCACTTGCAGCATCTCCATGTGACCGCCCAGACGGCAGAGATGGAGGAGCCACCGCCCCAGTATGGCCGATATCCGCGCAGCATCGGCGGATTTCTCGATGCACCCCAATCGCAGATATTTCTGATGCAGCTGCCCGATGTCCTGCCCTGCGTGAGCGATGAGGCGGAGGAAGGCTCTAGGGAAGCACCCAAAAAGGAGGAAGCCTCAGCCGCCTCTGAGACTGAGCCCAAGAGTCCCGCAGCTCCAGCCTCGACGGGTGCGCCCAGGCCAAGTGTGCTCAGGCAGCTGGAGGAGGGCCAAATCGGAAAGATCCTCAGGTATCGATCCGGACGAGTCAAGCTGCTGCTGGGCGACACGCGCTTCGACCTGGACATGGGCCTGGACTCGGGCTTCCTGCAGGAGCTCATGTCGGTGACCGCCAATCGCGAACAGCGCAGCGGCAACATGATCAACCTAGGCCCCATCCAGGCCAAGATCAAGGCCACCCCCGACTGGGTGCATCTCTTCGAGCAGCAGGAGGCATCCAAGCGCAGTGCCAGCACATCCATGAGGCCCCCGACCGCGTAGCATTGCTGTGGCGGATGATCGATCTTCTGTTCCTCGCTTTCCCCTCGGCTATCTTCCTGTTTATCCCTTTTAGTAGATTATTATGTAATAATATGTATATAGGCCGTGCCTCAGTCTTAAGTTAATCTAAACCCCTTAGTTGTGCATAAAAGGTAACTATATTGAGATTTTGATTGTGAAAATGAATGCAATTTCTGTGGGAGGAGTTCCGCTGTTCGGCTACAGAGCTGTAAAGCAGTGCAGAATAGAATCGCACCGGAAACCTTTAACGTGATCAATTATGGAATTTATATTAATGTTGGGGATTTCCAAGGAAAAACTATCCTTTAGTTCTGCGCGTTTTGAATTAAAAAGAAATTAATTAAGAGAATTGCTGTCATATAGAGAATCTTTCCGTGATCCAAAACCAACGCTCCTACAATTATAATTTCATCGATCAAATGTGAAGTTTTGTATAGTGGATAGGGGTATTAAATTTAAGCAAATATTTGGCTAAAAATCCTGATCTTTTTAATGTAACAAGAAACTAAGACAAGGGGGCTAATTACTCAAGGCCTTCTGGTCGGGCTGTGGGGCTTCATCCGGTATCTGCGAGCTGATGCGTCCCTGGTAGAGGTTGCCGGCCATGTCGATGGCGAAATTGGGATCCACGGGATTGGCCAGCGCCGTTTCGATGGCCGCATTGAGGCCCTCCCGCGTAATGTATGTCTTGGAGCGCTCGATCTCGCGTAGAACCGCCTCGTTGGCTCTCTCCCGACGTTCCTCGTCACGCAGCTGGCGAGCTTCTAGTCGCTCCTGGACGTAGGCAACCTTCTCGTCGCGCTCCCTGGCCAGGCGCTGTTCCCGCTCCTGGGCAATTGTTGCGTTCCATTGCGAGTTGGCGGCCACCAAGGCCTGGTACTCGGCCTCTTCCTGCTCGGGTGTGAGCACTATGTGGTCCACCGTGGAGGTTTCCGCGTGCCGTACGACCTCCTCGCGCAGGAACTGGCGCACCGACCGCAGCTGGGTTCTGCAAGGGGGAGAATGGCTGTTAGTGGCTCCACGGAGACGGGGACTGGCTGTGGGACACCCACTTGTACTGGTTGTGCAGGCGCATCAGCTCGGTGCGCTCATCCTCCGTCTGCTTCGTGCGCTCGGGCACACGGAACATTTTGCTCTTTGCCACCGGCAGCCAGCGCGGCTTCCGGCGCCAGCGCACAAACTCTAGGGCAAAACCGTTGCTGCCCGTCTTGGCGGCGGGCAGGGTGGACTGCGTCAGCAATTGGCAGCCAGCACGCAGCATATTTTTCCCGATTTAATTAACAAATTCTTAAATTTGTAACTTGGTTGTGCAATTTGGGGTGACCGTGACGATAAAAAATACCATCCGGCCAAAAAATAAATACCATTAAATACCATTTCAGTTTCGGGATATACCATTTAAATACCATAAATTTAAAACATTAATTTAAAGTGTTTTGTCTATTTAAATAAATAAAATATATAATTCAGATAATTAGAAAATATATATTGATTTGATCCAGTGTTTCCTTTATTTCAATAAGATATCATCGATATATATATATCGATATATCGTACGACGGCTGGCGCTAGTGGATTTCTCAAAGATGCGTTGCTCATTGGAATGTAAAGCTTTTGGTATATTACGGTATATTTCTGAGGGTCAGACGGGTATATTGGATCGATAGGTACGCGGTCACACTGACGGAAAGTAACGTAAACTTTTGACGCTGCATGCAACAGACGGACACACGGTCTCTGAGTCGCGCTTTTGTGTTATTAATGAATAAATAGTACAATTCAACAAAATGTGCACAAATTCGGTAGCTATGCGCGTCTGAGTGTGTGAAATTGTTGAATCAAAAGTGCTGAAAGTGTTTTGCTAAGCCCATGCCCTGGTCCCTGCCCCCGCAGAGGAGCGCCTGAAGCGACGATCATTCATTATTGCTTCTTCTTCTTTTCGACGTGTTTCGCTTACCTGTCAAAACGCGAGTGTATTTGTGCGCTGGCTCTCTCGATCGCCTCTCTCTGCGTGTGTTTCTCTTTTTGCGCATGCAAAAAGGCGGCGGCTTCAACAAAACAACAACACAACACAACCCAACCGACAACGCAAGCTTTAAAGTCGAAGTTCTTGAGCGTCGGCGTCGCCGTCAGCGGCAACAGGTTAGCCCGCACGGACAGCGCTGCAGCAGAGGCAACCGTGTACAGGTTTGTTGGCATTTTCTGCCTTGCTTTTGACTTTGTTTACCCCTTGCCAACCCCTTTCCCCACGCCCCTTGTCCACTCTTTAGAATCGGAATTTCTGCTCGAGACCGCAAATATCGTTTCCCGCTTATCCGATGACTCTCGAGCGCTATCTTCCATATCTCTCAAAGACCATACCCTTTTCGCCAGAAGTGTTTGCACCGCCGATTCCGATCTATTTATCCATGAACGTGACTCAGATTATATTGATACGGCGCGATGTTGAGTCTAGATGGGACGGTGCGTGTCAGCGCCATAAGTCCAGCATGTTTACATTCATCATCGTATAACTTTCAATTATAAACTACTTTTTTTTGTAAATAAGTAGATGGATTTAATTACTTCAAAGCTAAGAAACATAAGGTTGAATGTTTAATATGGACTTTTATTAATTTTATAACCAGAAGAATTCGATAGTCGATTTCATAAATATGTACCCCTAGGCTGGATAACCACCCCAAAAGAACAGTTTTTATAAACCTATTATTACCGAAAAGTGCACCTATTACATTTACTTTGCCCCCTTCCCATTACATACACTTACAGTTTTTCCCACACGAAACCCCAACCCCATTTAAACGTCTTATCAACGAAGCTCATTAAGAATTCCGAAAACAGAATTGCAACTTCAGTGCACCACACTACACTGCGCAACATAAAAGCCAGAAAAACTTACCTTGAACGCCTCTGCCAGTGCAAGATTTGCTTGCAATTTTATTAGCATAACTGAACTCTCACAACACCCAGTGCGACAGCGAATAGAATGTACGTTTTACGACTCTTGGAATGCCCTCTACGCTCTGAGAAAATATAGTTTATGATAGTGGAATAGATAACAGTTTTCCAGTTCACTGTACGTAATTGGAACTCCTTAGAAATCTGTATGAATCGAACTCCTTAGAAATCAGTATGACTCGAAGTCTTATGGATATTGAAATGTGAGTCTTCGTTCTTCTGGATCTGCCTTTACATTATGTGGAAGATTAATTGAGCAATCTCTCATAGTTTTCAAGATCCAATCATCCAATCAGTGTGGACCATTTATAGACTCTTCTCCGACTATGCAACATGAACATACAGTATACCCTTTTATCCTACCACAACTGGGTACAGAAATTCATAAAAATAATTATGCCAGCAACAACAAAAACAACAACAGCAGTAACGAGTGAAACAGTTTAAATGACTTTCAGTCACGTCACGCCATAGCCCCCCACCAGCAGGTGTCGTGGTGGCAGGGACGGGGGCGGGTTTGTTATGGGCGACTTTAACTTAAATATGCAAACTTTTCCCTCGCTTTGAGAAAATTTCGCAAGTTGTGATAAGGGTTTCGTCTCCCAGCGCCCCACCCCCTTTCCCACCACAAAACCCTCTCCCTGTAAAACCTAATTAGCAAAATGTTGTGGAGCAATTAAAGAAGTCGCAATTCTGCCTCAGCTTTAATTTTGTTTGGGCTTTTTTTTATTTTCTTGGGTTGCAGAGAAAAACAAAGTATTTGTCACAAAAGTGAAGTGACGCAGTGCAGCTGTTTGACTTTATATAAATATTTTCTGATCAGCAAACATAAGCAAAAGTGGGATTTCAAAGTTAAATGAGGGAATAATGAAAGCTTAGAAGAATGTTTTCGTGGAGGCTTGGATTGGGTTCTAACTTTTGTTAAAAGGTTTCAGTACTTTGTGGGGAAACAAGTTTCACAAAAAACAACCTGTAATGCTGACATCATTTTGGTCAAAATCCACCCCAAAACAACAAAAAAAAAGGGAAGGAGTTTAATTCTGTTCTGTTTAAGAAATCCCTTTATGAATACAACCCGAAAGCACTTCCGTCGTTGGGTGTACAACATCTTAACCTTCCCATCAGAGAGCTCAGCCAAGCGAGAGATTGACAAACTATATTTACGACTCCCTTCTGATGATCTCAGGGAGGGAGGCAAACGATGACAATCAGACACGCAAGGGACCGCACCGCTTCGCGTGCTCTTAGATAAAAAGCTTTTCACAAACCAAACTCGGAAAACAGAAACAGTGACAGCAACAACAACCACATTTAGATATCCAGACTGAAAACTGACCTCAAACTTAATTACCAACTTAACCTTTTTGGCTGAAACAGCAGGAAACTGGGTGCAGCCCTGTCGTCCTGTGACCTAATCCGCACTGAAGTGACCTATAAAACGGAGGAAAAACTAAAGCTAACTACGGGAAATGAGGACATAAGAGGGACGGGACGGACAGCTTACTTACGTAAAATCATCCAAAAGAAGGAAAAAAGCCACTAACAAAGTGGATGGAAAGTGTTGGCCTGCTCAATGAACATTTGGGAGAGCTGTTGGCGCTTTCCGATGGAGCATTTTATGAGCTCATAAAATCCAGGATAATAAAAAGTTCCTAACGCACGCCAAGGTGACTATTTTTGGAATTGTGGAACCCCAAAAAAAACGACAAATAAATAAAACCAACAAAAATGGGAAAGTGAATGATAGAAGGGAATAAAAATATATATGTACATATGTGTATGGTACATATACTATACATATGTACATATATTATACTAAAATAAAATTTGCATTCACTTTTCAGAATATTAGTTAAATTCTCGTATATGTAGGTATTTAATTAAATTCGTTGGCGACTTAAGCTTACGATTTTTATGATTTTTACAAAGAAATTCCTTAAGATGCAAGTGGCAAAATTCTACCATTTTCAATCAACTAGAGTTAATTTAGAGGCTGTCACCTCATCCCTCCTCCCGTGGGCAACGTACAGCTTTCTTAGATTATTTTTTTTAGACACTTCCTAAGATGCAGACATAAACTAATGTTTTCTATGGCGACCATTAAAAGCCAAAGACTCTGTCAGAGATAAGGACAGGAGATGTACAGATGTACATACATATCTACTGGTATGTGTGGACTTTTAAGTTCTGAACCCTTTGCCTGAAAAGATCTCTGTCTCTGAAGATCATCCAGAGAGATGCCTGCTTGCTATTGGCCTGGCTCACATATAATGGCTTGACTTGGCCCTGGCACGCGTTTTCTTTTATTTTTTATTATTTGCCCCACCTTTATCTACTTCTTCATTGGTTATGGTCACGTTTGGGCGTCTTATCGCTTAAATTACTTAACAAGTTTCCGAGAGTTGGTTGTCTCTGCCTTATGGCTGCAATATGCAAATGCAAGGGGCATGCAAGTTGAACAACTGGTTGCTTGCAGTTGGAGTCAAGTTAGGAAACAGAAAAAATTATAAATTTTTAAGGAAAATACATACTGAAGTGTTCAGATTTTATCAAAAGTTTCATTAGATCATAAATGGTAGAAAATGTTAGAATCAAATTTAATAAATGAATGGAAAAATGTAGTACTGTAAGACAGAATTAATTTTCAAGGAATATTTAAATGAAATATAAAAACCTTTTGGTGTGCACCTGGTTCTAGGAATGAAAACTCGGTCAAAACTCCACGGGGGATCGGAAACCTCTCTCACTCACACCTCTCGGAAACTCCATTTCAAAATTAATTTCGTTTTCAATGCATCCACAACTGAAAAGAAAAAAAAACAAAAACTGAAATAACTAAAATCATAAACCGGTTTTAACAGTTAGAGAGGGGGAATAAAACACACAAGCACACACACACATACGAAAGGTATTTGTTTCTACAAAAAAAAAAAACGTAGAAACCGAAAAGCCCAAGTGAAAAGTAGGTGACGTTAAGCACCGTTAGCCCTCCAAACTGGTCGCTTCTTCTTCTTCTGTTGCTGCTGCTGCTGCTGCGCTCTTCTTTGCTTCTTCTGCCTCTCCCCCGCTGCACTCCCCTTACCTGTGTTTTACTCGCATGTTTTTGTTAGCTGCGCTTCTCATTTGATTTACGTTGCTGTACCCTGTATTGCGGGTATGCGTATGCGTGTAAAAGAATTTTTGTTTTGTTTTGTTTAGCAGCCACGCCCATCAGATATTTCAATTTTACATAACATGGGCAGGCCGACGACATTGTGTGTCGAGAGCTTTGGTTGAGTGGCCAAAGAGCAGTTCTGTAACTGTGACAACAGGAAGAAATGGAGGTTGGCTTCGGGAATACCCTTTTTACTTAAAAATATTTCTTTCATTTTCCCCATATATACTTATGCCAGCAATTTTATATAGTGATCTGGGCTTTGGTCGATTTCCGTATTCATATGTACAGATACTGCACCAGCCAACCAGCTGAAATGAGCATGCCCTGTGGAAGGGTATACAAATAGAGATAACAGACGCAGTACAAGCAGCGACAGGCGACGTCACACTTGCGTGGTCAGCTTTTTGTGCATTGCCAAGCTTGAAAGAAGTAAAGAGAGAGAGACCGCATGCGCAACAGACATTAGCTTGAGCACAGTGGGGCTGGCCTATGCCAAACTACTGTGAAATGTACCTTTGAAATAACATTTTGAGAATCGCGTAATATGGAAAGATATTTTCCCTTTACTTTCTCAGACTTTAATAAATATTTAATTTAGCACGCTTCCCAACCACAATAGCAATCCAGTGACCCACTGTTCAGTTTCGCTGAAACTGTCTGCGTAGTCTGCGTCATGGCCAACCCAAGCTTTTGCTGCTCGACTTGTATGAATTCACATTTTGCATTCTCTCTTGCAGAGTTCTCTTTCGATTGCAGTCACACACATGTGTGTGTGTAGACTGCGTAATTAGTGCTATCGTAATTGAGTTTTGTCCACTCTCTCAGCGCTGGCCGAAAGTTGCTTATTGCTATTCTTATTTGGCTGCATTTTAATTGAAATTTATGCAGCTATTTAAGTGCCGCACTGTCCCTCTCTCACTCTGGCCAACTGTATGGGGAAGAGCGTGGCAGAGGGATGGCTGGTAGGAGGCTGCGGTTCAGCGATTCTTTTGTCCATGTATTGAGTCTGGCTGGCTTTGCTTTAGCTTTGATTACATGGATGTTCTCCATTCCCTTTTTTTATTATTTATACCCGTACCCGTACTCGTACTCGTGGGGCATATTTAATTTTTTAAGATTTATGCAACAGCCAGGAGAATGCGGGTTCTATCCGATAATAAAATGTGTACTGTTAAAGCTATAGCAGCACCTTCTTTATGATGATCACGCAGATGCACAACGTAACAGTCACGCAATTACAGAAAAACAGCAATTGTCTGTATGATGTTGGGTTTTCAATTCAGAATAGGGGGTATCCTTTAGTCGTAATTTCGCCTATTACTTTGGTATGTATGAAATGTACTTGGTGTGAGTTACCGGTGCATTGATTCTGAATTGAAGCTGCTTCTGCAATTGTCGGACAGGAAATTAGGTAAAAAATCGAGCGGAAGCTTTTAGTTCCGTGTAGTATCTGGGGTGAGGCTTTTATCGAAAGTGCGGCATTCGATTTGTATGGTGATTAACTATATTTAATGGACTACCAAAGTTCTTTCGTTTTAAACAAAAAGAGAATAATGCTCTAAGCTGTTCTATTCATTGAGATCTTTCTGACAAAATGATTATTATTTGCTTCCTGTTTCTGACGATATTACACCTCGCTTCTAGTTTCCAGAATGTGTGCCATATAATTGGTGGATCTTACAAGTAATTTGTGTAATTTGAATTTAATTATATTGTTTCCCTTATGACATCTGAACATGCCATTGCGTTTCTTATTTTTAGTTGAGAGTTTTTTTTTAGTGATGTACGGAAATAAATAAATTACATTTTGTGGATTAATAGTACCTACAATTATGATTTTCATTAATTTATATACTAGCAGATTGAGTTAAAAAATGTATATTTTTTGAGGTTCAATCCAATTTGATTCAGTTTTTTTTTCATTTAAAAATACTTTGATTTTTTATTTTTATTACATAAATTATTATAATTCATATTCCCCATCAATAGATTCATCAGTTTCCCGTTCCTATGCTTCGATTACAAAATCGTTTGCTCAAATTGAAAGAATTTCCCCCAATTCATATTTCGGGTGGTTCCAAATTGCGCTCAATCGACATACATAAATGTTCGAAGAGGTCAAGCCTAAATGCTTGGACCTGCACAACACTAGACCCTCCTCACACCATACTCTGCTTTTCTGTTTTGGGGGTCAATTATAATTCATATGAAGTGCAAGACTTTAATTAAAGTGTTTTTTCCTCGGACAGAAATGGATGTGGCAATGAGGAAATTAGAAAGCCATCAACGGAGCAGCTTCAAATACTTTTGGTACTTGGTACTTGGATTGTCAACTTTCTGTTGTAGAGTTTTAAGTACTTTTGATTGCGTTTCACCCATTGTCACGGCTGTCGACTAACGTGATTCACGCAATTTTGTGGCTTGTAGAGACTCTGGCGGGGGCGTTCCATTAACCAAACCATTGTCATTGCTGTTGCGCGCAACTTGGCATACAAATTTTGTTGAACATTTTCTTAGCCGACTCGCGCTCTGGTCTGGCCCCCCCTGGGGTCTGGGTCTCTGGGGTAATTGCCATGCAATTTCGACTCTGACGATTCAAGGCACGATTGCCGCCGTCCCTGCCTGATAAGAGTTGTTATTGCAGTTGTTAGTTTTATCGTTTAACTAAGGGAAGGGAAGTGATTAAAGATGATTTCAGTTTCAATTATCCAAAAATCATATTAAAGTTTACCTATGGACTCTAGAGGGAGTAGAGTCTCGGATAGATAATAATTGTAATCTTTTTTAAATCTCTGTAAAGTACAGACAAAAATGACTTCAATATTTCTTATATCTAATCTCCTACTATTTATCCTCACTTTCAGACGGGAAAACTTTTGAATCGTAACAAATTGCACAGCCATGGACTATAGCAGCATACAAAAAATAATTTCCCTGATTGAAATGGATTTATAAAATATAATTAAGGTAAGTTAAATCTTTTTTTCAACCAATTAAAAGATGAGGGAAACTCAAAAGAGGTTTACAACGAAACCGAAGCCGAATCTTTAGCGGATCATAAAATGTTGTTGCCCCACCCCGCCTCCTCCTCCTCCTCCTCCACCTCATATGCTTCTTTCACCAAAAAAGATTCGCGGTCAAGGTGATTGAACCTAAGCCGCGCCTGAACTTTGTTTTTAATTCTCATTCTTTTTAATTTTTACGCATTTTATGGGCGAAAAGAATGTGACTTGCCTTGCGACATAATTAAATTATGTATACGCACCGCGGTCTTCCAAGCAACACAGAAGCAGGGCATAAGCAGCGCATGAATTAAATTAAAATATGCCAAAAGCAGAAATGAAAAGAAAATAGAGTTTGAACGTGAATGTTTCGGCTAGGGGATACCTGGTAATTGGCATTTATTATTTATTTCGGAGTAAATGTTTAAATTATTTAATTTACATTAGCATATCGATTTGATATCTCAATACCCCTGAAGTTCATTTAATTTAATTTAGGGACTGACACGTACTGATGCATTATTTTCGATAACGTGTTGATTAAGATTGCTCGAATGAAATAATGTAGAATGTTTAATAAAACTATTTCTTACAATATATACCCCTGTACCTGTACGATAACAGGGTATCCACCACAGTCATAAAGTCAGTGAATGAAGAAGCGCGAATACCGAATACTGGAGACAATACGCGCACGAGTACGAGTGGCAACCGGTTCAATAACTGAATAACTGGAATGAGGCATAAATTGAATTACATTCAAAAGGGCGACAATATGATCATATGACTCAGCCCAAAGATACAGATGTACGAGTATGCATAAATATGAATCTTATGGATATATGTGTATATGTATATACACATTCAATGGCCATTTAATCAAACTAGAAGTTGTGTTCTTGGACTCCCATTTGAAGTACTTGCGGCGGCCGCCTCATTAGAGGCCTTTTTCTTTTCTTTTATTTTCGCTAACCTTTGGCTCTCCTCTCCCACACAATGCAAACTTGTTTTTCAACAATACTCTGTGACTGATTAACGTCATGCCTGATGCCATTTGTTGATGTGGGAGTTATGTATATTTATAGCCATAAAATATCTGCATAAAGCATATCTGATTTTCCCTCAAGGAGAAACTTGTCTGTCAGTCGATTGTTTCGCTGCTTTTCGGAATATAATTGGAATGTATTGTTGGTGAAATTTTATTTTGGAAAATACGTTTTCTACAATATAAATCCATAGCTGAATCGATCCAATATCCAGCTTTCCCTGCTTCTGTGCTGTGCCCCATACCATCCCCAGAAGCGCCTTGCCTGCCGCCTGTGCACCTGTCATTCGTTTTTATGGAAGTGCTTCCCCAGTATAAACGCGAGTGTAATCGTTAATTAGGACACAACAAAACATTTGTCTATTTAATTAATAAACCAAAAATGCTTGAGCCATGGCAACGACATTTTAAGGCAACATTGGCTGTGTCCATGGGCTGTCTGACTGTCTGACGCTCTCAATCTGTGAATGGAGATGAGCAACGCACGTGATTTATCGACTACATCGGCAAGCAGTTCCCCCTCCCCACCCAAAAACAGAAGCAGACCGCAAAACAGGCTTCAGTTAGAAGTGCCGCCATTCATCAGTATCGAAGCAATCCAATCGGAAGGTTCTCTTTTCTCTGGAAAATATATATCCTACAATCAAGATAGCTAAAAGCTGTTAGGTATAAGGTACATATTTAGGGGCTGGAGAAGGGCAAAGGGAATGAAATCAACTGACAGCAAAGCAGAAAATAATAAGAGCCTTGTGAGGATATTGGTAAAATATAAAAAAGCAAATTATTTTTGGTGTTATTTAATGGGATAATTATCAAGCAAGTTGCAAACTAGTTTCGATGACACTGACACACACACACACGCGTCTTGACACGTTCTACTGGCGCACGTTCTTGCAACATTCAGCAGGCAGTGCAGCATTGCAACATCAGCAGGCAGTGGAAGTGGAACCCAGCAGCACTATCATTCGACGCCTCGTTGCACTTTCCATTTGCCAACCCAGTGAACCGCAGGTCGGTCGGTCGTTTGGTCGTTTGGTCGATTGGTCGCTCTCTCGTCTGTCCCGCCCCTTTCTCATGGATGTCCCACAAGGCATTGGCTACTTTAGCTAATGACTTTATTGAATCGACCGTAGGCATCATCATCTCTACACTCCTCACCTCTCTCTCTCTCTCCCTCTATGTCTCTGTCTCTGTCCATCTGTTGACTCTTCGTGTGACTTTTGCCGCATTAAAGCGAAAAATTAGTGCAAGCAAATTTGCTCGTCGTAAATGATCCGACAATGGGCTCATCATCGTCATTAGACGCCACCCCGATACAGTGTCCAACGCCTTGGGTGGCAAAGCAATTCCGAAATAGTCTTTAAGTGGAATTTTAATTGAAGAATAGAAATCCTTAGACAAGAGATCGATTGTCGAAGAGGTATCCCCCTTTTCACACTTGGACGTGAAATTGCGACGAAAGGATTTTGCTTTCGTGGTGTGGTTTCCAGTCTACATAGAGGGAAATCAGTTGTACGTTCTATACATTTCTGTGAGCATATCCTTGCCTTTTGCTACAGCAACAGCTCAGATTTTGATTGTGGGTCGGTCTGGTTTATTTGTGGCAATTTCTGGTTGGAGTATCTCTTCCTTGTCAGCTTTGCTCAGAGCAATTAGAGGCTTAATCGTTTGACATCGTTGTGGGCCAGATGGTTGGTTCGTTTGGTGGGGCAGTACCGTGTAAAATACAGCACATGTTATGTAAATAACGGCCTTTACTACCATGCAACATAACAGCAAAGAGAGGTCTGGTCTGGGAAGGAATTGTGGATGTGTGGTCCAAAGTGGGACGGGACAGACAACAGCTGGCCGCAGAACAAACTTTTGAGAGAGCAAAGAGGATAGAACACCCTTTGGAGGAGACCCACAAAGGCCCTCCCGCCCCCAACAATGACCCCCTTAATGACAATGTCTCATGACACACATATGAAATGCAGGAAAAAGAAAAGAAACGGAAGAACGGATGGGGTAGGGGGGTTCTATGGCTGTGGGTGGCTGGGTATGGGTTCTGAGGGCGTTGGCAGTTTGATTGTTGTTTGCACAACTTGTCGTAGCTGCCGCATGTTGCACGGTGGCCTGTCACAACGCAAAGATAAATACCAACTGCAAAATAAAGAGACAGAAAAAAAAACAACCGTTCATAAACTCACCAATGTGGAAGCGACAAAGAGTCAGGGGAGACAAGAGTTGGGGCTAGGCAGAGGCAGTGGCAGATAGACCCATATACATAGATATTGGGTCTAGGGCTTTTGTCAGGCGAAAACTTTCACCAAAAGTTGTGTAAAGAAGATGCAACAAAGTAAAAGTTTTCCACAATTCAACGAAACGTGAAAAGAGCTGCAGCCACACAGAAGCGAGTGAGAAGTAGGGAATTAGACAGAGAGAGAGAGATAGGCAGAGAAAGAGACAAAGAAGTGAAATGTGTTAACCACAAATCAAACAAGAAGAACAATTATAAGGAGGAGGAGGAGGAGCAGGAGAAACAGGCAGGCAGCAGGCAGCAGCAACGGAAGCTCTGAAGACAGTTGCAACTCCTTCATTTCCATTTCCATTGCCGTCCACAGTTCCAGAGCTCTCTTCTGTCTCCCAGAAAGCCCATGTCTGACCCATTTCCATGGGCTGTTTTCCCACCTACCTGAGAGCAGGGAGCCGCAATTTGTATTTGCCTGAGAGATTAGCATGTAAGCAAATACACTGAGGGAAAAGCTAATACACGAGACTAATAGACGAGACCATTCTAAAGGGAAGGGAAGGGTGTCTCACATTTATATACAAAGACACTTATACTTATCATTCAATTATGAGGAGACAGACTATTAAAACATAGATCTTCAATTAATCCAAAACAGAATTTACATTTTATTCTTCCGCTTCAATTGTTTGTATTCTTCTTTTTTTGATAGTGTATTTGGCAGTCTACGAGTATGTATTTTCTCTCCAGAAAGTGGAGCTAAATAACTTGAAGATCTATGGTCTTGTTGTCTTGTCTGACTCCCATTCTGATTTGGAGAGAGAGTGAGCGGAAGTTCTCAGCTCGCAGCTTTCAGCTTAACTTAACGGATGGATGGTTGGCTAGCGGGATAACTGTTCTGCTCTTGGCCATAAAAGACAAAAGGTTGAGAAAAAGCTAGGCAAAGAATTCAGAAAATCAGAATAGCTAAAATTGTATCTATCTAAAGGGTATCAACAAGTGTAAAATACTCAAGTCTAGCTTCAATTATGCACACAAAATAGAGAAGCAGGAGCTAAACGATACATGTAGAGTGTTTGCCTAATTTGATTGAAACCAAGGCTTAAATACTGCAAATTTAATGCGAGACCATTTAAGTTGGGCCTGTGATCAATTCAAGGTATCTTTGGCCTGAGTTGCTGCCCAAAAGGCACCTTAATTAAGTACTAGATGCAGGTAAAGTTCCGTAAACCCAAACCAAGCCAAAGCATAAACGGATTACAACCAAAAACCAGCACTCAATTAGGAAAAGTTTTGGCCCTAACTCGTGGCTCTGCCTGAGCTTGTGTGTTTTCTGCTGCATCGTGGCCTCAGGGAAATGGCATTTTCCAGTGCTCCCCATTTTCCAAACAAAGCGAACGCCTTTCCAAGGCAACGGCTTGGCTTTGGTTTTGGCTGTTGTTGTGGAACGTTTTGTTCCGTTTCGCACTTTGCCATGGCAACAAGTGCAGCCAATAGTAAACAGCCAACAGCCAAAACAGAGCGGTGCTGCTCCTCGTGTTGCCAACCTAACAAACAGAAATCAAACTATAAACCGAAAATCAATATATGTACCCCAGTCCCCCCTCAACCCAACCCACTCCTGCCCAACACCCCCTAAAAACTATTAGAAGGTAGGCCGCGACACGTTTTGCCATTCAACTGTTAGGCCAAGTCGAGACAAATTGAAGGGAATTTCCTGTCTGGCAGGGCTCTCTCATTTCCCCCAATTCCAATTCCAATCCCAACCGAGCCGAACCGAACCGGTGACCCAATTTCCGCGGAAAAGCGGACTTTTCATTAGTCCGAAGTTCTCTTTTGTATTTTGGTTTCGGTTGAGATTTTTTTGCACATATTTTTTGTGGGATTAAGTGACTGGGAGTGCACCTAATGGTGGTCTGTGGTACCTGAAAGGTTGTTAGCCTCTCACCTCTCTCTATCTCTCTCTATCGCTATCTCTGTCTGTCTGTCGCTGTCTCTTTCTTAGTCTCTACTTTGATCAACGTTAAATTGCTTTATTTAGCGCTGCTTTCGTTTCCCAAGTTAATTGATTTGGTTTTTTGTGGCTTTGTTTTGTTTGGAGAGAGAGAGAGAGCGGGGAAGAAAGAGAAAGAGGCTTTAAAATGCTAATGGAAGTAGGGGTTTGAGCTAAATTTAGGAGTTGTGTTGTGTCAGAGATAAGTTGACTCCCAAGCGACGTGCGGCATTATTTATGGCAGCGAAGCACGAAGGACTGAAGGACTGAGAGTTCAACGAATGACTCAAGGGTAAGGGGTAAGGCTGGGCGGTATATGAAATTCTACTACATTCAATAAAAGTTGAAATATAAAAAAAATAGCAACTGAAACTAGGTCAAAAGAAGAACCTCTAAGTGAGAGGAAACTATATACAGATATCTGCTTGAATGAGGGAGCTACAAGGTGCAGCAAAATAGAAGAATTCAGAAGATCTACAGAAAGGTAGAGAGAGAGAGAGAGGGAGAGAGAGAGGGAGAGAGAGAGAGAGAGAGAGGGAGGGAGAGAGAGAGGAGAGACAGCTTTCAATTGCATCTTCTTCTGTGAGATCATGAATAATAAAATAAAAAACCCAAAAGATTAGACACTATGATTCATGGTTATCGCTTGGGATTTTGTGGCTTTGTGGGCCCCCAGGAAACCCACACGATGTGGCATGCCCCATGACTAGGGATGTGTGGCTGGCTGGTTGGACGGCCGCCCGCTGGCAATTACACTTGGTGGCATGGCATGCGCTTCACCATCTCACACTTGCCGCTTCTTCCGTCGCTCCGCCCGGCTCCTTCCTCTGCGACAGCAACGCAACGCTTGGCTTGGCGTGTAAATCATATGAACATATGCACATCACCTCTGGAATCACGACAGGAGACTCTATAACTATGCCCTCCACTCCTCTGCTCAGCTCAAGCGCCCAAGTTCACTCTCCACTGCAGTCTCCACCTTTTGTGACCACCTACACACGATCACAGATGGGACTTAAGAGAGGGAGAGAGAGAGAGAGAGAGAGAAACGACAGCTAAACAGAAATTTATGCAAGTTGAAAATCGTGACACAATTGGTAGGAGTTCATTTGGTTGACTTTGACTCTTGGCCTGACTTTGGCGTTGGTTTTGGCTTTGGCTTTGGCTTTAGCTTTAGCTTTCGGCTGGGTTCGTGTTCGGGTTGGAGGTGAGCACCCATTTGTAAGAGCCACAACAATGTTGCAGAAAGAGGTGGGAATAGAAGGCAGATAGAATGGATAATAAATGGTTAGAATATTCCTCCAATGAAGTAACTAAAGATACAAAAGATAAACGAAAGGGCAGCCACCTTGGGGCAAAGATAGCTATACACCAAGATACATTTTGCCGATCAATGATAAATGTAAAGCATAGAGAGAGTATTTCTCTTTTTGTTAATATTAATATCTGCTTTTCTGGCATTTCCTCTCTCTCCATCTTCAGTGAAGATTCGCCACAGAACCACCGAAGCATTCTCCATCGCGAGGGACGATGGCGAAATCTTGGCCAAGTCTCCACAGAACCCACACAGAATGTTCCACTCAGCGAAGCGTAGTGGAGCACAGACCCTCCCAAGCGGCTTTCAAGAGTCAGAGAAGCAGAACCATCTGCAGCACTCGTTGGGTAATCTAAGCTGCTCATATCACCCATCCGCCCCCCTGTCCTGCCTTTCCATTCCTTACTTCCCTGAGCTTCTTGTTGTACCCTTCAACAGAGGAAGGGTATTATCATTTTGATGATATGTTTGCTAAGCAGCGATAGTAATATTCCTAGATATATATTCCTTATGAATATGTTTTCTATGCATCTATTCCAAAAGTGTATCTAATGTTTGGGCTTTCTAAACTGGCTCTATCTGGTTTGCATTTGATTGTGTTGCTGTTGTTGTTGCCTGGTTTGTCTGTTTACCGTTAAGAGCAACAAACAGCAGCGTCTGGCGTCCGAAGCATCAACAGAATCGGAGTCTCCACTGCGCCACCAAATGATGAGGCAACAACCGACTCGTTTCGGCTTCGCGGATGGAGAGTGTCTCCAGTTTCATGTTTCTAGTATTACAATGCGCCGCCGGCGTGATCTCTCTTTCTCTCTCTCCCTCTCTCTCTCTCTGTGTGTGTCTCTGTTTGTCATTGAGGACTCTCCGCTTACTTCCATTTGATACGAATTATGGCATAATGACTTGAGAAGGTTGTTTGTTGAGTTTATTAGCATGAAATGAAGATAGAATGCTTTTGGCAGAAGCGTTCCCCTCCTCGGTTGATGTAAATACAGAGTGGAGTTATAAATATACAGAAGGAATGCACAAGGAATGTAAAACATTTTATATGTATTTCTGTTCTCTCTAGTTTCAGTGACGGATATCGTTTCAGCCAGATATCTCGTAGATATCTATTTGATCCCAATTTACACCCTCAGCCATTTCCATTCGTTGGCTGCAGCCTTTCGCTGTGGTCTAATTCATTCTTTAGCCTTTCCAGTCCATTAATTGTTAGCTGCTTACCATAATTCAAATTTAGATCTCACGTATCACGTATACGCCTCAGTGTTGTTTTTCTTTTAGCAATTGGCTCTTAAATTCGCCCCAACAATTAGCCGAAAGATGTCAAAACAAGAAGCTCAAACTTGTCTCAGAGACATGAAAAATATTTCATAAATTGACATTTAATTACATGTAAAAGGAATTCGGCTTACAGAATCGACAGCTAGTGTGAGTGTGTGTGTGTGGGTGGGTGGGCATACAGCAGCTGCCCCACACACACACACACCAAGATATATTTTCTCTGCGTAAGCATTATTTTTGCAAGGTCGTCGACAAGTAGCTCTTTATGTATGAATGAGATCTAATTGTTCGTGATGTGAGAACGAACACTGGAGAGGCATTTTAGGTGGAGGTGAAGGTGGGTACCCACCCACTCGGTTTTCTTGGGATGGGGTTGATTGTGGGGTAGATTTGAGGGTGCTCTTCCAGATGTACATATGTACGGCTTATGCTAATGCTAAAGATAATGCCTGTGAGAACATTTGTGGAACGGCTTACGGCACGGCATGTCCCCATTTTTGTAATGCACTTGACAGTGCACTTGAAGAATGTGGCTCAATGTGTCAGCCGGAGAGAGCCATCCGCTGAGCAGCAATCAAATGACATAATTGAGCAGAAACTGTATTTAAAATTTATTCAATTGTATCTCAGTGTATATATCTTTATTTGCATCTGTATCGTTTTGTTTCTTTCTTTGCTGTACTTTCCAGTTTGTTTGGATCTCTCACTCTTTGAATGTTTATCGATCGTTATGCTGTACAGTAAAACATGGCAAAGTCGACACTTTATGCTGCTGGTGTGACCTGTCTGGGCTTCGTTTGTTTCGCTTTGGCATCTGTGGCCATTGGAATACCCATCTGGGGTTACTACGATAGTCCATCGGGTGAGTTTTCTTTTCTTTCCTTTAATTGCAACTCGAATTCTTATTAATGTTTTCGCTTCGCAGGTGGCTATGACTTTGATCGGGGATATTTTGGCCCGTTTAAGGTGTGCAAGCAATTGACTTACAATCGCGAGAAATGCGGCAACGATGTATCCAAGTTTCGGTTAAGCAGTGAGTATCGCAAATAGCTGCAACTCTTTTGGCAGTGAGTAAAGGAACTGTTTTCAGATGCCGTCTTTGTCAGTGGCCTGCTGGCCGTTGGGAGCGCAGCCTTGCTGGGCATCTTCTGCATTCTGTCGGTCATTCAGCATGCGATGATCTCGTCCCGGGAGAAGGTAGTGATGCCCTACACAACGCTGGTCATAGTGAAGCTGATATTCGCCCTGCTGGGAGGTGAGTCCACAAGTCTACTCGTTGCAACATCTAATCGAATCGGAATACCATCCCCGTCCCCGCCCCCCCTTAGGTGTATTGGCCATCATAGCCACCATTCTGTTTGCTCTGCAAATTGACGAACAGGAGCGCTTCGGTTTCAAGATATCGCGGGGCATTTCCTTCTACATACAGGTGAGTGGAACGACTAAACTTGCCTCGAATTAGAGTTTAATATTCTCCATTTCAGATCGTTGCTATCGTGCTGTCCATAGCCCTGTTTGTGGCGGCCCTGTACGATGTGATCTACTCGCGCAGCCCCGGCGGGGATCCCACCATGGGCATGGACGCAGCCTCGCCGGCCAGTGCCACCACCTTCAATAATCCGGGCTTCAAGGAGCCGCGCAGTCGCAATGGCGTCTCGGTGACGGATGCCTCGGGCAAGCCGTATAGCGGCATCAGAAACGGGGCCGGAACTGCGGGCAGTGTCGCCTCCATGAGCACCACGGTGACGAGCGTCTCGAATGGCTCCACCCTAGAGTCGGTTACGCGCTCGCCGCTGCGGTCGAGCCTCAAGAAACCCCGCCCGCGGCCCGACCCGACGTTGGGCATACAGAATCCGGGCTATTCCGGCTCTGGCAGCTCGCCGCCCATGCGGCGCAACGGCAGCGTAAAGAAGGTCCGCATTCAAACGCACAGCACCGAGGTGTAGGCTCCACATACATCCCGTGGATGGGTGGAAGGGCAGCATGAAAAATTAAGTTCACACAAGCAAAATAACAACAAAACATTTACAAAGACTGTGTACAGTAGCAAAAAAAACAAAACAGAAAGAAAAAAACAAGAAAGAAAGGAGGGAAACGAGGAAATTCTTTGATTTCCCTGATTAGTTATGGAGTTATTCCCTTTCATTTGTCTTCCAAAAAGATTCGCAAATATGCAGCATTCGATTTGGCACAGACACCACGACAGTTTCTTCTGTAAGCAACGGTTTCCGTCCATGGGCAATGGCAAGAGTATTTAACAGAAGGCGAAGGCGATCCCCCCAGGACTTTCTTTATATGCGAGTACATATATATATTGCAACTCTCCCCACGTGCCCTTACGACCGCGCCCAGTCCCCGTCCCCCGCACTCGAAGGGACGAAAGTTTCCCCTTTGAGTGGAATACCCAACCCTAAAGCTAATCCATTTGCAATATTCTTATTTAACGAATCCCCCTCCCCACACTACCTACCACATAAGCATTATAAAGCAGCATTTGTAAAATACATAAACATCGGAATGACACAAATTGTTATATCTAGTTAAGTTTAAGTCACGACTAATTGGAAAAGTTTCGAATGCATTCGGTAGTGCAGTTGTACACGTATGTATGTTATTGTTGGCAATACTTTCACGATTGTTGCGACGAAATTTCACTACTGGAGGACACTTGGATTAATTAAGCTAAGCTTTTGTTTGTTTAGTTCTTGGTAATCCAATTGGAAAATGTGTTTCGTGTTGTTCTCTGTAAGCTAATTACTAATTCGAAGGCGATAATAAATACATAATACAATTGAATTTAGCGCAAATTATTTGAATTGGTTGGGCACCCCCGAGCACAGGAAGCCATAGAACGTCCGGATCGGACCACAAATAGCGAGGAAAATTAAATATATTTTGCTGCATACAATTTTCTTGTTCCTGGAATTTTTCCGATCACAAGAAGACGTCGCACGTCCCGATTGACCCACAAATAGCGGAGAAACCACAAATGAAAACTGAACAACAAATTGTAAAACTGTTTTTAGAACAGTAAGCTGTTTCTGTTAAGAAGCAGTTCAAGCAGTTTGCAGTTTTATGAAGCACTTAAGCAAAGCACAATGCTGTTCAAACTGTAGCGCGCTGATGTGCAATTTGGTTTTCTTCCGTGCTAAGTGTTCATGTAACTAACAACAGATGGCGCTGACTTGGTGGTGTAGAAGTTTTTTTTTTTTTAAATTAATAAGATATAATAACGCGTCTAGAAATTAGCCCATCCTATGGGAAATACATAAGAAACCGGTTAGTAAATTATCTTGGAATTATCATAATATTTTCACTTTCTTAAGTCTCACACATGCCCATTACCCTTGCAGCAGTAAAGTCTTTGAAAGCTCCAGGTCGGTCTTACGGGCTATACAGATAGATGTAGGGCCCTGGATAGGTCGACTCTGCTTTGCTGCTCGACAATACTCCGACATAGTTTCACTATTTGAGTTAAATCTGTTTTAGAGATCTACGATTACCGGGCATTAAAGATTCACATAAGTATTGCTGCCGAATACGAATGTGGGGCTGAGCAATCGATGACCCGACCCCACAAGCGGTGCCTGAAAGACTTTTCCTTTGTTCGATCGCAACTTATCAGCTCGGGACTCTGATAGAGGCATTTGTTTACAAATCGTCGCGGCTCAGTGCTTGATTCATTCAGAAATAAGGGGGCGGCCCCGAGTTCCAGGTGATAGCAGCCCCAAAGAGGCTTGTGAGGGGTGGTGGGGGAGAGAGGCTGCCTCGCCTCGGCAGCTGAAGCAGCTCAGATGATCGCACAGTTTGAGCTGAGAACGCGTAGCGCCAAGTCGTCGTAGTTGTCGTCGTCGTCGTCGCCGTTGCCGTTGATTAATAATTGATAATAGCCGTGCATCTAGTATAGGGAGCCAGAGCACAAGCTACCAGCCACCAGCCACCATCCACCAGCCACAAGCCACAGCCACAGTATTTGTTTATATTTCCACACATATAAATAATTATGAAATCAGAGGCATTGCACAAGCTGCTGCTGCTGGCATTCTGTGCGCTGCTGATTGCCTGCGCGTGGAGCCAGCCATGTAAGTTGACGTCCCACGACAATCCTATCCCTTACAACAAAGCCTGCTTCCAGTGGCAACGCCCCAGCAGTTGGAGCAGCAACAGCCGCAGACAATCGATCGCCAGCTGCTGCTCATCGAGAACAATGTGAACGCGGAGGATGCACAGAACTACCAGATTACGATACCGAAGAAGGCCAAGGCGGGGGAGCCCTGTCTGACCATCACCTGGAAGACCAATCCGGATGGCAGCGGTCCCGACTATCCGCGAATCTACACGGCTGATGGCTACTTCAGGATAATGCCGCCCGCAATGTCCACAGAGCAACAGCAATAAACGGATAGATATATGCCACCTTTCGTATTTCTTTTTGCCCGTGACTCTGCGGGAGATCTTTCCAAAAGGTCTCGGAAGGTAGAATTCATCTTTAGCCACGAATTCCATCACACACAGCTCCCATGCAGATGGACGTGCTCTCTAGACATATTTTTTTATTGGGCTCGGCAGCATAATTGTACACTGACCCATTGCGCTTTGGGGGAGAAGTTGCACATATTGCTCCCTGTTCAGCGCCTGTGTGTGTGTGGCAACACCCAGTCTGGACAGAGTCCAGGGACTCGGCAAGGGTGCCATGGCACCACTGGAATGGAATCAAATTGTGGGTTGTGGCATGTGGGCTATGAGGGTGGAGACCAGCCCAGACAGTAGAAGCTCCAACTCCAGTGAAATTCGCCAACTGTCTGACTCTTCCCCCCCTGTCTGCCTGTGTCTGTGTGTGTCTGCAAGGGCCAGACACCAAGAGAGAGAGAGAGAGAGCGAACAGAAACTCCAACTCCGTGCAGGGCTGCACTTTTCGGGATGCCGATGATGCCGCCTGCAAAAAGTTTCGCTTTTTTCCATGCCCAGACTTTCGCTGCAGTTTTCATTTCAGAGCGAAACCCGAGCAGCAGGAAGAACCCCCGAAAAAAAAACTGTGGCGTGGGAGTGTGTTAGTAAGGCTAATTGACGTGCCACAAACTCGGGATCGGGTCCCATGGCTATGTGCATCATGGAACCATGCATAAAGGCATATGAAGACTGAAGACTGCTCTGAAGCTTCATCTTTAGGCTTCCTGCTACATTTCTATTTTTGACAGCTGTCACCAGCTAAAGGGGCTAAACTCAATCAAAATTTGTTGTGTGAAATAAATATTTATATGTGGATCGAGTGTGTGTGCACAAAGTAGCCCCAAAATTTAGGCATTAATAATGCTGTGGATAGTGTCTGCGTGCTTCTGCATTTGTTTCTCTTTTCTGATCCTTTACTCGATGTGCCTCTGCATTGTGATATTTATTTCCATTTTATACGGCTATGAGATTGAGAATTGGAATGGTTAAGAAATCCACTGGGTAAGTTTACATCTGTACACATCTGTGATTGATTGAATGCTTCGAAGAGTGGTAGCCGCGGAAGGCTAATAAAAGTTGCAGGTAGCATCAAAAGTAGAAGTCCCCCGCAATGGGAGTATATTTATTTATTTCCCCTGATAGCTAACATATTCGATGGGCTGGCAGATAAAAACTATAAGCAGTCTTTCTGCTTTCTGAAGATTAAACATTTTTCGTCTCGTTTTCTCTGCAATAATTAGAAATTCACAGACTTCTGTGTTCTTTTTTTGTGCTCTTTCATCACCGATTGGTTAAGTTTTCGCCACTTCCACTCCCCCACTGTTCCGGCCAAAGGGAAATCATAGACCAAATCAAATGGATCTCTGTCGCTAGAATGCCATTAATTTTTCCATTTCCCCAAACAGCAACCAGAGCAACCCCCAGAGCTCAGACACACAGACAGACAGACAGACGTCTGTGCTCAGTTTCAGCTCTAGTTCTCCCTCAAACAGAAACAGAAGCAGAAGCCGAACCCCTCGTGAAAGTTGACAAAAGTTTTATGCATTACCTTTGTCTACATCTTGGCAGTGCTGGGGGCACACGCGGGGTAGTGGCTCAGACAACAGTCTATGGATTAAGTCCCCTGCTTACATTTTAGGGGGGTTTTTGGCTATAGATAGTCTCGTATATATATCAGACACCACTGGCGCAGAAAGGGTATCAAAACATAGAAATGCGTCTCCGATCAACTTTCCATAAATTGTAAATACTCGAAATGCTGCCTGCATGCGGAAATGGGTTTCCACTCGTCAGTTCTGCTGTCTTAATTCCATTTTTAATAATTTATTTTAGTTGGATAAGTAGAAGAATCAGATCTACATACTTATGTATCTTTATGAATTACCATCAGTATCTTATAGTGCCAAATATCGTGCGAAAAGCATTCCAATGTGTTTTATTATCCGCTTAAATGCATTTAAATCTCTCCCCCAGCCTGGCTGTCTGTCTCTGTTTTTGTGGAACTGTTGGCTGTTGGCCAATGCTTTTTTGCCCACTTGCCCCTCCTACCCCCCCTTTGGCCATTCCTGTTGAATTTTTAATCAGCCTTTGGCCTCTGGTTTCCTTGATTTGATTGAATCGAGAATAAAATGTGCGAGCTTCACTCTCGCTCCACTTTACTTCCCCTTTTTGGGCTGTGCGCTGGTCTACAAATTTTTAGAAAGTTCCACGGCGGCTGCTGCTCCAACTCCAATGCCTCTACCTCCTCCTGCTGCTGCTGCTTCCCTTCGCTGGCAACCCCCAATTCCCGCCTCCGTCGCTGCCTATCCGTTGTCTGCACTGCGTCACGTTCGCCGCATGCTGTCTGCCATTTTGGCTTTTCCTGCAGGAAGCTTGCATATATTTTACGTGCGCCATGTTGTTTTTACCTCTGTGTGTGTGTCTGTGTGTGTGTGTGTGCGAGTGTCTGTGTTGTTTCGTATCTGTGTCTGTCTGTGTGCAGTGTCTGCTGTGTGCTGTGTGCTGTGTGCTGGTGCCCCAACTCTTCACTTTTATCGATTGAATTGTGTCTCAGGCTGTGAAATGCAGGTCATTGATCTGCTCGTGCCTGCTAAAAACGACCAAATGCTTTTTCGGTCTTTTTCTCTCTCTCTCTCTCTCTCTTTCTCCCCGGCACAGTGGCGCCCCTCCACAGACGTTAGCTGGGGGCGAGGATGGCACACTCTCTGTGCTGTGCTGTGCACTGCAACTTCTGGTTCTGGTTCTCGTTCTGTTTGGAGTTTTTTTTTTGGCATTTTTAACGAAGAGAATGAGAGAGAGAACTTTTGGGTTTCCAGCAAACAGGATAATAAATCAGATAAATCAGATTCCGAATTGATAAACGAATTTTATGTTGTGCCAATTTGGCTGGATTTTATTATGGCAAACGTCTAGGAAACAAATAAAGGGCTTGCGTGGGTTGGGGGCTTGGCTTAGGAATATTATTCGATTAGCATTAAGGGGTTTGATCTTCAGGATCGGTGTTCGACAAGAGGGGTCACCAAAGAATATATAATCTATGAAATGTATTTCCCATACTGATGTAGATTATTCCAAGAAGAAGGAAGTTCTCGCTGAACTGGGTTTTGGTTTTTTGGGTTTCATCTCCCTATTGGCCCCCCTTTGTTACTGTAGATCCCCGCCTTTGGACAGAACACTAAGCCTCAAGCGGATGAGTGATGATTCTTGCAAAGCTTTGCGCTTGCCACATCCGATATGTAGCCAAGTGTAGCCAACTCTACAGACATTCTACATGATTTCTACAGTAATTTTGAAATGTGATAAAAGTATGCAACAAGAACGACGGCAGCTCCACTCGCCAGGGAACCCCACACGCCACTCAAAGACAGAGAGCGCCACAAGAACGAATGATCTCGACAGCTGCGAGGGTGGGTTTAGCGTGTCCTGCCAATGTCCTACGTTAGTTCTGCGTGCTGAGGCCACACTGTAGTTCCACCCAACCAATAGCCACTGCAGCACATGGTTGGAATGCCTCGCACTGTGCCCTGTGCCAGCCAGAAACCATCAAACATTTCGGAGAAGCATTTCCTTTTTGCCAAAAACTTTGGGGGTAGTGGAGCAGCTGAACCGGGAGCAGGAGCAGGAGTCAGAGCCAGACAGCCAGCCCAACGAAGTGTCTGGCTCTGATGGAGCGACACTGTACCCGAAGAGCAGCGGCAGCAGCAGCAGCAGCAACCACGAGACCCAGCCAGACATTGGTAGAAAGGGAAATCAACTGCGACTTATGGCACTGCGACGTGTTTCCTCGTTTCCTTGTTTCCCCGTTTTCACACAACAAACTGAAAGATTCCGGAAAATGCAAAATTATAAAAATAGCAGAGAGAATTATCCGGCACGGCTCGGCTCGGCTCGGTTCAATGACCAGGCAACTGGCCAGGACTGGCAACTGGCGCCTACCCACACAACCGCATGCCGGAGAGCCCCCTGGATAATGGAGCTGTCCAGAGCCCGTCCGGCTCGCTCACATTCAGCTCAAGCACGGAATGAGCTGGGGAAAAGCTACAATAAATGCAAATAATTCACAGAACGGGTTGCAAGGTCGACGAACGTTGAATGCGGTTGGGGTTGCGGTTGCAGTCGCCCGCTTGCCCGCTTGCCCGCTCGCCCGCTCGCCCGCTCGCCAGGTGAGCTAATGCCCAATGCACATAGCCAAACACGTTTCACGTCGCTCCCTTGGGAATCTATCGCATCAATTTTTGTGGGTAACTTTTCCAAGCAACGCCCTCTCTGTGGGGCCCACTCTCTCTCTCTCTGCCGCTGCTGCAGCGCCTGCTCTTGCACGTAAGCGCCATCAATCAATCAATCAATCAATCAGTCAATCCCACCGGAAGGCAGGGCAAACTTTCACATCAAACTAATTGGCGTAACCCTGGCATTGGCTCTCGGCTCCTACCTACCTGTGGGCTGGGCTGGGCTGGGGCTGGGGCTGATCTGCCAGCCCCATCAACGACATGTGTTCGAGGGCAATCCCAGACATTTGTTTGGCTTGGCCGGGACGGACTTGTGGATGCTCTCTGGCAAGTAGTTAGCAGCAGGAGCTACTCGATTGTTGGTGTACATTTCTCATTATCCTTTAGCTATAGCATTCTATAACATTCCATAGACGATCTGCAGCAGATTTACCTACACCTGCAAGGGATATTATTAGAGTTAGGCGAGGCTGTCTCCATTTCTATCTGCCGTTCTCTACTAAATCCGCTATAGCCCTCGCTCTGGGTTAGGGTGCTCTCTTCGGGAACTTCGCGGTCATGCAATTGCAGCAACAGCAACAACAAGGGAACTCCACTCAAAGCTCGCTCAGCGCAGGCGTCGGCACTAGACGAAAGCGCAAAGGTAGGAGAGAGAGAGAGAGAGAGAGAGATGCTTAGAGGGAGCGGTAAGCAAGTAAGACCCGAGACTCAGTTAGAGCGAGAGCGTATCACTCTCTGGCTAAGCTTCTGCCTCTTGGTGCCCCCCTACCGCCCCCTGCCAGCAATAGGCAAAAGGCATAGGCAAATGGCCTCTCGAGTCGCTCGCTGATGCCATAATCGTTGGGACTGCTATTGCTGCATTCCACGGAGAAGGCGGAGGCTCTTCGGCTCTCCACTGGCTCTGCCTCTGCCTCTGCCTCCTCCCCGCCCACACTCTCACCCAGTTTCTGCTTGGGCTCGAGTCGGCTCTGTCGTAGCTCTGCTGGCATTGACACTGACACTGCGCCACTTCTGGCATTGGCCCTGGCATTGGCCCTGGCATTGGCCCTGGCATTCCCAGCGCTTCTTGCAGTGGCTTCCTGCACCACCAGCACCTACATAGCTCATCGCCCTGCGCCCATCTGCCCCCCCTCCTAATGCTGAACTGGTCTCGCATCCATCATCGTCTGCTGGAGTAGGGGGCGGGACTGTGCAGGGAGTGCAGTACAGTCTACGTACAGTGGGCACTGGGCAACCATTTCTGAACCATTTCTATTGTTGTGAATATAATTATTATTATTTCAGCACTGTTCCAGCGTAGCCAGGCTTCACTGTGTCATGGGAATATCTCACAGCATTTGCTGCTGATTTGCCCAAAGCATTGACAACTCCTTCGATTGTATGCCAGGACATGTTCGGACTGTGGCCCATGACATCCCTTGCATCTACTCCCCCTGCTGCTGCTGCTACTGATGATGATGATGCACTGGGCCGAGTCTGAACTGGACTTTTAATTGGCCTAGTCCATTGAGTGCTTGGACTTACTCCACCTCCACTTGCCCCAACTGCTGGTCCAGCTGGGGTGCAAGGTGAGTGTCCCATGGGCTGCACTGGGCGCTGCTGTTGCTCCAAGGGGTTACACTCAGAGTGGACATGCCGGCACACGCACCTCAATGGATAACAGTTGGACAGACGGCACTCAGCTGGGGGGGCAGGGCAGACACAAGAGGAACAAGTTACAATTGCAAATGGGTCTGGGTCTGGGGTCTGGGGTCTGGGAGTTTCGAGAGCCTA